AAATACTAGCAAGAATGTAAACCAATGGTACTTCAATAACAATTAATTTTTTACAAAAATGTTTGCCAATCTCATAGGTGAAACATGTATTTCACTGTTGATTTGAATAACAAGTCTTTAATTACCATTAAGTTTACCAACCTCGTTATGTCTTTTCTAGGAAGTTTTCTGTGTCTTGTTAGTGTGTGAAGCAAAGGTAACTAGTCTTTATCTATCATATGTACTGCAAATGTTTTCTCTCACTCTGTTTTCCTTTTCCCTTTGCTTTTTTTCTCATATAAGATTATTTTTATTTTTTTAAAGATTTATTTATTTATGCATACAAGAGCTAGGGTACAGGCCAGAGGTGTGGGGGGTGAGAGGACTCACCAGAGACAGAGCGGGGAACAGAACAGGCAGATTGACTGAGATACACTGCTGAGTGTGGGCGAGTCAGGAGAGGTCTGCTGCGCCATGTGGGTTGCTCCCTGGCCTGCCGGGATCAAACTCGTGCTGCAGAGGCTGTGGATTGCGTCATAGTGTGGTGCTTAACCCCTTCTGCCACCAGGTAGGCCCAAGATTATTAATTTTTAAATAGGCAAGTTTCAAGTAAAATTTTTGAGAGGTCAAGTTTATCAAAATGATATTTAATGGGCCCTGGGTCTCCCCTATGAGAATAACCCAAGGAGGCCATTATTATCCACCTCCTACGTAGAAAATAAGTAGTTGCCCAAAGTCACACTGTAGTTAGCAAAAAAGCTGGGACTCAGAAGCTGTGCCCTTGCCAGGATGCAACATAGCCTGCCCCGTGTGGGCTAGAGAGGGGGAAATGACACCAAAAGTTAAAAATAACTGGATTTTCCAGAGAAGAGGAAATGGAAGAAGATGTCAAAAGGAAGGACGAGCCTCCTCTCTTCATTGAGAACCAGCAAGAGGACGTGACCTCATTTATCCTGACAGAACGACTCTGGAAACCCTGAATTTTCTGTCATCTTCCCAGCCTAATTTGGTGTGAGCTGGACCCCACCCACCGTCGCCCATGCTCTAGCTTTTCGCCTTAGGGAATGTCCTTCTCTCTGGAAACCTTTAGACAGACACCTGATTCCACTTCCCTTGTTTCCTGGCCACCCAAGCCTGGTCAGAGGAGGGGGTGAGAGGTGTGGCCTGAGCTGGGGCATCACCTTACCCAGCAGGCCTAAGGAAATTCCTATTTCCTATAACCCTGCGCCCTCCGCTGGAAAGCCCCGCAGTTTCCTCCTGCCATCCTGCCTCACTGTTACATTTTCATCCACCACTACCCCGGAGTTTAGACCCTGGTTCCACCAACACCGGCCACTGGGGTGCTCACTTCCACCAGATTAAACCTGATTAAGAGGGTCAGGTGACAAACAGAGGCTCTAAAGCTCCCCAGAAAAAATCTTGGTTTTATATTCCAACCCTTCTTACCTCTGGGCACGCTGGCACGGGGACCACATACAGTTGTGCAGGTTGCATACTGTACAATCTTGTGGGCGGTTTCTTAACATTCTCAGTTTCCCATGAGGACACCAGCATCTACTTGTAACTCATCTTCAGACCTGTGCACATGCATCCTAGTCCCCACAGATGTTAACTCCAAGGCAAAGAACTCAGAAAGGGCAAACTTTTGCCTTCCTTAGTTGGGATTGCCATGCCTTCTCCCACCCTCCATTCCTATCCAGTATTCATGTGTGGATCCATAAAGCTTTTGAGACAATTTGCCAAGAAATTCATAGTGCCTAATGTTTCTAGAAGAGTGACTACATGTCTGGTTTTCCCAGGACAGTCCCAGTTTTTCACTATTATACTGGTGGCCCAACAGTTTATCATCTGTGTCCCACTTGGATAGTAAATTATATGGTCACCCCACTTATAAGGCACAAATGGGCCAGCCCGAGAGACTGGGAGAAAGCAACATCAGCTTATTATCCAATAACAAATACAGACACTAAGAACTGTTTGAGCACTCACTATGTATATATGCATATATGCAAATGAGGTTCAGAGATGAGTCACATGGTCAGTTAGTGCCAGCAGTGGGAAATCTCTATTCCCCTGACTCTCACCAGAAAACTTCAGGAAACAGGGACTCCCACTTGTTCTGGAGATATAAAGCATGACTCTTAGGAGCATAATGTGAACATAATAATCAAAATGCAAAATGTGAATAACCTTTGACAAAAATGTGAATAAATCCAAAATCCAAAATGTGAATAAATCCCATTTCTGGGAAGTATCTGATGAATATAAAAGTATAGGAATTTAAAGACACATATGCATGGATTCCTCCCCAGCTTTGCTTATAATATTAATGTCCATTAACAGAGAATAGTTTAAAAATGTATGCCACGTTAAAAATAAGCTGTGGATCAAAAAGTGGGTAGGACATTTTAGTAGAAACTTCTCCGAAAAAGACATACAGATGGTCAACAAACACATTTAAAAAATGCCCACCTTGCTTGTTTTTAGGGAAATGCAAATCAAAACCATAATGAGATATCACATCACCCCTGTGAGAATATCAAAAAGACTGGAAACAACATATGTTGGTGTGAGTGAGGATGAAAGGAATTCTCATCCACTGTTGGGTGGGGATATTGATACAGCCTCTATGGGAAAAAAGACTCTTTTTTTTAAGATACTTCTTAAAAAAATAAAAATAGACAACATCCAGTATTTGTCTTTCTCCTTCCCACTTATTTTGCTTAGCATAATCACCTCTGGTTCCACCCATGTTATCACAAATGGCAATTATTCTCTTTTTTATAGCTGAGTAGTATTCCATTGTGTATGTATATCATGTGTTCCATTCCACTCATCTGTCTGAGTTTTCTTCCACTGAGGCTACACAGCATGAGGAAGAAGGGGAGCAGGGGAGGAGGGGTCCCCCTGGACTACAGTAGAGGACTGCAATGCCTTGCTGGTAGGTGTGGTGTGGTAACATAGACCTGAAGGGTGTGGTCCTAGACCTCTAAGTCATACACAGCGTTGTAAACCAATGTTACCTCAATTCAAAGTAAAAATTTTTTAAAAGTCTGTCCTACTTAGAAATCTGAACTAATGAAAATAAGTTAAATAATTAAAATAGAAATACTCATGACCCAATAATACCACTCCTAGGTATTTATCCAAAGAATAAGAAAGTTAATTTGGAAAGATATGTGTACCGCCATGTTCATAGCACACTATTCACAATTGTCATGCACGGAAACAACCCAAGTGCCCCTGGACAAGTGACAAATAAAGAGGTTATGTTATATATACTCAGTGAAATACTATTTCAAATGATGAATTTTGCCTTTTGCAACAACATCAGGGCACTTGAGAAGTTTATTCTGAGTGAAAAAAGTCAAAGACAATTACCAGATGGTTTCTCTCATATGGGGAATATAAATTACCAAAGCAAAGGAACTAACAAAACACAACAGAACTAACTCTTAGACTCCATGAGAAATGTAGAGTGGGGCTGAGGGGGAAGGGTAGAGGGATGGCGGGAACTTGACAGCGGAAACAAATGGCATTAGAACTTAGCTGGAGCCTGTGGTGAGACAGAAGTACATCCTGAGGTATGGAATTATACTCCTAAAATTTTAATTGTTTTATAAACCTTTAGTAAATTAATAAAATTTATCTTAAAAAAATAAGCTGAAGGATACTATGGAACTATTTGAAAGAATGCAATAGGTTTGCATCTCCTGAAAGGAGGCCCTGGACTCTCTGCTTAGAGAACAGAGGCAGTGGGCTGGCTCCCTGTCCTCCCGGGAGGTCACTATTGATTGAGCTCCCGGCAGGCTATGCTGAGCTGGGCTCCGGTCCAGGTTACTGGGGAGGAGCTCGGATCAAGCTTAGAAGCCCCTTCCAACAGTCTACGAGGATCCTGGGACCCGTAGTGTGGCACTTCCTCCTCCATCATGGCCAGGTCACCAGAGAGAACCTACATGAAGGGGGATGTGGGGTGTGTCAGGTAGGGTGGGGCTTTCTCAGGGGGGCAGGGCTGGCTGACCCACCAGAGCAGAGACTCAGAGGTTAGGAGAGTGGGGCATGGCAGGGAACAAACTCAGCTTGGCGTTTCTTGCTGCCACCTGGAGCATCATTACTTTGTGGCCACTGCCTGGGGCAAGAAGGACGAGTCCATGGCATTAACAGGCTGTCCAGATTGAAGCCCCTTAAGAAAATGGAGCAAACAGCACTCAAGCTTGGGGGTAAATCCTGGAGAGTGCACCAAATAAGCTTCCAGAAACCCTTTTCTCTCCTCCCCCGAGGCCCTGACTGTGCTGGAAACCAGCCCACTGGCCCCCTGGATGGAGGGGGAAGGGCGTAGGGGGGGTGGGGGGGGTGAGCTCTGCTTGCTAGAGGCATGGATTCCAGAACAACAGAGCTGAGTCATGAGCTGCCCTTCAACAAGCTCTCCAGTGATTCTTCAGCCCATCAGAGCACAGTCCCAGGCCCTCTGGAGGGTGCTCTGGTGGTGAAAATGAGTCCCTTCTGGACAAGTCTTTGTCTTACAGATATTGACACCTTTCACTGGCCTTACTTACATGAGCTACTAAGCTATCTGCTCCTCCCCCTTGGGCTCTGCTTCCATCTGCCCAAAAACATCTCCAGAAGGGGATGGGAAGGGGAGAAAAGCAGAGGGTGGAGGGAGAGAACCCCACCCCACCCCCTCGGCAGGCAAAGTAGAGATGCTGGGGGGGAAGGACAGGAGAAAGGGCATGGAAGAAGCTGGAATAGGAGGAGAAGGGAGGGAGAGCAGCAAAGGAACTGCAGTTTTTTCAAAGGGGCCAGTGGCCACAGGAAAGGGCCTGCGTCTTCCCCACCTATTTCCCTGTTTCCTATCCCGGAAAATCATTCCAGTGGTTCCCCTTTCGGGTTTCCACATGACTAAACCCCACGGGTCTCAGCTAATTATACCTCGGCGCCTGCAGCCTCTGCAGCTCCTCCAGTGCCTGAGAGCCGGTGGGCTGCAGATCTCAGCACCCCTGCCGCCCCCTCCCACCCCTGCCCCCACGCAGACCAAGGGAGGTCCTGGTGGCGGGGTGCGGGGGCCGGCCTGGTCTCCAGGCGCTCACAACATGGAGGGAGCCATCCCACTCCTGGCCTGCTTGCTGTGCGTCCTCCTGATGGGTGAGTTTCCCACTGTTGTCTCTGGCCCATGCTCAGAACAGAGCAGATGCTGACAAAATCCCAGTCCATTCTCCTCTCCTTGAACTTGGGGCAGCTGCATGTGCCCAGATGCTCCAGGTCTGTGGAGGAGGAAGAGTGGGCACTTTGGGGTTGTGCCAGGAGCCAAAGTTCAGTCACCATTAAGTTTCGAGTGACTGGATGCAGTCCCCTGATGTCTCAGGGCCTCAGTGTCCCTACCAGTAGAAAGCCCACCCCACCCCCTGCCCTCATTGCTATGAGGACCCTGGGGGGATAAAGGGAAAGCATGGGGGAGGGCAGTCCAGGCTCTCAAGAGCCTGTGGGTGTCACTATCATCCAAATGCTTTGCCTTGATGGCTCAGCCCCAAAGACGTGGGGAGAAGAGCACATGGTTGTTTGGGGTGAGACTGGGGATAATTTTATGTGTGGAATAGGACGTGATAGAGGGTACCCTGACCACCCAGCAGGAACCCCAAGGGATGAGTAGCAACTCTTTACCATGGACTGAAGTAATGGTGCCATCGGTCACCAAGCTCAGCGAGCTGGTGTCCCCGGGAGCAGCATTTCGCAAAAGGCACTCACAGACCATCTGCATCAAAATATATTCTGGCTAGGCTTGAGACTACGTGAGGGAGCCTCATGTGTACACCACCCGGGGAGGACACCTCTTTTCTCTTCACACTGGCTGCCATCTTGCTAGTAGAACCACACATCTGTGAACTGGTGTGAATATGGGTCCCACTTTCTGGGACCCATATTCACCTGTGAGCTCATCCGTATGGCCTGGTGGGAGGGCAGGCAGGCAGAGGGCCTGAGCAGGAGACCAGAGGGCTGGGCTGGGCTGTGTGTGGGAGCCCAGGGGCCTGCACACACTTCTGAAAGGGGGCTCTGGACAGGCTCTTGGCAAAATCAAAGTGGAAGGAATTCATTAAAGTCCCTTTCTAACTTCCATGTTCTTCCTCGTGCCAAGTCACCTACCCCCAGCACCAGTACCTGGGGCAGCCCTAATCTCCCAGGGAGTCCCAGGCACGATCCTTGTCACTTCCCTCTTTCGTCCCCCAGATCTGCTCTTTCCTGCTTTCCTGGGAAAGCCAGGAAATGTGGTGGGTGGAAAGGACAGGGGTCTGGGAGCTCTGGTGACCTGGGCAAGTCTTAGCTGGCCAGCCCACACCTACCTAAGCAGGCCTTGCCCTTAGGGGCTTGGCGCCAAAGGGGCTTCTTTGCTCTGCGCCACAAGCCTGCTAAGTGAGAACCTTATCCCTGCTTCAAGGAGGCTCAGGAGGTCAAGTGCCATGCAGGGTACCCCAGCCCGGCTGTGCCCCCAAGTCTTCTGAGTGCATGTCCAGCCCTTTACACCCCTACCTGCGCCTTGAGCCTGGGCAAACCTCACTGCTCGGAGGTGTTTGCTTTACTAACTCTAAACCAATGCAGAAAAAAAAATCCCCAAAAAGACAAGGCTGTGAAACACAGCAGTTATGAGGAGGCAGGGGAATGTCAGGGAGGAGATGGGCCCTGTCCCTAGTCCTGGAGGTGGTGTGAGTATTCATGAGCCAGGGCACTTCTGTTCCCAGCGGCCACTGTGGTCAGTAGCTTGGACTGGGAATCCTACCCAGGGAGGAGGGGCGGCCGGGGAGCAGCGCCCTGTATCAAACACTGGCCCAGGGCAGGGTTACTCAGGGTCCACTTCTACCACACAGCAGCCGAGAGGAAAGAATTAAAGGGAAGTCAGCTAACCTGGAGGCAGAACCACAGCCAGGCCTCTGGCTCACACACCCCTGATTCTCAGTCCTTCTAGAAACTTCTGGGTCATAGAATTCCTGTTTCTGCTTCCTCCTCTCCCCTCTGGTTTCCACTCCTTTCTCACCTTTTCTCCACTGATAATCTATCTGAACAACGTGCAGGCCCAGAGAGAATCACTGGGAACACACTCGGGCAAGAGGGAACAGGATGAAAGGCAACGTGTCCCAGCTCAACACACACCTCTCAGTGCTGAGGCTTGGTGGCCAAGATGGACATCTCCCCTGGACCCCCAAATGCCCTCTGCTCACCCTCCAGGGGCCTAGCACCCGAGAGGTCATCACTGGAGTCGCCCCTGGAGAATACCCTGTTAACATGCCCCTGTGTCCCCAAGGGCGGCCGACAGTTGGGTTCACCAGATTGGCTCCCTGTCAACTGGCAATGGTAGCCAGCATGGGGGAGGGGACAGCAGCAGGCAGATCTCTGTGGAGCTCCAGCTCTCAGCGGAGTTTCCATGAGGGGCACTGGAGCCCATGGGGAGTGCCCACCTGGCATCTTTCTGTGCCCTTCCAAGCCCACAGTTCAAACATAAAGCCCACCCCCAAGAGCCCTGGTTCTTACTAAAGCGCTATTCTGTGCAGACACCAACCATTATCCCACACAACCACCAGGAGCTCACTTTCCTGTCTGTGTCCACCTCACACTCTGTGATGAAACCAGTAAACAGAGCTCCCTTGTCAATTAACATAAGTGCAATTGCACAAACTCACCGCAGACGACCTAGAGAGAGACTCGCATGTTGCTTCCTTTCCCACTGAGGAAGTGGTGGAGATCTTGGGTCAGATGCAGCCAAAAGCAAGGTTTCTATTTCCAATACCATCCAGAAGCCGCTTCTGTCCACCCAGCTTCTGCAGATGTTTCTATCGCCCTTGGGCGCTCATCTCATGCTGGCACCACAGGCATGGGGTTTGGGATAGTAGGTCCAGGGAGAGTCAGCTGCCCCTTAGCTGAGTTATGATTATGATGACCGGGGAGTGCCAGATGCTGCAGCCTCATCCCTTTTCCGCCGAGCGGCAGCACCCGGGGCGGTTAACAGAGCAATGTGAGCCTTAGTACATGCTGCCGGGACCATGTACGCGTGGATGTGTCCTTCCAGGCAACTGAGTTTTCTGGTGAACTGATGGCTTATATTTCAGTACAGCAAGTCCTCGCTCAACGTATCCAAAGTTTCTTGGAAACTGCGACTTTAAGTGAAACAACAATAACAAAACCAATTTTACCTTAGGCTGATTGACATAACCAAGAGTTCAGTTCCCCAAGTATATTTCTGGTCACAAAAACATTATCAAACTTCTAAACAGAGCCCAAAAACACTTCTGATATTAAGCAGTGATTTACATTCATTCATTCATTTTTCCCTGCTTGTTCTGGTTCAGAGCCTTGGGTGGTCACAGCCTCTCCCAGCAGCTCAGGGAGCAAGGCAGGAACCAGCCCTGGACAGGATGCCCTCCCATCGCAGGGCACATCATCCCCATATCCACAACCCCTCTGAGGGGACAATAGAGACATGCCAGCGCACCTCACATGCCTGGAGTTCCTGGAGAAAACCCCAGATACAAGAGAACTCCCAGCTCCATACAGACAGCTGGGGGGACCTGCCAATAGCCACAAAGTTAGGGATAGTGTGGCAAGGCCAGAGCCCAGGCAGACCCCAATTTTCCACCCGAGAGGCACGCCTCTCCTGACAGGGAACATTTCCAAGGTGATGTGGATAATGGCTCTCACACAGGCCGCTGCTTCAAGGTCCCTGGTCAGACTCCTCTAAATGGTCCCTTTTGTGCCTGCTTTTACCATTGCTACCCTGAGCCATCTTGTCATTACTTTTACTGGACCCTTCCTCCCAGGCTGTCAGTTGTCATTTCTGGAAGCTTTTAATGAGCTTCCAAAGAGAAGCCAAGCATGCCGACACATCCATTGCCCTCGAGAAATCTCTATTGAGTGAATAAATGCATCAATACATGACTAGCTTGGGTGAGTTTAGGGCAAAGGGGGAGGTTGTATTCTGTTTGGTCTAAGATGGCAAACAGAGTGATATGGGGGTATCTGTGTCCTGACCTGCTGTGTCACGATGAGCTCAAGACCCAGAGCGAGTCCACCAAGGGTTAGCACGCCCCACTGTATTCCCATCTCTGTGCAACTTTTGCAGGGATTGTGAAAGAGGGTGACTCACAGACGTGGAGTGTTTCCTTAGTGTCAGCACTGTGCTGGGTGATCTGCTTCTGTGACGTCATCCAGCCCCCCACCACCCTATGAGGAAGGGGTGTGCTCTTGATCTGGTAGTAGAGGAGCCCAAGACATGGCTCAAAGATTTTGCCCAAAGATCTGTAACTTGCCCAAAGATCACCTGCCAACGGAACGGCCTAGAGCAGCAGCAGGCACAGACTGGGTGCTTGACACAAGTCTAGGGAAAGAACAAGCACACGTGAGAAAGTCACCCAGCTTCAGCTATGACAAGGCTGGGGTACTTGATCCACCATGGGGCAAGGGGGAGTTATTTGGGCCAAAGGCAAGAATGTGGGCCTCCTGTTGACCCCAGAGGTTGATGCCATGAAGCAGGGAGATTGGAGACCTACAAGAGAGACCAAGGTTCCAGTTCTGGAATGAGCCGTCCCTCCCCTGTCCTCATAGAGACGTGCAGGAGCTGCCAGAGGGCACAGTAAATGTCACCGGATGCTGAGGAGCTTGGACGCCTGCCAAAGCAAACACATTTGCTCCCCTGGCAATTCCTGCTGCGCCTTCCCACCCTCACCTTACGTCCCCTGGGCGGTCTCATCCAAAGGTCTCTATGTGAGAGGGAGCCAGGAGCCGCCCGCTGTTCCGCAGGTAAACAGGGAACACCAGCCTCCCCCGGTGACTGGCGAAAGGGCCTCCTTGTGCCCTCTCTGCTCCTAGAGCACCACCCTCCCAGTCCCCGGGGCCCTGGTCTCACACTCCAGGCAGTTTCCAAGGAGCTGTCGTCCTCCCGCCAGTGAACATCCTGGCCAGGGGAGAACACGAGGCACCGAGGGCGACCCTTGGGTGACCCCTGGCTCTCGTTGCCAGTTGACCTTGCCTTCACTTGCGCTCTCTGAGGCCCAGGTCCCCTTTCACTCAAGGGGGGCTAATGACAGTACCTTATTGTTGAAATCTGAAATGATGAGAGGAGGAATGTCTCCAGGAAGTCCCAAAGCACTGTGTATTCCATGCCCCTTAGGCCTTCATGCCCTGTGACCTCCGCTGGGGTCCCTGCCACTCTATCTGTGCCCTTCATCTAAAACACCTTCTTCCTACTCAAGGCTTCATGACATCCCCACCTTCCTCAAGGCTCTGCTCCTCTCTCATCTCATGGGTCCGCCAGTCAATCCCTGCCCACCCAATAGCGGCACGCCTTCCCCCAACTCTGCGCCCACACTGTCCTACCAAGTTGCCCTCCCTCTCTTCAGCTCCCTCCAGCAATTCAGCTCGACATCACTCACCACGTGGCAGGCGCTGTGTGGGCGGTCACTACGTGAGGACAGCCCCACACTCGAGCTCTGCCCTCTGGGTGCTTCCAGGTGCCAGGGAGAGACAAGCAGTGAACAGGCTATGCCCTTACAGAGGAAGTACTTCTGCCAGTCCTGGGGCACAGGGGAGGCTGCAGGATATGGAGACCCAGGGGTGACTAGGAAGGAGCTGGGAGTTAAATATGCCCATGTTCAGACAGAGGGCACATTGTTAGTGTCCCTGACTAGAGTGCCTGGAAGGCTGAAGGGCTAGTCCTGCAATGGTCACAGATCTGTCTCTGTCTCCGAGCTGTGCGCTCCAGCCAGCTGATAAGTTATTCTTTGTAACTTCAGCTCATATCCTGGTGCCTGGTTTAGAGTGAGGACGTGTCCAATAAATGTTTGCTAAGTGATGAAAGCACAATAGCAAACCATACCTGGGGAATCAGCGCCTGGCTCCATGATACCTGTCAGACAAGACTAAGGTTGTAAAGGGTGGTAAGTGCAGGGAAACTGAGGCAGGGGCTGAGCATCAAGAGAGAGGAGATGCTTTCCGGAGCTAAAAATATTGTCGGAACCTGCAAACCCTTCAGAAAGGGTTTCTCACATAAGGAGTTAGACACTTTGGTTATCAACAGCTGAGTAAACAAGCTCTCACTAGGGAGAAATGTCAAATCCTCCACTTGGAGTCAGAAGCCTTTTTCCTCCTATCCGAAAGAAAAGAGAATTGGCTTAAAAACAGAGTGTATGAGAAAATAACTTGTGGCTTTAGCTGATAGCAAGTTCAGCAGGAATCTGAAGTATGGCTTGACATGAGGCACAGCCCACACACTTGATATGTACTCGGTGGTCCCGCACACCTGGCACCTGGAAATTCAAGCTCCTCCCCAGCCCCATCAGCCCACTACACTGGAGGGAAGGAGTCCAGAGCTGGTGATAAAGATGGGTAGGGGCAGGTGAGGGACTGGGACTCAGCAGAAAGAGAACAGTTTCATGGATCCAGGACAGCCATTTAGGATTCTGGAAGGGTGCTTTGAGGGGCAAGGGTACGTGCGCCAAGGGGCATGTGGGTGGTGGTTGACATTGGTTCTGTGCAGGAAGCCTGTCCTGACCTGTAGATTATTCATGAAGGGGATGGGATCCCTTGGGGGTGGCCTGCCAGCTGTGGGCATTCCTGCCCCAGATGTGAGTCAGGATACCCCAAGGAGCACTGAGCACTGGACTGGGAGTCCAAAAAGCTGGGTTTCTTCTGCCTTCTGCTGTGACTCTGGCCTTCATTTTCTCATCTACAACAGTATCTGCCCTGCCTTTCTCTCCCAGGATGTCATGAGGGCCATGTGACATGATGTATGTGCTACAGCTGTATAAACTGTAAAGCCCTTTGTAAATATACGGAATTATATTATTCCTGTAAAAGATCTCTCTTGTGAACTAGCCACAAGGGCCCAGCAGCCTGTATTCCCTCTTTGGGGAGGTATCACCCCTGGCCTGATCCTCCCAGGACATCCCTCCAGCCTCCTTTCCATCATCGCTCCCCTAAAAACAGCCCATATATGCATAGCGGGGCAGTGGTCACCAGCCCTCTGCCTACTGGAGGCAGAGCACAGATTCCAGACCTTGGGCCAAACAAACCTCAGAGGCTCGCAGCATGAGAGGTGAGGAAACCCAATCCAGGGGCACTTGGACAGAGGAAGGAGGCAGCACAGTGGCCCACGACTCCCTGTGTCTCAGCTCCCTGCTCCTACCCTCTCCCAGAGCTCACTGGGTTGACTTGAATTCTGGAAGAATCTCATCCAACTCAATACATAAGCTTCAAAGCACACCATTCCCTCCCAGACCGCCCCCCTCCACCTTTCCCCTCTGTAAATAGGAGTGTTGTCTCCTTGGATGTGACCCAAATTTCAAGCTTTTAGTGCATGGGAGTGCAGCCCGGGACTGCAACCGTGTGGAAGTTGGCTTTACCTCATCCTAGCTGTGTGGCTTCAGGCCATTACTCAGCCTCTCTGTGCCTCAGCTTATTAACATGTAGCTAGACATAACTGTGTTTACTTCTAGGATCATTTGTGAGAACTAAGAGAAATACTACAGAGACCTTGCTCTTCACGGAGTTACACAGTAAGTGCTTTTACTACTATCACCATTCTGGGGGACTTGGGATTTTGTTGTCACCACGAAATCCCACGGCTTTTCTGCAGTGGGGCAAGAGTATGGGGTTTCCCTCAGACATCCTGGGAACCAAGATCCCAGGAGACGCCGCTCATCACAGAGTGGGCCTCCTGCCTCCCGGGGGTGCTTTCTGCTTCCTGGGGCTTCTAGGTCTCCGAGAATGAGGGGGTGTCCCTTCAGGGGGTGTCCCAGGAAGGGTGGGGAACCACACCCAGGCACGGGCATCATAGTGCAGCTCAGGGAGAGAAAATTTCTCAACTAGCTCACAGTCTAGAGGGGATAAAAACACAGGAAAACAATAATCCTAAATATGGCTAGGGTTGCAATGGGGTGTGTGCACCAAAGGACACCCACAACCCCTGGGGAGGCGCATAGGGAGCCCACCAAATGCCCAGCACTTGGCTAGACCCTGGGGTATAAAGAGGTGGGGACCAGGGGACCAGTCCCTAGAATGGTTCTCAACCCGGCCCCACGCACACCCTGGACAGACCCCAAGGGCCGTCCTGTCCCGCCCGCTCGCCCTTGCAGGTGCGTCGGAGCAGCGCTGGTCCATGCAGGTGCCGGCCGAGGTGAGCGCAGCGGTGGGCGAGGCGGCCGTGCTGCCCTGCACCTTCACGCACCCGCACCGCCACTACGACGGGCCGCTCACGGCCATCTGGCGCGCGCGCGAGCCCTACGCGGGGCCGCAGGTGTTCCGCTGCGCGGCGGCGCGGGGCAGCGAGCTCTGCCAGACGGCGCTGAGCCTGCACGGCCGCTTCCGGCTGCTGGGCAACCCGCGCCACAACGACCTCTCGCTGCGCGTGGAGCGCCTCGCCCTGGCCGACGACGGCCGCTACTTCTGCCGCGTTGAGTTCGCCGGCGGGGACGTCCACGACCGCTACGAGAGCCGCCAGGGCGTCCGGCTCCGCCTGTCGGGTGAGCGCGGCGCGGGGCCCGGGGGCGCATGGAACACCCCGGGCAGGCGGCGCGGAGGGCGCGGTTGCTGTTGCTCTCCCCCAGCTCTCGCGCCCCTGTCCCAAGGGCTTGCAAGGGGCTGGGCACCGTGCCCACTGCTGGCATCAGAAGGCGTGATGCCTGATGCACGACCCTGTCTCTAAAGAAGGGGGCCTCAAACTTGGCGGTGGTTACTGGCCGCCTGCAGAATCCTGGTGCCAGGAAGGGTGGGGAAGACCCAGGCATGGGCATCATAGTGCAGCTCAGGGAGAGAAAACGTCCCCACTAGCTCACAGTCTAGGGGGGATAAAAACACGAGAAAACAATATTCCTAAATATGGCAAGGGTTGCAATGGGGTGTGTAAACCAAAGGATACCCACAACCCCTGGGGAGCTGCATAGGGAGCCCACCACATGCCCAGCACTTGGCTAGACCCTAGGGTATAAAGATGTGGGGACCAGTCCCTAGAATGGTGGTTCTCAACCTGGCCGGGCAATGGAGTTTCCTGTGGAACTTTTAATCATGCTGGACCCCTACAGTGAGGGATCCAGATGTTCTGGGTTCTAGGGTGGCTGGGCCAAGAATGTCCACATGCCCTTGGGTTGGGTTGGCTTGGCCACCTCTCTGTTTCACTTTCTTCCCAGAGTCTGCACCTCCCTGCCATAATCCCAGGACTCAGAATCAGTCTCAATTCTAGATGCAAGGTACCCCTGAAATCACACCAGCAGTCAGGCCCCCAGCCTAGGTGACACTGCAGGCACATTAGCTAAGAACCACCATTTAGTGAGTCCTTGCTACCAGCCAGACCCTAGTCCAAGCTTATTGCCTTGCCACATCTTCTCAACAGCCCAATAAGGTAAGTGACCCGCATCTTACACATGGAGAAACTGAGGCACAGAGTTGAGGAATAGCTTGCCCAGAGAATAGCAGGCTCAGAGTTGAGGAAAAGCCATACCTGTCCTGGGACCCAGGCAGGTGAGCTGCTCCCCCCATTTCCACTGAAGGGAACAGTTAGTGGTACCCCTAACCCTTGCCACCTCATGCATGCACTTAAACCACAGTTCATTTTCTCCCCCAACTCCCTTGACGGCCACCTGCAGCCACCCCACGGATACTCAACATCTCCGTGCTCCCTGGCCCAGCACACACCTACCGCGCACTCTGCACCGCCGAGGGGGAGCCGCCGCCTGCCCTTGTTTGGTCTGGCCCTGCCCTGGGCAATGGCTCGGCCACTGGGCCAGGCCTGAGTCAGGGTCGTGGCTACCAGGTGACCGCGGAGCTGCCCGCACTGGCCCAGGACGGTCGCTACACCTGCACAGCTCCAACAGCCTGGGCCGAGCAGAAGCCAGCGTCTACCTGTTCCGCTTCCATGGTGCCTCTGGGGCCTCAGCGGTCGCTCTCCTGTTCGGTGCCCTCTGCTTCAAGGCGCTGCTGCTGCTTGGTGTCCTGATAGCCCGTACAGCCGCTGCCCGCTGCGGCCTAGGTGGGTGCACCTGGGGCCAGAGTGGGTGCAAGGGGCATAGCAGGGCCTCCCTTCTTAGATAAGACCATCTCTCTGATCACCTCCTTGATACAACCGAAACACCATTTTTGCACTCCCAGCATCAGGCCCAGGAGGTGGGAACCAGCATTAGCCCATCTTACACCAGAAAGTTGGGATGGAAGAGGTTAAGAAACTTGCCTCTGGCCTGGAATCACAGAATTAGGGACCCAAACTGTATAGCCCCCCTTCATCACCACCCCCTAAATGACTCTTCCCTGAGGGCTCTGACCACACACAGGCCATTCCAAATGGCTCTATTCACTTATGTTACAGCAGCTCAAGGACCTGCTATGTGCTGTGTAGGTACTAGGACCACAGCTATGAATAAGACATGGTTCCCTGCCCTTGAATGGGATGGAACCAAATAATGTGATATGCAGTGAGCTTTTGGAGTTGGGGGAGTGGGTTGATAGAAGCCAGAGGAAAAGCTTACGTTGGCAAGGTGAGAGCTACATCAAAAATTACAGGTGGGCCCAAGCTAGGGAAACATGGAGCAAGTGGTATTCCTAACAGAAGGAACGGCATGTGCAAAGGTGTGGGGTGTGAACAGCAGGGTGCTCTTGCCCCACACTGCTCTGAGGTGGACGGATGGGTGGGTGGGAAAATTGCTCTGTGCCCTGGAAAGGGGACTTCCTACAGCCTGTCAGACCACTGGGTCAGTAGCACCAGCCTCACACTCTCATGGGATGAAATCCAGATATTGTCAGCTGCCCTGGTGCTTCCTGTGCTAAGGCCACACTGGTGTTCTTGCTGGCCTTCGAATTCACTGGGCATCCTGACCTCAGGGTATTTTCCCATTGGACTGTTCCTCACTCCACCCTTCTCCTTAACTCCCGAGCCTCTCTCAGGCTTCTTGTTCACACCCTGCTACCTTGCAGTTTGTTGTATCTGCCCTTCAGACCACTGTGGGGTGGGGTGGATGGCAGGGCTGGTAGTATGGAGGTACCATGGAGGTTCATGCCCTCTCTTTCTCTCTCTCTTTCAGAGCACCCAGTCACCCAGGTCAGCCCACCACGGTAAGTGAACTACCAACCTCACCCCACTGACCAGTAAGTACAGGCCTCAGGCTGGTGGCATGAGGAGACAGAACAGGCAAAGTGGGCTCTGGTCTTAGTCAGGAGCTAGGCCCTCCCTGTCCCCCTCCTTCAGTTCACCACATTCATCATAGGCCAGACCAGGCCATGCTGACCTGCTCCCTGCTGCTCTCCCCTATCCCAACAAGGCCCTGATTCCCAGCATTTAACTTCCTGGGCCTCCCACAACTGGCAGAGCTCCCAGACCTGGTGTCAGGCAGGCTATGGGATTTATTCCAAGTACAACGAGAAGTCCCTCAATGGTTGTAAGCAGGTAAGTGGCCCAATTTGAAGAATAAGGGCTATTGATCAAGGCTGAGACTGGTTCAGGTGGCAGCAGTGGACAGAGGGCAGACAGAAGGCAGGGCTGGCCAGAGGATTGGGTAGGCAGAGCAAGGAAGGGAGGGTGCCAGCCAAGATGTCCAGGTTTGGAGCTGGAAACTGGAGGCCACTTACCAAGGTGAGGAAGAGAGAAGAGAAGGTGGGGTGGTATGGCCAGGAGCACACCAGCACTACGGACAGTGAGGTGTGAGGTGCCCGGTGAGACATCCCAGAAGTCAAGGGGCAGCCGCACCACAGGGACGAGGCTACCCACTGGAGGTCAGGAACAGGGAAATGGCTTTTGACGCCAGATGACATCCCTTTGAGAAGACAAAGAGACTCTGCAGTCCGGGATGCTGTCAGCCCCTCCCTGTTATAAAAGTTCTCCCACTGCCCAGGCCCCTCCCTTCACTTAGTCTCCAAGCCTGTTGGATCTAGGGGTCTCCCTACCCCCTACCCCTCCCCTACTCCCATCGTCACCTCATCCCCACCTTCCCATTGCTGTGGTATGCTTTGGGCAGTTAGGACCCCGCTCCTGTATGGGTGATCAGCTAACTTTCTTGTGTCCACAGGCCCCAGGTTCAAGAGTCCAACTATGAAAATTTGAGCCAGATGAGCTCCCAGGGTTCCCGGGCAGCTGTGTGTTCACCGTGAGGAACCCCTTGGCCAAGGCGAGGCAAGGCTGAGATGGCCCTTCCTGGCTCCCAGACACCTTGGCAGCTGGGCAACCCCCAGAGGGGTTCAGGACCTCACCCCCAGAGGCTCAGTGGAGCCCTGTCTCAAGGCCCTCATGATGTTTATGTCTTGGGGACCAGCATTTTGAAAGTGTATAATGTGTGTGCACATGTGAGCTTCATCGTAAACTTCCAGAAAATTCCCTCTAACCTGTTCTTACCTAGAATGCTACAGAAAAGCAAGCGGTGCACTGGTCAGAAATCCAGAGGCCGAGGCTCTGTCTGGGCTTGGGCACCAACCTGCTGGGTGGCCGAGAGCACTGTTGCCTCCCTGGGGCTCAGCTCCCCCATGGCTGAACCCGGCTGGTGGTGTTCTTCCCTCCCGGTTGGCTTCCAAGATCTCAGGGATGACGGATGTGAAGGGACTTTGTGAAGCACGAAGTTGCCTGTAAATGTGAGGGGCGGTGCAGCCTCCTCCTTGCAGAGCAGGGTCAGGAAGTGCAAAGTTGTCATACAGTGTGGCACCCACACCAGCCTCGCGAGAGCAGGGGCTCCAGAGAATGAGCCCGGGGCTAGGGCCGAACAAACCTGTGCTCCAGAACATCAAATCCTAGAAACTAAGTGGCAAGGAGAGGCCTGAAGCCCTTGCCCCTGCGTCTCCTCTCTGTGTCCCACATTCTGCCCACCTTCACCCTCCCTGCCCCGCTCAGGGTGCTCTGCACAGCCCCGGGCTGGGACCCCCTGGGTAAGGCAAGGACAAGTGGGCAATGGCTTCCTTGGTTGACTTGGGATCCATCCAGGATTGTGTGTTAAAAGGTCAGAGAGGTACCTACTTGTGTGAGGGTGCTTGGGGGCCCCTCCATGGGAGTCCTGTGTCACCAGGAAAGAAGTGCAGGACACAGGGGGGCGGGCGGTGTGAAACATCTGCCTGGTCTTTGGACCAGTTTCACAGCCAAGAAAAAAAGTAATTGGAATTATTTACTACCTGTCTATTTTATGCAGGAACCGCAGCAGGTGTTGGGGATGGATACGTGCATGACATGAATAGGCGCATGTATCAGTCAGGCTGGGCTAAGTGGTTCTATGGGAACAAACTCCAATATCATGGTGGCTAAAAACATTAAGGGTTTATTCTCTCCAAAGCTACATGCCCATTACAGATTGGTGGGGCCTTGCTCACCACCCTTACTGAGGGCCCCAGACTCTCAGGGATCCACCACACCTAATATTGTAGATTGCTCGGTTGGAAATCAAAAGAAAGCCCCAGAGTGGCCCCAACTTGTGATCACAGTTCATTGGCCACACTAGCCATGCGCCCCACTCACCTGCAATGGGCCGGGCAGTGCAGCTTGACACAGTACTTGGGAGGAGGAAAGCCAGGATCATCCGTGAATGGCCCTGGTGACTCCACAGTGACTCGGGAGTTCTCAGGCTAGTGAGTGACACAGAGCAGTAAGTAGTAAATCATGCAAGGACAACAGCGGTGTAGAAGCATCCTGGGGTGCTGTGGGAGCGCGTGAAAAGGGTATTGGGCCCAGTCTTGAAAAGGCTTTCTGGGAGAGGGGGAGTGGAGTTGGTACACATTGGCCATGCCTGTGGGGGAGCCTCTCTGGGGAGCAAGGAGGGTGCCAGGTAAGAAAGAAGGGCATTCTAAGCTGAAGGGGCAGTCTCAGCAGAGACAAGTAGATCTGACCCAGCTTGGTGTTTGAATAGTTGGAAGTTGCCAGAGCTGAGGCTGCTGCAAAAGACACCAGCAGGCAGTGGAGTGCTGCCCTGCAGGGACAGAGCACAGAAGGGAGTTGGGTGCCGGCTGGGGTAGCTGGTTCCCTGTACTTTCACCTTCTGACCACCACACCTTGCCTTGGAGCTGGGACTTCCTCACTGAGTTATGGGGTAACCAGCATCAGGACACCTGGAGAGTTTGCTCAAAAGCCTCTTCCTCCTATTGTATGAACTAAAGGGAGGAAACGTGATCCTCCAAAACAGTGGGCACAGTGGGATTCCCTGGGCTTTTCAGGGCTTGGCCCCAGAGCTTCCTCCTCCACAGTCTGTCCCTAAGTCCTATCTGCCAGTGACCTCAAAGGGTCACCAACTCTGAAGATTGCCCAGGAAAGCCCTAATGGGGACACTCACCTTCACATTCTGGCAGAGGTTGCTGCTGTGACCTCTGATGGGAAGGGGAAGAGGAAGGGAAAGTGTGGAAGGGGGTGAGGCCTTAAGAAAGATCAAGGAGAAGTTGGCCAGGAGCAGGTAAACCCAGGAAAGCTAAGAGTTTCCAGGGTAAATCTGGTCTAAGCCACAAACATAGACTATGTTAAAATAGTGTCCAGACCACATGACTTCAGCATGACCAGGAATAAGAGTCTGTTTCCTAAAAGGTTTAGGCAGGTAAGGAAAGACCAAGTGGGAAGGAGGGCTGTCCCCAGGAGTGTGTTTTTAGAGTCGTGGTTCTTTTATCCTCAGATGAAGCTCAGAGTTGCCCCTTGTAACACAGGCCACTTTCTAAGCCATTTCTTTGGGAGTGTCCCAGCAAGGAAGCAAGACAAGCCTCTGTGCCACATTTCAACCCATAAGTACTGTGGTTCTATGTGGAAAAGGAAGCCAAACCCAAACAAGAGTGGGAAAGAGGATACATCCCACACCAAGAGGGTTGTTTGGGGGGACCCCAAGTTGATGCCAATCTCCAATCAAATATGTAGACCCTCCCACCATACTTTGCCCATTCACTATTAATAAATATGAACACCAAGGAACAACTCCCTGGCCTCCCAACACAGAAAGGGTTTTCAGAGCAGCCCATGACCAAGGATGGGGCTTAAGTACCTGGCCGGCGCCCCCTACTCAGCAGTGGGGGTCTTTGTGAGCTTCATGTCCTTCCTCCCACCAAGACTCTGGAGCTCTAGTGAGCTGTCTGGGATCACCAGGTCTTGGATGTCTGTGTCTTAAAACTCCAAAATTTTCAATTCTCAAAGTAAAATGTCACAGAACATAGATTCTACCTGTTACAAACTTCCTAATGGCACATTTTTCTTAGTGAGATTTCTGGATGAAAAGACCTGCCAACCAACTACCCAAAAATGACATGTCTGCTATGTGTACATTAAAAGTGAATCTAGTTTATTTGCAGAAGTTTACTTAACCAATTCCCATTTCTCTGTTTCTCATCATTATATAAAAAGTCACCCTTTATACAAACATGTAAAATGCTGAACAATGTGTAGGAAATGAATATCCCACATGTAATGACATGCAGGAAGGAAAGGAGTTGAACACACTTGAGGTATTTGTCACTATGTAAGTGATTTTAAGTCTTTGAAGGAAAAATAAACTAACTCAGTGCTCGATGGGAGCTGTTTCATCTATATAATAGAAGTTATAATCAATAATTTTCCTTATTGAGCTCATTATCCCAAAATAGGGTCAGTAGTTAATTTTTTTTCCAAGTTATTGTCATCACAAATCAGGAACCTATCTGGACTGAAGAAAATAGTAATTCTGGCCTTTATAGGACATCTGGTGTCTAGATTTGAGGCTCATCACAGAACTGACTTAAGAACTCCGTGCTGTAAACTCAGAAGCCAATGGAAGATCACAGGCAACCCTAAAAAAACCACCAACCATACTTATTTCCAACATCGAACACATTTTGCTTAAGAAGCAGAAAAATGATCAAGTACTACCTCAAATAAGCTGTCAAATTGGCCCCAAATGAAGAGTCATTTAAAGGTGAGTGCAGAGGGGCCTGTTTTTAGCCCTATGCTGCAGGTATGTGAGGGGACCGACGCTGGAGATCTGGAGCTCAAACACGGCACTGGTTGTGCCAGTCACAGGGCATAACTGTGAGTGGAGGCCACCAAGTGTCCACAGGCATGATGGTCACACTGCTGGTCCATGCTGGGGGGCCAACTACCAGGGCACGGACTAGGATGAGGGCACAGCATGAAAGAAGTACATTCTCCCAGTGCCTGCAGGCAAGTGGCAACTTAAATTTGTGCCCTTGGTGCCTCCTTTGTCTCACCCAAGTCCTGGACACTGTCCTCTCTTAGAATACGTGAGCATTTTCCCCACGTGTAGCCCTGTTGCCATGGTGGGGGAGAGCATTTAGCCTGAAGGGGATCCATGGATGGGCAGAGGTTGGGTCAGAGACATGACGGTCTGAGTGTGTCTCATGTGAGGGGCAAGAGCAGCCCTCGCCTGGCTTATTCCTGCAGATTCCTGAGCAGCGTTAGCCAGAGGTGGGCTTGAGTTCCAAATGAAGAAGTACAAACAGCTAGCCAGTAGCAGCCTGGGCCTGGCATCCAGGGGTGGGACTGCAGGCCCTGGGAGAGGGGGTGGAGGGTGGAGGATCAGGGTTGGGGTTGGCACTTGACTAAAGCCGGGACAGGCTGCTCTGTAGGGGAGGAGTGTCTGGACTAGGCTTTCCTCACTTTCCTCAAGCTCAAGGGACTGAAACTGACAGATTTAGGCATAGCCCCGAGAAGGCAAATGTGGCTGAGCCAACAAACTGATCCTGAAACTGCAAAAGGAGTCGTGCCTGGAGCCGAGGTCCTCTGTAGGTCTCGCAGCCCCAGGCACTTGTAGGGTGGGGGTCTGGTTCCAGTGTCAGGCTCAGCAGACTCAGCTACAGGACTCCTGCCTCAGCATCTGTGCCTTCGTCTCCTGTCAGTGTTTGCTTGTTGCAGAGTTAAAGGCTGGGGCTAAGAGAATGAGGGAGAGCATGTCAGGTGCCTCTCTGACCAGTCCTTTGTGTACTGTGGTGGGGATGAGTGGAGAAGCAGAAGAGGGGTTTTTCATGGCATCCAGGCAGCGGCTACACATCTGTCTGAACCAGCAGCACTGAGGGCCACGTGTGGGCAGTTTGCAGTCACACCCTTTCACCTTCCACGTTGCTGGGCACAGATGCACTTGGTCTTGCTTAATCTGTGTATCTACATGCAGTGCACATAAGTCCTGGAACTGGGACCTGGACTCTGGAGGCTGTTTTCTGGAGCAAAAGCCCGTTGTTCCTGAAAGCCACTGTCAGTGCTGTTTTGTCTGCCAGGTCTATTCTTTTCCAGGAGGCTTCAGCAGCATTGCCAACTTCTGAGCTATTTCAGTGTCTTTGGCTCACTTTCTTAGACCAGAGCCTCTCAGAGGAACTTATATGGTTGCTGACCTCAAACAAAAGCAATCAGTTATTTCAATAACAAGTAGAGTTTACGAGGAAACAGACTAGAGGACCGATTGGTGAATGGGTGTTCATGATGAGATCCAGGGCACTTACCCAAGCCCAAAACTAACTAACTCTATACGACCTCTGGCGAGCCCACCCCTCAGTTCCACAGGAGGGGAATTTGTATTCCCTCCCTTGAGAGATGCCAGGCATGTGGGGTTCTGTAGTTTGCTGACTTGTGTGCCTGTGTGGCCACTTTCTAGCCTCCCGGCCTCATTTAAATGGAGTTCTGAATATTACTGTTCACAGGGTGAGCACCCCTTCGGTGAAGTGTGAAGGAGTTAGAAAGGAAGCACTTTTCCTCACCATCTCCGATAATCAAGTTAGAGTCAGATGACATCAGGCATAAAATCTGCATCAATTTGACCAACTGAAATACTTTACAAGATAGTTTACTATCCCTAAAAATAGAATTCTTACCAGCTACAACCAAAGATTGATTTTATTTTTTTTATAATTTTTACAGGCCAAAGATACTATAAATATTATAAACCTTCAAAAATTAACAGATTAATCATAATTTTTTTAAAATGTACATACTTCACTCAAACATTTCACATTCTAGGATATCAATAATTACATCCTCCTCAAAGAAAACAGCACACAAAATATTTCCTGTCATAAAACCTTTGTTGCCAAATCAGCTATTAAACTGTCCAAAGCATCTAAAATTTTCCCATCAACAGCGCAGGGAAGATCACTGACTTGGAAATGGAGAGAAGCAAACACAAGGAGCGCTGAGACATGCCCTCAGGGTGGACACTTGGTGGCCTACAGCTTGGAGGCTGAGCAGGCAGATCTCTATCAGCTATGTCTGTGAGGCAGAATTGTTCTGTCCGACTAAAGAAGTTCCAAATAAAGAGCAATTCCTGCACACTTCCAAATGTGGGGGAAGCACTCCAAAAGGATATTTAAAAAGAGATTATCACTCAGTTAATCGGTATCCCTATCTCGCCATTTAAAGTTCTCTGTGACTGTTCAGACATTTTCAGGTGACTATCCTTGCGCTATAGATAACTCAACAAAGACAAGCTGGACAAAGAGAATCAATTCTGAGGCTATGGTATTACAAATATGAAGACAGAAGTCAAACTGCTAATTCCTGAGGAAAATAACAAGAGCACAAAGAAGGTGACAGAACAAGGCAAAGTTACAGGCTTTGGTAATGAAGGAATAAACTGTTAGCAACAGGAGATACATGGCAACTGGAAAAAACAAATTTCATTTTCAGTCTCCTGTCCTGACCCAGTTTCCATGTACAAGTGTTTCAACAGGTTTGCTAGCTTCGTTTGAGTCTAAATATGGAGTGAAGCAACACATAGGGAACAGAGAATTGAATTCTCAACATCTGTCCATGTGTGTCTGTCCATGCTAGGGCCTTCCAGTACCAGACTTGGTGTCCATCAAGGTTACCAGCTTAGATGTGCCTGGGGGCTACGTAAATGAGGAGAATAAGGGGATGGCTGGGGCAGGACCAAAGGGAATTTAAGTCTGTAACGAACTGGAGTGAGTGCTGACTACAAGCTCTTCCATTTGCGCCAAACAAAATCCACACTGTGTGCACCCAACCCCACTCAGGTGTCTGGCGCTCTCTGTGAGGACGCGTGGCTGGGTGGAAATAAACTGGTCACCATCTCTTCAGTCCAGTGGATCATGTGGCCATATTTTGGACAATGACTCACGATAATTTAGCATTTTTATCTTCCATTTGAGAGAAATAATAAAATATATATTCCCCTCCAAAAATGTGGGAAATACGTTTTCCCACATTTGAGAAGGGCAGAAATTTTCAAAGCTTGTTTTATTTTGAAGGAACATATATGGGTTTCAAAAGCAAGGGTTCTACATGATTCCTAAATTAGATGTGGCACAGGAGTCTTAACATTTAAATAAATATGAGGAGAGAGAAATGGAGACAGAGGAACCCCACCTTGGGGTCTGGTGAGATGACTAGGCTATTTGGCAACTGTGAGTGGCTCTGAACCCAAGTGGAACTTAGTACATTTCTCTTGTTGGATAAACATTAAAACATAAAAACATACATCAAAACACATACACATGTGCACATGCACAACAGAAATACCTAGTGCCTTGCAATTTGCTTCTCAGTCAACTCACCCATTGGCCAAACTGAGTTCAGCAGTTAAAGTGAACAAAGTTACTTGTGCAACAGCAAAGTCACATGTAAACATAAACAGCAACAGGGTTTTTCAAGAGCCTCAGTGTTACTATCGGATGTTGTCCAAATAATGCACTTCTGGATAAAGACAGTTAACAAGAAGAGCCAAGAGGCTTTTCCCATCTTGGAGGCAATGACCAGGACTCTTTATAAATTGTGTGGCCTGCGAGATCTGATCCTGGTATTCAACATACTGCTTACTTGATGTCAAGGATTCAAGAGCAGCCAGAGCCTGAAAAACATGGAGAAGAGAGGGTTAACCACATGGATATATAACATGACTCCCACAGGCAGAGCACACCCAACCATCATCATTGGGTACAACCACGAGCCTCCTGGGAGTTAGAGTCCCAAAGACTGACTACCCACACCAGAGAGAGACCAGCAATCCAAGCATCTCCAGCTTTTGCTGCCTCCCACGTCCACCCCTTCCTTCTTTCCATCCTGCGCTGTTTCCTGGCTTCACTGCAGAGATCCTCTGTGTGGCCATGCTGGAGGGTGGTTCCACCTCGTTCTCCTCCCCCAGTCTCTGGAGTGGAGGATCCAGCCCCTCCCCTCCCCTGCATCACCTGCTCTCTCTCTTTTGGAAATCACAAGTACCAGTTGCCCGTGAGGCCAGTAGTAGTTTGCCATTGGGTTTGTTCTCATGTTACAAAGTAATGCTGTATTTAACTAAGTAGGTGAAATTCAAAAGAAAGGAATGTTTAAATGCTGCTGAGGATAAGTGAAAAGGTCTTTCTTTTCTACCAACAAGCACAAAGTAGAGATCAAGTTCCTCCAATTTCACCTGACAAGTGGCACAGAAATGATGAAGAAAATGTTCCCATGCCTCTCTTCCAAGGAATAAAAAAAGAAAAATATTCTTTAATTTTAATGTTCCCTTCCTTCATAGTGGGAGAAGCGTAGAGAAAGAGACTGTATATGAAGAAAACAAACAAAAATCAGAACAATGGTTCTTGGGGTGGGAGGCGAAAGTTTTGTTTTCTAACCACACAAGCTCAGCCCTACCCCCAGGATTCTGACCATGGTCCCCTCCCAATGGGGCACTCACTGTTGTGAAGTCCCCCAATAACATTCTTATTTGGGGGAGTCACTGCACTAGAGACTATACAGTAAAAGATGGAATCTGTGTAGCTCAGTTTATAGGGAGCTGGCCCTTTAAAGGAATACTGGCAAGGACAGGCAAGGCCTATGAGCCGTGGTGGCCGCAGCTAAGGCAGAGCCAAGCTCCAGTACAGGCCGACACTTCCCAGACACTGGAGTGTATCGTGCTGACTCCACCCAGCCCTGGAAGACTCATCTTCCTACTTGTGACAGTTCATATAAGTCATCAGGGATTCAAACAGTGATTGTCCAGTCAGCCCTGGAAAAGTACCGGGTCATATAGAGACCCAGATGCCTGCAAAGGAGCTGCCGATCCTTGGTCCTACTAACTAAGACAACACACGGCATGTGTCTGCCTCAGACATAACAGAGCTCGAAAGAAAAGAGCCAAGGGTTACCATTTACAGAGACAATAATGCAGAGTGACAGGAGAGTGAGCCTGAAGCCAGACTAGCCAAGTGAATTCCATCCCAGTACTTACAAGCTGTGGGATTTGGGATATATGACTCAGCCCCTCTCTGTCTCCATTTCCTTACTCACAAATCCAGGGTAATAAAAGTTTGTATGCTCCAGGGTTGTTAAGAGGATAAAAAGAGTTAGAACTTTTAACTCATTAACATCAAGTGGGTTAAAACTTAGAACAGTGCCTGGCATGTAATAAGCATTCAAGAATGGTGACCACCATGGGAGTGCAAACTGGTCCAACCAATATGGAGAGCTGTGTGGAGATTTCTGGACCTACTAAACATAGAGCTTCCATATGATCCAGCAATTCCACTCCTAGCTTAACAATAGCTAAGCTTTGGAAACAACCCAAATGCCCAAAAATAGATGACTGGATCAAGAAGATGTGGTACATACACACCATGGAATATTACTCAGCATTCAAAAAAGATAAACACATGCAATTTGCAGCAACATGGATGGCGCTGGAAGGGATCATGCTCAGCGAATAAACCAGAAAGAAAAAGAAAAATACCGGATGGTCTCACTCATAGCAGGAATCTAAAAAACTTAAATAAGGGACCAGGAAAATGAATAACTATAAGAAAGTGAAAATCAAAATCAACAAAAAAATATGAACCAGAGACACTCTATGGGGGGTGGGGGACGGGGAGGGGAGGGATTGGGGTCAAAATAAGGGGGATGCAATTGTATGGGGAATATAAAAATAAAATTTATTTAAAAAAAAAAATTAAAAAAAAAATGGTGACCACCATGTAGATTGTATGCCACTGAGCCTGGCTCGCCTGATCATAGTTAATAAAATAGTTAAAGGAGTGGGACCATGCCATGTGGCCCTCCACATGTCAGAACCAACTACAATTTCTCACAGCTACCACTTTGTCATGTGAGGTTATTTCAACTTCAACCAAAGGTGGCCAATCTCTAGATGCACAATACAGCAACCATTTCCTTGGTTCAAAGTAAGCCCTCAGCCAGCCTCTATGGTCCTCAGCTGTGGCCTAACTTCTGTGCCAGGCCCCAGGCCCCAGCACTAGCAGGTCAGCACACAGACATGTTCATCGGAACCAAATCTGATGGTAGCCCGGCAGTTCCATGGCCTCACTTCTTCTACAGCGGTCCTAACAGGGCTCCAGGCAAGCACCTTGATCAAACCCACTTACCAATCTGAGGCAGCCATGTGTGGTGACCATCTTCCAATTAGAGCACACAAAAGGGCATCAACCACTGCAGACCATCATAACATCAAGCGTAAAGATGAAGCAGATACCCCTACCTCCGGAGCAAGCCCTGTTGGAAAAAAGTCTACCCCACACTTGTAAGGCTTTTTTAAGGCTTTTACTGACCTGCTGTGCTTTCAGGGACAGATGTAATTCAGAGCTGGGCTTCAAACGGATCTGATCCCCGGCAGGAACCTGAATTGAGAGGAAGGCAGCCATGCTTCGGGCAACCACTCGGAACCTTGGGTGTTAGAGAGAGGTCAGACAAAGGAAGTAATGATTAAAATAACCATTTAAAAAATAAACACCAACTTTCTATTTAAAAAACAAGATAAACACATTTCCAGACCTACTGGTACTAGTTTCTTCAGAAAATCCTAAATATGCTCAAGGATATAATCTCCCCCAAACAATGGAAACATAATTCAAACTCAAGAATGAAAGTGTTGGCAAAGACATAGAATAACCATCACACATTGCTAGTGGGACAGTAAAAGATGGTTCTGGCATTGTGGTAAAGTCTGGCAGTTACTCAGTGAGCTAACACAGAGGTACCATATGACCCAGAAATTCCACTCCTGGCTATATACCCTAAAGATCTGAAAACAACTGGTTTAACAAATACCTGTAAACAAATTTCACAGCAGCACTATTTACAAGGGTCAAAAAACGGAAACAACCTAAAATGTCTTATCAACTGAAGATCCGTGTGCTATAGCCATACAATGGAGTATCCTCCAGTTGTAAAAAAGGAATGAAGTATTGATACAGGCTAAAATTTGGATACAGGCTAAAACATGGATAAGCCTTGTAAGAAGCCACATATTATATGATTCATTTATATGAGATGCCCAGAACAGGATATACATTAAGTCAGAGAGCTGACTAATGGTTTTCAGAGACTTGGAAGAGAGGAAACAGAGAGACTGTTCAATGAGTACAGCATTTAATTTTGGGGTGACGAAAATGTGCTGGAACTAGACAGTGGTGGTGGATGCAACAATGTGAATGTACTAAATCCTACTGATTTGTACCTTTTAAAAGGGTTATCATGATAGAGTTTATGTTACATGTATTTTACTACAATTTAAGTGACTCAAAATCACACCATCTGGTTATTCTACCACAAACAAAGAAACATAATTTTAAGTGGTATGATTTGGGTGGTTCCCAAAGTTGCAACAACAGGATGGGCTATTCCAGAAGAATGTTAACATCAGAATGGAGGAGAACTCTTTTCAACATGGATAAGGGCTTTAAAAGAAACCATGATACAAATAATAATTATGAGATAAAGTAGGAGACTAATGGCAAATTATTTCATGCCTTAGAATTCTTAGCAACAAAAACCTAGATTTGTTTCTCATTATTTATCCTTCTCGTCAGTTAACCTGAAAGTATTCTGATTTGACAGCTCTCCTAGCCCATGTCTCACATGTGCCCTGGATGGACCCCATAAAGTGCTTAGTGAAGCAGCTGACTGAGGTAATTTAAACTGGTCTTGCACACCATCACTGGCTCAAAGTCAAAAAGAAATCAGTAGTGTGGTCAGGTTACAAAGTCAAAATACAACAATACTGCTAAAAAAAATTACACTGAACATACAAATGTTTTAAAATAAGAAAAAATATATAAAGTAAAATCAAAATCAACAAGCAGTTATAAACCAGAGACACACTAGGGGAGAACGGGGGGCGGTGGGGGGAGGGAATAGGATCAAAACAAGGCGGGTGGGAATTGTAAGGGGACTATAACCAAGATGAAAATGCATATATTGTGCAAAAATGAAAAATGATGTAAAAACATATATAAAATAATAATAAAAAAGAAAGAAAATATAAACCTATTTTTTTTTAAAATAAAGATGTCATCAGGCTCTGATAATGCTTTTCATTAATCTTTGGAGGGAACCCAGCTCCAAAGTTGGAAAACCTACCAGAATATCATACCCTGGGTAGTTAGAGACACCTGGGTCCACGTCCAAGAGCAGCGGCAGGTGCCTCCTTACCTGTTAGACAAGGGCGACTTCCGGCCCAACCCAATTGCTCCGAGAATCCCGGAACTGAGCCTTTCCTCGGCCACCAGGCTTTGCCTGCTCTGAAGCATGAGCAGTATGTGAATGACGGATTCTGTCAGGACTGTGTCATTCTGCTCCGCCTGAATCAGGGACAGCTGCAGGACTTGGTGCCACCACAGAAACAGCTTCGCTTCTTCCTGCACAGAGCTGGGGACGGGGCCAAGAGGAAAGAAAATTATAAGTGGATTTTTCCCAGTCCCATTTAACTGAAGGTCCACGCTGGACTTTTAAGTAGAGGGGACATCGAGTACTTTAAAAACTTAGGCTGACAGGTAAAAATGTTCATAAAGTAATGGGACTGTAACATTACCATTTACTGAGCACTTACTATGGGCCAGACAATGTGTGTGAGCTTATGTTCTTTCACCTAACCCTGATAACAGCTCTAGGAGGTACAGATTAACTCTTCTTAACCCATAAGGAAGCTAGAGTTGATGCTTCAAAATGCCTGTTCTAGGAAGTAACCCTGCTCAGAAAATTGGCCCATGCAAATCAAAATCTTGTTTCTTATGTATCACTTGGTTCTGTGCAATTAAATGAACACTTACTTAAATCCTAAATTCTAGGTTACCCAAATACAGTGAGAGACTCAGCAGCCAGAGGAACGCCATACCTGGGATACACCTGTTCCAACCACTTGCTTAAGAGGAACAGCACCTTCATTTCATTCCTCAGAGTCTGCTCGCTATTTAAACACTGAAGCAAGTAGACATAAAGAGTCAGGTAACTGCCAAGGGACAGGCACTCCTGAAGAAATTCTTCTATGGTGAGTTCAGGAACTTGGAGGGACACCAGGATTGGACCCCATCCTAAATTCTGATTGAGGGAGCCTAAGAAAAGAGCACCAAGAGGAGACAGCAAGGTAAAAGTGAAAATCTGTTCTATTTAACTACTCTATCAAATCTTTTCAGCTGAAGTTTAATGTCAAGAAAACAGTGCCCACCTCGGCTGAGGGGCCACAAAGGTGACACACACCACATAGCGTAGACTGGACAGGTGCCTGGCCCACACCCCTAATCCACCCCCCCACCCCCACCCTCAAAGGCCTGTGGCCTAGCCAGCCAATGTGGAGGGCTAAGACTTCGGAGCTCAGCGCTGCATTCTTATAAATCATCTTTCTCATCATATTATGAACATTAAAACCCCATGTAAGACACTGTTTGTCCCAGAGACCTAAAAGCCTTAACTTCGCCTAAAACCATTTGTTAGTATGTTATGAACACTCATGCTCTCCCAGGGGAAATTATCATCATTTTATCCATCAGAAGTATTTTTACTTATCAAAGTTTAGTTTGGCTCATTTCTCTTGAAAATGTTTCACAAACTCAGAAAAAAAAAAATTATTTTAATAAAATGAAGGAGTTTGAAACAAAAGTATTAACCTAATGATGATTCTCAATTCTTCAAGGGGGGATCGGAGGGGGTGACATGGTGACATGCACAGGACCTCCCATGGGGACAAGGGCTTGTTCATGGCTTGTCAAAACAGGGTAAGGGGCCGGTAAGGGGCACTTCCCAGCTTTCTTGTTCCAACACCCTGCTTTCTCTCCCACTTTGTGCTTTATGAGGTATATCTGCACACCAGAGATGAGAAATGCTATTCTGAGTAATTCTTCTCAACCAGACAAGAATCTGAGAGTTTAGAGGTAGGAAACATGAAAGATAAAAGGAAGGTGGGATGGTGGTCGTGGTGTTGACCTCTTTATAATAGTGTAAGAGATATAACAAAATAAAAGAATTCCCATAAATACATTTAGCAGGTGATGTATTTATAGGGGTCTTTTTACATAGACCCTGGTTTATAGCATTTGTTTTGAGGACTATGACTAGGTCTGTGGCAGGCAGGACCTGCCCATCATAAAGGGGCTGGTGACGCCAAGGCCAGAGACTCTCAGCCAACTGCAGACCTTTATAAAAAAGACAAAATGTATTCTGAAACATCAACATTTTCAGAGAATGAAGAGTATTTCAGTCCCTTGTGGAAAAGGGTCAGGAAGCTTCTGACAAAGCTGTAGTCTTTCTTGGAAAGGACCAATCTCACCAGAGTCTGAGATGTCGGTCCTCTTACCTTCTTTGAAGTAGGCAGTGATGCAGGCTTCCGTTGTCTCAGCCATGTGGCGGACGGAAGCCAGGCTCTGGCAGGCTGCTGTTAAAAGGGGCAGCACCACCAGCCCATGCACCTTCTGCCCAATCCAGGTCCGGATACTGCCCCGCAGGAATTCTGCCGTTGGAATAGTGGCATTGTTCATCATCATGAGAACTTCCATAAACAGGCTGCTAAGGGCCATGTGGCGGGTCTGGCTGTCCATGTCTGAAGAGGAACATAAATACACACTCACGCAAGGCCGCCAGACGGCAATATGACTGTGATCAGGGTGGTGAGAGGGCTTCGATCTTAGCTGTTCTCCAGCGAGATCTTATTAGTGGCTGATTCAAGGAACTCAAAGGAAGACTCTGGATGGCATTTAGCTTTTTAGGATAGGAAGTGGCACCTAAATACTGTGTAAGAGCACAGCGCTGTGAAGCTGTCCGCAGCCTCTGCAGCGTCGGTTTGATCCCGGCCAGCCGGTGAGGGTCCCACATGGCACAGCAGACCTCTCCTGCCTCGCCTGCTGCTCCCCTCAGCAGTGTATTTCATCAGTCTGCCTGTCCTGCTCCCCGCTCTGTCTCTAGTGAATACTTTCACCCTCCCGTGCATCTGGCCTATACCCTGGTTCTTGTATAAATAAATCTTTAAAAAAAAAAAAAAGAGCAAAGTAGGAACTACTGATTCATCCTTGGGTATAGAGTGTGGCAGAGCAATACTTCAATAACAGACATATGCATTTGGTGTGAAAGAGTAACTTATTCATCAGCAAATAATTAGTCATTACTTTCCAACCTCTGTTCATAAAAAAAAAAAAAAAAAAAAAACAGATGCCAAAAAGATGTCAGCAATTGTTTGGTACAGTACATCCACCTCCACCACTGCCAAAGCTGTGTTATCTAGAGCAATTTACAAGGAATACCAGTTATTACGCAAAACTAAATAGAAAAGAAACCCCTTTTTAAAGGCTTCTAACAGCAGCTCCTTCACTTTGCTTTGTAAATGAGAAAATGGATAGTATAATCATAATAATGTGTTTTTCCAAAATTTGAGGCAAAAGAGAACAGAATCCAAGAAAAAGCAAATTTATTTTACAGGTGAGCTATAAATGAGCATTCAACTGCGAAAGATTCCTTTTTCACATTCCCAAATCAAAAAAAATACATTTCTGAGTGTGGAGAAAACTATTCAATATTGGCACAACTTTTGCCAATTATTTCTAGCTTTCTCCACAAAGCTTCAGTATTTATGTCAATGGAAGTAGGAAGGTGTTAGCCATCACACCCATCAAGCCAAATTCACCCACTTGCACAGTGTAAAATAAACCCTAATTCAATGTGAGTATAAGATCTCCTTATTATTGAGCAAGGGCTTTTTTAAAGAGGATGAGAAGAAATGTTAACAGTATATGTGTGTGACTACATATTTTTTTCAAGTATTTCTATATATATAAAATATTTTTGGTAATGAAAGGCCTTATCTTTGAATTTCAGCTAAATAGACACTTTATCTCTTAATCAGGACTCGACTCGTAGGAACAAAAACCTACTGCAGTAAGCCTCCAGATAGATCTCAGCTTCTCTCCTATTGTTCATCATCAATAGAGTCAAATGTTTTCTTAAAAACCAGATTTAATCGCATCACTCTGATTAAGATCTTTCTAGTCCACCCTTCTCTCTGTAGCCTGGCCAGCTATTATTCCATCTTCCCGGCCCAATCACATATACTAAAAAGTTTCTCTAGTATTGCCTGCTAATTTTGATTTCCTTTTTTCTTTTAACATTCACTAGTGTTGTTGACTTGCCAAGCTGGTACAAAGACTTGAGTGCATTACCTCATCCCATACTTACCATATCTATACAAAACAGAGATGATTATCACCTTCATTTTGCAAATGAGATTATATAACTTGTTCAAGGTCACATATGCAGTAAGTGGTAAAGTCAGACAGTCTGGTTCCAGAATCTGTATTTTTAACTACCAAATTATATACACTATGAGAAATTTGTATTGTGGGTATGTTCAAGAAATTTCAACTGACATTTTTATTCACCAATTATGACCAACTCCAATAGCCATACCAGTTTTCTATTACTATGCTCCCCTAAATACTACAGTTACCCACTTTCAGTAGGTATTTAAATAAACACAGAAATATCTGAGACTTCATCCATGTCGTTGCACTCTGCAGGCATAGTGTAGTTCATCAACTGACTGCAGAACAATTCAGACCTTCTACTGAACCCCTCAGAGGCACTGATCCAGGGCACAGGTGTGCACACTTCGTTTTGTAAGTACCAACCAGTAGAATTCTGGGTAATGAGATGTGCAAATTGGATGATGTCAACTTTTTAAAATGGTGGTAGCAATTTACTCTGTGATCAGCAGTATCTGAGAACTGCAAAAATCCACATCCTTGTCCATGCTTGGTATTGAAAAGATTTTAATTTTAGTTATTCTGGTGGATGAGTCATATTATGTCAAAAAGGTTCTAATTTGCATTTCCCTAAGTATTACAAGATTTAGCACCTTTTCATAGCAGATTGGTCATTCAGATATTCTCTTTTGTACAATATTCTACAAAAAAATATTATTGGGTGTTGTTCTTTAAAAAAAAAAAAAAAGGATTTATTTATTTATTTATATAAGCACTGGGTACAGTCAGAAGCGCAGGAGGGTGAGAGAATTCACCAGAGCCAGAGCAGGGAGCACAACAGGCAGACTGACGAAGTACACTGCTGAGGGGAGCAGCGGGCGGCAGGAGAGGTCTGCGCGCCATGTGGGACCTCGCCCGGTAGCCTGGGATCGAACCGGCGCTGCAGAGGCTGCAGGCAGCTTCGCAACCCAGCGCTCAACCACTGCACCACTGGGGAGGCCCGTGTTGTTCTTTTTTTTAACTGGATTATCTTTTTCTCCCTTGTTTTAATCAAGTTAACATGATAATTTCAGTCATCCATACTTACTATAACTATTGCTATCACTGGGCCTAAGTCCACTACCTTACTGTGTGCTTTCTATTTGTCCATCCTATTGTACATTCTCATTTAGTTGGAAAGTTAAACACTTTTAATATTCTTATAAATTACAATATGTAGTCTTGATTTTTCAATGTCTGATCTCACCTGGTTCTCAGACAATGCAAGGGCTTTGAAACATTCTAATTCCTTTCACCTCCCTCACTGTTGTTATAATCCAATAAAACATTACAATTATTATTGTTTCAAAGAGCAAGGTTTCATTTAGATTTACTAGTTTCATTGTTCTTCATCCTTAGTCTCCTCCTCTCTATTGTTTTTTTTTTTTTTCCTTCTGCAGTCTTTGATTACATTTTGCTGTTGTTTTATAATTTCTTGAGCTGGATTCTTATTAGTTTTCTCAGTTTCCAAAAATTCTACTTCAGGGCCTCCCTGGTGGCGCAGGTGGTTGAGCACCGCACTGTGAAGCTGTCCGTAGCCTCCACAGCCCTGGTTCGATCCCAGCCGGTTGGCGAGAATCCCATATGGCGAGGTAGACCTCTCCTGTCTTGCCTGCTGCTCCCCTCAGCAATGTATTTCATCAGTCTGCCTGTTCTGTTCCCCGCTCTGTCTCCAGTGAATCCTCTCACCCTCCTGCACCTTTGGCCTGTACCCCAGTTCTTGTATAAAAATAAATAAATCTTTAAAAAATAATAAAAAATAAAAATTCTACTTCACTCTACTTCTATCGATAGAACATGCTTTAATATTCCTTTTAGTGATGTCTACTGAGACAAACATTTGGTTTTCAATGAAAATATCTTATTTCATCCTCATCCTTGAAAGTTTTCCTTAGTTTACAATTCCAGGTTATAAGTCATTTCCTCACAGTACAATGAAGTTGTTGTTTCACTGTTTTATAACTTCCTTTATTGCTACTGAAAATTTGGCCATCAGTATAAATGCTGTTCCTTTGTACGTAATCTGTCTTTCCTTCCTGGACGTAAGAGTGTTTTTTGTCACTTGTGCTTCTGCAGTTTCACTATAGTGTGCACAGGTGTGAATTTCCTTCTATTTATCCTGCTTGGGATTCACTGGTTTACTAAAACTAAGGATTGTTGTCTTTATGCGCCCTGGGAAATTTTTAGCCTGGCTATCTCATTTACAATTATCTCTCCCCAATTTGTATCTTCTCTTCTTCTGGAACTCTCGCTCCATGACGGGATGCACGCTAATCTTCTCAGTCACCCTCTAGCTGCCCTAACTTCACTTTCACATTCTTTCTTTCTCTGTGGCACATTCCAGATATTTTCTTCAGATCTATTTTCCAGCTTACAAATTTTCTCTTCAGATGGGTTGAATCTGCTGTTAAACATATCTATTAATTGATTTATCCATTATGTTTTCATTTCTAGGATATGATTCTCTCTCAAAGCTATATATTTCTATAATCTCTTACTACTTACTGATATTTTCAAACTTCTCTTACTCGTTAAATCTATTTCAAAAGTCACTTTAGTTTACTGTGCTGACTACTCCAATACCTTAAGTCTCTGTATGCCTGACTGGATGACCATTGTTCTCTGCTGACTGGCTTGTGCAGTCACCTTGTTCTCTTGTGTGTTTTGTGACTTTTTCTTTCAGCTGTCAGTTCATACTCCTTGGAACTCTGAGATCTGATCTGAAGATGGCTCTCTCCAAAGAGGATCTACGGTTGCTTTGTTTGTCTCTAGAATCTCTGCAGTTTCATTAGCATTAAGCTTAAAATTATAATGCTAAACTGAAATACCTTAATTAAGTGCCCAAGTTAAGTTACTTTGAGGACATTCTAGTTAGTATAAATTTGTGCCTCAAACCCACATGAAGGTCAGTTTGTACTTGGTAATTTTCAAGAAAGGTTTCTGTTCCCCTACCACACAGACATTACATTTGACCCAATCAATACCACAGTCGAACAGATAATCTTTGCTTACCTGTCAGAGAGGAACTTTATCTCAAGCTCCTCCTAACACTGAAGAAGCTATCCTGTGGTTAGGCATGGCGCCTTCTATAAGGCTCCATCTTAGACAGGCACTGGGCTTTCCTGTGCACACCACACCCCCTACCCCCAGACTGAAAAAGTTTAGCAAAAGCCTTTAAGGTTAGCCAGCCTCTGAACTCCATTTGCGTTTATGGTTTCCTCCTTTCACTTAACCTCTGACTTGTAAGATTTTCTACCATCTCATTAATAAATTTAATTTTATGTTTCTTAAAAACACTTTGTCCAGTATTCTCAGTTGCTTTCAGCAGAGTAGGCTATCAGGATGTCCAGTCCATCAAACTGCTAACAGCACAAGTTCTCCACACAAGGTTTCTTCAAAAGTCTCCAGGTGATTCTGAAGTGCTCTCCCACTTAGGAGCCAAAACATCAAGGAATGCTGCTCAATGAAAGGTTTCCTGTCATCTCTTAATTATTAAATCCAGTCATCTAACTGAGCCCTCAATCGAGTTAACCTCACACCAGAATCTGATCATTATCCACCACTCCTCAAGTTCTCAGAGTTCATGTATTCCCCACTAAGATGACACAGTATCCATAGGTCCAGTCATCTCTCTGACTGCCACTTCTCTGGAAACAAGAATTACAGGGTCTTGACAACTTCCCAATGTCACAATGCCTATGTACAGCAGGACTTCACTACTGACTGAACCCATCAATTCCAGTGGTCACTTACCAGGTGGGTTAAAGGTAATGATATCATCCAGGAGCTTAGCCATTTCCTGCTCTAGGACTGGTAAGGTGATTTTTCCATTTTGTTCCAGGGAACTGAGGAACTGAACCATCTGATGAGTAAAGGCTCGGCATTTTGGAACAGCATCCTGACAATAAAAAAAGGATTATTCAAAAGAATCCATGCAAGCAGTGTTAATTGAGTGTTCCCTGGGAACACAGACTGCACTGGTGGCTTCAGTAGGGAGTAAATAGGACAGTGCAGGAAACCACACGAAGCCAAGGGTGTCTAAGAGCCCCATGTCTAGGGATCTCAAAACTGCAGGGCCTCCCTGGTGGCGCAGCAGGTTGAGCGCATCGCTGTGAAGCTGTCCACAGCCTCTGCAGCACAGGTTCAATTCCTGGCTGGCCAGGGAGATACCCACATGGCGCAGTAGACCTCTCCTGTCTCACCTGCTGCTCCCCTCAGCAGTGTTTTCGGTTGTCTGCCTGTTCTGCTCCCCTCTCTGTCTCTGGTGAATTCTCTCACACTCCTGCACCTCTGGCCTGTACCCCAGTTCTTGTATAAATAAATCTTTAAAAAAAAATACAATACTGCAGTAATACTTGAACTAGAATCCATGTTCCCCCAAACTCCGGCAGAACACACTTCCTTTTTTACTACATTAATAACAACATTATTAGTTGCTTGCAAGGAACTTTTCCAAAAATATTGATGTTTATTATTTAATCCTCACAACACTTTCAGGCAAGATATTATTTTTAATTCAGATGAGAAAGTCAAGGTCAGAGTAGCAGTGAGTTGGGAAACTGATTTTGTCAGATCTCAAACTCATGCTCATAACTTCACTGCCACTCTCTTGCCAGGTCACTAAACCAACAGCTCAATGTCAGTCCTCAATCCTTCTGACCTCTTGTAAGGATGTGACACTCAAGTTAGCAAACTAAAACTAAAAGATCCAAGGGGCTAAAATATCAGTGCACATGATACACATCCTCCAGCATTCTCTGCTGAGAGTCATCAGGTTCGAGATGGTCCTCTGTAGCACTTACGCTAACACCAGTCCTGAGGAACACTCTTGGCCTTTTTTTTTTTTTTTAAAGATTTATTTTATATTGGGCCTCCCCGGTGACGCAGTGGTTGAGCGCTGGGTTATGAAGCTGCCCGCAGCCTCGGCAGTGCCGGTTCGATCCCCGGCTGCTCCCCGGCCACCGGAGGAGGGTCCCACATGGCGTGCAGACCTCTCCTGCCGCCCGCTCCTGCCGCCCGCTGCTCCCCTCAGCAGTGTACTTGGTCCTTCTGCCTGCTCTGCTCCCTGTTCTGGCTCTGGTGAATTCTCTCACCCTCCCGCGCTTCTGACTGTACCCAGTGCTTGTATAAATAAATAAATAAATAAATAAATAAATCTTTTAAAAAATTATTTTTTATTTATACAATAGCTGGGGTACAGGCCAGAGGCACAGGAGGGTGAGAAGATTCACCAAAGACAGAGTGGGGAGAAAAACAGGCAGACACACTAAAAGCACAGCTGAGGGGAGCAGCAGGCAAGATAGGAGAGGTCTGCCGTGCCATATGGGTATTCTCTTGCTGGCTGGGAATCAAACCTGCGCTGTAGAGGCTGCGGACAGCTTCATAGCGCTGCGCTCAACCTGCTGCGTCATCGGGGAGGCCCACCCTCAGCCTTTTAAAGCACCCGCTCTACTTACAAGATGTTTCTGGCTGTCAGTAGGAATGGAAAGACCTGCAGACACTTTCAGGAGTTTCAAGATTAATTCAGCAGAAGATTCCTTTGCCAGGATGATGGATGGCTGGTAGTGGCTGCTGAAATAACCCAGCACACTCTGGTACGACCCAATATCCACAAGATGCCATGAAAATGAGCTTGTCTGTCCAAGGAGACTAAGCAAAGGTGAATCCTAAAAAGGAAACATATTCCTTTAGTTTCAGAGCTCCCATTTTCCCAGAAATATGTGTCTCTAGCTATTCTATGGTATGATTAAGACAGCCTAAGATAAACACAGAAGCGTTAAGATGTCCAGTAAGTATCTACTCAAGTTGGGAGTAGCAGTGAAAGAACTAACCAAAGTCTTGGCAAAAACACTAATGGTAAGGTTCATAAAGTATTCAGAAGCCAATTTCCAAAGGAACTCTTTGATCTGGTAGTAGAACTAGAAGTTGATGAGATGTAAAATAAAATTGATTTTTATATTTTCTCAGAGTGGTCACCTTCATAATCCAGAATTAGATTATCAACTATCCAAGAAAATTGGGCATCTAGTTAGATGCTTTTCATGTGCCAAGCACAGAGTTGCTAATGGAAGCATTAGGAAATCTGCTGAAAACTGTAACTTCATAGAGGGTGAGCCTCTGGGGGCCTTGCCAAGTCTTTATCACAAGTTATCCAAACTTACTGTCTGGTCTACCAGTTGATCTTCCTTTGCCAATAAAACCATCATGAAAAGGAGACACACAATCATGCTCCGTGTCTCTGGGTGGGGGCTGGGGCTCCATGCGTCAGAGAGCACACTGACCCAATTGACTTCACAAAGGATAGACCCCAAAAATAAGCAGCAGCTCTTGGGGCTTCCCCGTTCCACCTAAAAGGAAACAAATTAAAATCAGTGTTTTGCTTTACGCTGTTTATGTGTCTTGAAAATGTGCACAACTCAATGTTGAGTAAGTTAAATTTATAAAATAACTTTGCCCAAATTATAAACATCATCCAGACTCTCCGTTTTCTCCTGCAGTATGAAAGGATGTGGTGTTGAGGAGACAACTACCATGACTTTCAGGACCTGGTCAAAACCTCAGATACCAGGCCTTCTTGCCAAGTCTCTGCGATTTCATATTGTTGGGAGCATCACTGCACCCCTGAGGTTGCAGTTTACTGTAAGTGTGCTGTGACTGAAATTATGATTCCTAGAAAGATTCCGAGAAGATGAGGAAGGCTGGAATATTTCAGAGTGCAAACTTAGTCTTGAAACATAAAGGAATTCTTCAGCTTGACTTAGATGGAAGTTTGTCATTGCATGTGTTCCTGTACTAGGAAACATATTTGGTCTAAGGAATAACTTCTCTTGATAACAATTAAGTACTATGGAAAATAAAGAAAGTAAAAATCATCCATAACCCTACCTGCCCAGAGACTTAGACTTAATTAACATCTGCAATATCTTTCATTCCTTACTCAATGAATGTGTGCATTTTTCAGCTTGTCATTCACAATTGTTCGTTCATAATTGATTGCACCAATTTGGGGGGGGGGCAATTTTTTAAAATTTCTTTTTTTTAAATTATTTTATATATTTTTTACATCATTCTTCATTTTTATACAATGTATGCTTTATCATCTTGGGTATAGTCCCCATGGTGATTCCACCAATTCTTAACAGGAGAGGAGTGATTTCATATCACCCTAACTAGAGTGGCAAATCCTAATTAGTCACTGGTGCCGATGGCAGCATATCAAGTCTTCAGGTGTGCTGGGACAGGACAAAGTTGAGACCTACTACTCAGCTGTTCCCAAACGTGAGCATGGATCAGAGCCACCAGAAGGACTTGTGAAAACATAGATCGCTGGGCCTCACCCCTAGAATTTGTGTTGCCTGTATCTAGGGTGGGAGCAGGAATTTGCACTTCCAACAAGTTCCCAAGTGGTGTGGATTCTACTTGTCTGTTTTTTTTTTTTTTTAAGTATTGCTTCTATTGCAACAATTCATACACACTTTTTGGCATTTTTCCAGGTCATTTCAGGTCTTTATATGGTTTTGACGCATCATTGCTATTAAAATGTACTTGTAATTATTCCCTTGCATAACTGCTTAAAGAAACTAGTGACCCCACTATTTTAATAGAGCACTTTTTAACAGAGCACTTAACAAGTAGTTCTAATGATGACACCCTAAAAATACATGCATATAAAGAAACACCAAGATGAAGGCAGTATGACAAAGTCATTAAACCATGCACTCATATGACAATTCTGAAATCTAGGGGATGCTGTTATATACAGTAGCTTTTCTCTGGGTTTTAAAAACTGGTACTGGAAATGCCTTCCCATTACCTATTAACACAATGAAAGGATTTCCATGGGATGCTGCTTTACACATGCACCATTTGGGCAGCACGAAAAGTGGGCACAGTCCACTTTGTGCCTAAGTAAACAGGTAGCTCCCTAGAAGCCAGCTGGGACGTGGAAAGGGAAGGACTTACTTTGAAGAAGGCCTCCATGAGCACCTGGTCGGGTTGCAGGTCCCTCCACGGGAGTTTCCGGTACGCACTATGGAAAGCGTACAGAATGAACTCGGGCATTTTGGGAGCTGTACATGCTTCACAATAATGCATCAAGTGTAACCGAAGGGCTCCTTCATCACCCGGCAACAATTTATCTAAAATTTAAAAAGAAAATAAAGCCAAAGGCCTTCTGGGTTATCTAAACAAAAAAACAAAAACAAACCAAAAAAAAACCCAAATAATACAAATTTGAACTGAAAGTCTAAAACCTAAGGTTCTCAAACAGTTACACAAGTTTAGAGACTCTCAGATGCTGAGGTAAAAAAACTGACGGCAGATGAACACTAAAGAATGGTACTTCAATTACTTGGGTAATGGGAGTGAGCAGTGAGTGAGTAGGAGATACCAGGGATGCCGGTTTTTCTTGAAAACTTCTAAATTTTTAATTCAAATACCCTTCCAAGACCCCAACCAAGTCTAGGATTCCTGTAGTCTGTTGCCCTCAGCATGTATTCAGTCTCATTTAGTACTTTATTCACTTGGCACCTTGAAGAAATCCATATTTCTCAAAAGAAAATGCTCCAAATGACTGAAATGTAACCCTGCATTCAGGGTTAGACAATTAAGTGTCCTTCAGGTAAGCCAACCTGAGATGAATCTTGTGCTCCTCATTAACCTGGATCACTCAGTATCACCTTCACAACTATTTTAGTGCCCTTCAGAGAGAGTGACAATGCAAGGGGAATTTAGTCTAAAACAAAACTTTTTTAGTTTTGTTTGTTTTGTTTGATGGTGTTTCTCAACTTTTGAAAAATGGCCAATGACATTGACACATGGTAATAGCGGACTATTCACTTCTAACTCCCTGTGCCCTTCACACCAACCCTTAATTTTTTCCACAGTACAAAACATTAACACATGGTTTTAACAACATTTTAACAGAAGGGTGAAGTGTAGCACTTGTTTAAACGTGGATAAAATGTTTTGTTTAGATAAGGATGAACACGTAGGTAGAAGACATGTAGGAGGTCATTTCTTAGGACACGACTGGGCTTCTAGACCCAGCTAAGACACAGATAAATTCTGTGACCTCAGATAAATTCACTTTGCTTTTTAAATTCTCATTTTTCTCATCCAGGCTAGATGATCTCATTAAAAAGGCTACAATTTAATACTTCTTCATCATGCTGTGCAGTTATTCTGTTTTTGCTCTCTGAACTTAGCTGCCAATTCTTGATGTTATTCATGTACCCTCCTGTTCCTAAGCCACAAACTCTCAGTCAGGGCCATGCCCTTCCGAAACAGCAGCCCTCAGACAACAAATGAGCATAGGCCTGGCCACTTCTGCCCAACCTGGATTCTTCAGTGATAAATGTTTGCACTGGAATTCCCTGCCAGGCTGGACAAAACATCTTCAAGGCAGGTGAAGGTCTTCCTTGCCTACTTTTCCCCCTCTCATCTACACAGGATTTTTCCAAATAAATCTCTGACATTCTCACTTCTTCATGGGGTCAGCCTCCCTAGGATTCAGATGCACCAATGCATTATAAAGATTTTAGGTGAACTTAAAGGGCTACAGGAATCAGTACAAGCAAATGAGCAGCAGCAGGATGTATAAGGACTGCGAAAGAACAGCAAGCAGAGCAGCAGGTGGGAGTGGAGTGCTTCCATAAATATATAAAAAACCCTGAATCATATACAGTATTGTAAATCAATGTTACCTCAATAAAAAACAATTTCAAAAATTGCATGATATTGTTGAAGTGCACTGGGTCCAGACACATTTGAATGCTGAACTGAAACATTCTACTTCAAAGTTTCTAAAGACAAACATAACACAAGTCCTCAAATAAACAAAAGGGGGAAAAAAACCCCAACTGGAACTCAATGTAAAGACACACTGTCCAAAAAACCATTCGTGATGTTAAGTGACCTACATACTATATGTAGGTCATGAATAGGAAAATTCATCTGGTGAAAAGCCAAAACAGAAACTGGAAATAGGAAGGACATGTTATTGCAATGGGTAGACTGAATATCCTCATAAGCCTCCCAATATAAAACATTTTAATAACTAAATAAAACATAACATCTCTAAAAATGCTAGTGCACTCAGTGGAAGGACACAGTGGGGGCCAAAAGCAAGGAGAGGCTGGGAAACTAGAATATTAACCTGATGCTGAAGCCATGGTTGGCTTGAGTTTTGCCAGCACTGGGGGACAGAAGATAAGCTTTATCTCCTGACTGAAAGGGTAATGAGGGGGAAAGGGACCCCCTTTGCCTTCACCTGGACTCAGAGTTGGGAAGGAAAAAAGTTTACTTTGATAATGTGAGTGAGGCCTGCCTGCAAATGAGTTTGGAGTAATTTTATATAACTGTGTGGTAAGGGAAATCCCAAGCTGAGAAATTCCAGAGCTCCAATGGGCAACAAATACAGCTCTTCTCTGGAGGCATCTACCCTTATTTAAATCTTACAGAATTTCAATAAAGTCCCGGTAAGCATGGATGGGTTCACAACACACAATACAAAATGCACAGGGAAACAAGCCTCTAAGAATAAGAATCGGAAGGAACATCAAACAGCAGCATAAGCCACCTTGCAACAGTAACTTCAGATGATGGAACCACTGCACATAAACCGTCAAGGAAAGTAAGCAAGTTTAAACATGATGAAGAAATCAACACTGGATATCCTTTCAACAAAAGAAAGCAGTTCCTGTCAAAAAGATCAGGATACATTTAAAAGACAAATATAATGTCCAGAAATCGAGAAGGAAAATTCAATGGATTTTTTATAAACAGGTTAGATGTACCTGATAAGACTGAATAAACTGGGAAACAAAGCCTTAAGAAACTGCCCAAAATGAAGCAGAAAGATAAAAAATGTGAAAAAGAAATTAAGTCATAGAAGACAGAATGTGGTTAACATGGGAGACAGACAATATTTGAGAAGAAATAACTGTGTATTTTCTTTAACTGATGAAACTCAGCTATCCCATGAACAAGTTAAGAGGTTACAAAGTTCACATCAAATGATTGTGTGGGGGACCTCTCACTGGTCGATGACTGCTTACCAACTAAAATAAACTGAAATACAGTAGGAAAGCAGAGACAAATGATTAACTTGACTTCAGGAAGAAGTGAAACCTAGCTAGAGACATAACATCCTCCTACCTTTAAAACTCTGGTGCAATGAGTCAATACAGTCGGTGAAGAGCCGCACAAGGCTTGAGGCCACCACAGCGTCACTCTCGAGCCAGGGGTAATGCCGCTGGCTGCTGCTGCAAGTAAAGAAGAGAAAGCTCTGCAATTAAATTACTCTAGGACCTAGAGTTTAGGCTTGCCTGAGGCCTAGAAAACTCTATTATGTGGCTGTAACACACATTTATTCCACTTGAAAAGCTGAAAATTCCTGAAGGTGATTGGTAGCTTATAGTAGCAACCATGTAATTTTATTTACTTCCCTTTCTAACATTTATTCCAATGCAATTAAGTTTCAGAAATGTGTTATCTAAATAACTATCAAATTAACACCTTTGACACCCTGTGTATCTATCCCTGTGTATCTTGGTTACATTTCAAAAGCCTTGACAGTTTTCTCTCCCTACAGCATGAAAGGGAGGGAAGGAGGGAGAATGGATACATTTAACAAATAAGATGGCCAACAACGAACAGAAAAGAACTAATTGAAGAATAAACTCTCTATACAAAAATTTTAATTATGAGTCTGGTCTAGAAAGTTCAGTATCAAAATAAATTCTACTAATTCTTCCTAGAAATCTGCCTGCATTACAGTTCCTAGTTGCACAATAACCTCAAAATCCTGAAGCTTGCGAATTATCTAATGACAGCCACTTAGCAAAAAGCAAAGCTCCAGAGTCTTTTCTATTTTCCTCAATACATAGCAAAGAGCTGGGTTAACATGTCTTGATATGGGAGTCAAAAGCCCTGAGCTCTGGTCTTAGTTCTTGCCCTCACTGGCTGTGGGACTTGAGCAAGACATTCACATTTTCTGAATCTTGGAATTTAGATTAATAAATACTGGTGAAAACACCTTCAATCTCTACCACTGTGTAACTTTTACAAAACTCCCAACAAGTTCATCTAGCTGTTGCTTGTATGCTTTTAGGGGGGAAAAAGACTCAAAAGGCAATCCACTGCATTTGGATAGCTCTATAAATCTGTCTCAAATACTCACGAAATAATACTCTCATTTTCATTTCATTGCACAGTTGATTTCTTTGAGGGTAATTCCCACTCAATAATTTGAAAACTAATTTAGTTCTAAAAAATGATTGAGGTACTAGACAAAAACAAGCTAGGCTCATACTTCTTACTATATTACATATATATTATATATTTCATATATATATATATTGTATATATTGAATAAAATCCTAATTCAGGAGAGCAACATTTATTTTTCTGAAATTAAGTACCCAAATTCATTCAACTTCTTTACTGTGGAAAACTGGAATGAGGACCCAGTTTTGCTTCAAAGTTAATATCAAGATTACAGATTTGATCAACCACATTAACAATTCCACTAACAGAAAGGGTCTTACATTTCTCCTGTCAAGGCTCATTCTCTAAATTTAAATATGGTTCTACGTCTAAAAATTAAATCTTTGACTATATCACTTGTATCAAAACACCACCAAAGTTTAAGTCTACAAATTTCAAAGGAATTTGAATATCTCAAAGACGATTTACCTTTCATTGTCCTCTAAAACCAGAATCCATGGCTTAAAGAGCTGGATGATTACTGAGTGCAGGGATCTCAGCACTAAAGGGAAAATTTTTAGAGACAAAAAACAAGCTCATCCTCTGTTAACATCACTGATAAAACTAAAGTCTGCTTACTTATACAGCCATAAGCCAATGCTGATATAAAAAAGACAAGTTTAGTGTGACTAAGCATGTCTGTGTTTTCTGTTGCAATGGAATTCCTTCAATTGAAGAATTTCTATTACAGCCAAATGTAATGGATCATTTGATACCACACATTTTTTTTTTAAAGATAAATGCTTAACTAGTCAGAACACTTTATTTAGCAAGATAAGTAACATGAAAAGAGTTAGAGATTAAAACCCATCTCTTTGCACCCCACCTTACAAAGGAGGGGCAGAAACAACAAGCTGAGGCAAGCACCTACTTCGTAAGTGAAAATAGGTATGACACACATATGGGTTCACACCTGTAACTTCTGTTTCCTCTTTCCTTGACATCAGATAAACAGTATTATCAAAAAGATTTGAATCTCTTAAATGTATCTAACGCAAGTCTCTTCTAATGGAAGAGCAGAATGCCTAGCTCCACTTAGCATTAATGTGTATTACCTGTTTTGCTGCTGGCAGATGGGTCTTGGGCCAAGCAGATCGCTTCAGAGTCAAGCAATCTTTTCACCAGATAGCCCAAAAGTGTCTCCATATCAGACATATAAGGACTCCATTTTGAGAATAAACCAAAGCTTTTAAAGTCCAATGTTGATAACCGAAGCTTGTAAAAAAAGTTTGAGAGCCACTGTATTGTCTCCATTACCTAGAAGAGAATTATCAGTCCAAAAAATGCTTACCCAGTGTCCCCTCTCAGTATAGTATTACAGCAGGTGTGATGGAGCACTCTAACTGTAGCAGAAGTGCAAAGGTACAAAGCAATTATTCAGCAATCAAAAAAGATAAACTCATGCCATTCGCAGGAACGTGGATGGAGCTAGAAGGAATTATGCTCAGTGAAATAAGCCAGAAGGAAAAAGAAAAAAACTGGATGGTTTCACTTATAGCAGGAATAGGGGAACTAAATAAGACATCAGTGTAAAAAAAAAATAACAACAAGACAAAACGCAACAAAGCAAAAATGGACAATTATAAATCAGAGACATCCTGCAGGGGAGGAGGAGGGAGAGGGGTCAGAGGGAGAAAGGGAGGAGAACGGGGGAATGAGGTGATGGTGCACGGGTGCACTGGTGAAGGAAACTTATGGGGACTACACCTGGGGGTGTGGGGGGAAGCAAATATTGTTTAAAAATGAACAATGATGTAAAAAATTTAAAAAATTAATATAAAAAAAGAACAAAGGTATGAAGCACATGAAAAGTAAATCAGCCACCTTCAAACTCTTTTCTAAAGCACGGGAACTATTCTCTCAAGTACATTCTCATGTGGACCCATATTATACAAAGTCGATGAAGCAAAGAGCTCTGTGGACACAGCATGAAAACCTGACCGAAGGGACCAGTGGTATAAGGTTAAAAATCAGAGGGTTAAGGTGGGAAGGGAAGGTATACACAGGTGGAGGGCCTGAGCTGATCCTGGACAGATGGGCAAGAATTAGACTCTGAGGGCCTCCCTGGTGGTGCAAGGGGTTAAGACAAAACCTATGAACTGTCCACAGCTACTGCAGCATGAGTTCGATCCCTGGCCAGGGAGCTACCCACATGGCACAGCAGACCTCTCCTACCTTACCCACTGCTCCCCTCAGAAGTGTATTTCAGTCAATCCCTGTTCTGCTCCCCACTCTGTCTCTGGTGAATCCTCTCACCCACCACACCTCTGGCCTGTACCCCAGTTCTTGTATGCATAAATAAATAAATCTTTAAAAAAAAAAAAAAGAATTAGACTCTGAGGTATGACGGAAAGGTGATCCAGGTAAAGTGGGGATGGGGGAGAGCAAGGATTTAAAAAAACACTACCAGGCTCTCTACGCATACAAAAAGCAACTTTTTAAGTATAAATTTTGAATGTATTCCAACCATTTAAAAAGTAAATATCAATGGAAATGAAAAATAAATGCATAGATAAAACTTCAAAAACCAAATGCTATATACCTGCTTGTCTGACAAGAGAACATCTGAAGATCCTTGAAGCACCGAGCTCTCGGCAGAAGCTGCCCCCTGCTGGCAGTTTGGCGCGCAGCAGCCCAGGGCTCTCAGAGTGGCCTTCCAACACTCAGGGCTCAGCAGCTGCTCAGCAGAGCCTTAAGGGATAGACAGGGACAGAGGACATCAAGTCAGCCTTTCAGTTTTTTTTCAATTTGACTCAAAGAACACATTTGCTCTGCAAAGGAATAAAAGTTAAATTAATATCAAAAATAAATTCATAAAGATCTGCAGAGACCCAAGTAAAAAGGACCTGTGAAAAGAACTAACCACCGGGATATCTAACTTTCATGGTTCCTGGTTCCCTGCTGGGAGTGAGCAGAGCTGAGCAATGTGGCATGGAATCTGGAAGGGGAACTCCAGCGACCAGACCCTGACTGGGGAATCCACCTGGATGACATGAGAGAAACAAAGCACCAGAAGACTGGCTGCAGAACACAATTGCAGAGTTGCTCTTTTCAGAAGTCCCATACCTAAGTCTAAAACTCCACTCCAAAGGGCCTCCCCAGTGGTGCAGCGGGTTGAGTGCAGTGCTGTGAAGCCGACCACAGCCTCTGCAGCGCGGGTTCAATTCTGGCCGGCCAGGGAGATACCCACACGGTGCGGCAGACCTCTCCTGTCTCGTCGCTGCTCCCCTCAGCAGTGTATTTCAGTCAGTCTGCCTGTTCTGTTCCCCACTCTGTCTCTGGTGAATCCTCTCACCCTCCCACGCCTCTGGCCTGTACCCCAGTCCTTGTATAAATAAAAAAATCTTTAAAAAAATAAAAAATAAAACTCCACTCCTACAGTGGACAAAAGCTAAAGAAACACAGAGACCGCAAAAGTGGAGGTGACTGGCTGGCACCCTGTTACTTGCAAGCCTCACATCCCAGAGGACAGAATGATATCTGCTCAGATTCTTTCCACCCAGAGGCTTGAGAGGATCAAATGAGATAAAAGACTTGCAGGAGGGCCTCCCCAGTGGCGCAGTGATTGAGCACTGGGTTGCGAAGCTGACCGCAGCCTCTGCAGCGCTGGTTCGATCCCCGGCCACCTGGCAAGGGTCCCACATGGCACGCAGATCTCTCCTGCCACCCACTGCTCCCCTCAGCAGTAAATTTCGTCAGTCTGTCTGTTCTGCTCCCTGCTCTGGCTCTGGTGAATTCTCTCACCCCCCTGCACTTCTGACTATACCCAGTGCTTGTATAAATAAATAAATCTTTAAAAAAAAAAAAAAGACTTGCAGGAGCAGGTCTGAGGGGAAGAAGATGAGGCCAGCTGAACCACGGGTGAGGAATATAGGGACAGTGAGGTCTGTGTCCAATGTCTATGATGGTCTGGATCTTAGAGCAGGGGCCTGGAACCGAGCTCCAGGAGTGGGAGCCATGCATGCCCGAAAAACAGTAGGAAAGCCAGAAAGAACAAGGGCAATAAAGAGAATAGAAGAGCAAAGGATGGAGCTCTGAGAACACCCATATGGTGGCCAAGAAGGGAAACCAGGAAGTTGGAGGTTTTGAAATCTGACAAAGTTACTACTGTTTGTCTTAAGCCTTTATCTGTTATCACTTTTCCTGGGAAGTATAAATTTCTTGCTAAATGCAAGTCAATGGTTGTCTACATTAGCAGCTTAAAGTCTCTTAAAAAGGTTTCAGAGGGAAAAAAACCACAATTTATACATGATCAGATTTTGAAAATTGAGACTAGATATCAGCTACACAACAAAATTTATACAAATACCTTTCCCTACTACCATTCTCCACCACCCTGCAACTTGCCTCTGCAGGGAAACAACAAAAGCTTGAAGTACTTTGAACAGGAGACCAAACATTTCCATATGCTTCAGATAGTCCAGCCATAAGATCACTAACCTATTCATTAAATGAGTTATATTAGGTAGCACAAAGATTTAGCATAAAGTAAAATTTAATTTTCCATTACATCATTAAACAGCAATGAAGTTCACATGAAAAAAGTAAACATAATCTCATTTATCAAATTCGATAAAGTTCCTCCTTAGTGAATTTCCAAAATAAAAAAGGCCTACACCCTTTAATCCTCTAATCTTTAACACTCTAAAAAATGCAGGAGGTGGACAGAAATGATGAGAATGTGGGAAATTTGATGTTGCTCTTTCCCTTGGCAAATATAATCTAATACTGTGATAAAACTCATTCGCAAAAAAAAAAAAAGTGTCAAATAATTAGGGATTAAAAAAAAAATCCCCAAATATATGGACTATTTGGAACTACAGAGAAACCAACTGGCCTGTTAAGTATATTCTAAAGTAGCAACTTCCTTTGCCTACCAAATGTGTGGCCTGCAGAGTAAGCAGGCCACTTCCACCACACCCCAGTACAGGACAGCTACAAAGTCAAGATAAAGAGGTGAGTGCAAAGCATGGACTCCAACACCGAAAACAAAGTGCCGCCTTGTTGACTCTCAGCATATGAGACAAGAATTCACTATTTTCACAGACAGAAACCTTTTTGACATTGTTCAGCAAGTACTTTAGTTGAAAATTAGTGTTTCTAAACTCCTGCACACTTGTATTATTTTCACATTTTCGGATGACATCTGTAGAATGGTAAATGCCACATTAAATATTCACTGTGATCTAATCAATCACAATTAAAAGACACTTACTTTGCATCAGCAGCCTGAGAATGTCACTGTACTGGTCAGGGAACTGGTAGAGAAGAAGAAAAGTCCAGTGCTTACAGAAGAGATTAAATGGCATCAAAATATCTTCATCTGGTTCAAGGCCCCAGGCAGTAAGTGCCAAATGAATGGACTCCAGGAGCCTGGTACGATCAGACAGAGGAGGTTTAGTGGCGTTTAACCATTGTTTAAGATCGAACTAAAAGAAAAAGAAACAAGAAGCATTTTATTTACACTAGAATATTAACTGAAGAAGAACAAAGTCTGTACAAATTTTATTTAAAATCAAAGATTACCTAGAATTTTGTGTTTATATAGATTGAAAATAAAATTTATATACAAGTACATAAAAGAATCTAGGTGATTTAATCACTGAGATGGGTGCCTCCACCTTGACTTCACTCTCTGGAATTGTAGAGGCAGAGTTTTCTCAGCACCATGTGCTAATATTTTGCAATTTAAAAACCTTGTTGGTGGGGAGGCCTCCCTGGTGGTGCAAGGGGTTAAGCACTGCACTATGAAGCAATTCGCAGCCTCTGCAGCATCAGTTCGATCCCCTGCCAGCCAGGGAGCAACCCACATGGCGCAGCAGACCTCTCCTGTCTCGCCCGCTGCTCCCCTCAGCAGTGTATTTCAGTCAGTCTGCCTGTTCTGTTCTCCACTCTGTCTCTGGTGGACCCTCTCACCCCCTACATCTCTGGCCTGTACCCCAGCTCTTGTATGCATAAATAAATAAATCTTGAAAAAAAATAAAAATAAAAATCTTGTTGGTAATTTCCCTAGAAGACAAGCATCAGGGCTTTGTAGTTCCCCTTCACCGGTCACAGTGCCACCAACAAGGAGCCACTTGACAGAGCTGTCTCCACGTTTCTGCATCTGCCCCCTTCACCTATGTCAATTAATAAAAATTCAAGGTGTCGGCATCACCTTCTAGGATCCCAAACTATAACACACTGTATTGTAAGATCCCAGTGGCTTTCCCTTTTTTTTTGTAATACCAGTGCCTGACTCAAACTTGATGCCAAGGCATCCATATCAAAGGGGCTTCCACTTCAAAGAGGGCTAACCCAAACACATGGCCTGCCCCACACTAGATAAGAGCCAAGCCACCTCTTCCCTCCTTTCTGGTGTATACATCCTGTTAATTTAGATAACTGGTCAGCTGGGACTGACTTGTGTCTTTCCTTTTTCCTTCTTTCTTCTTTTGTCTCTCTTCCACATTTTAAACTCCCACTCCCATGATTTGAATTTACTAATAAAGAATAATCCTGTGAAGCTGCCCTACCCCCACTCTCAGCCCAGATAAAAGCAGGACCCCAGACCCGTGTTTCATTCTCTCTTCCTATGACCTCACTGTAGCCCAGGTGTGGTGTGTAACTTCCAAATCTTGTAATAAAACTTTATTTTATTTTTTTCAGTGTTTCCTGTTCCTGATGGTTTTTGCTGAAGGGCATCTTGCAATAATAAAAAACCTAAGGGTTAGTCCAGTCGTAATATCAGTAAGTTGAGGCCAACACAAAACAAACATGTTCTCCCAATTACAGACAGAGATCAGGCTGTGGACCCTAAAAAACGCCCAGGTTTTATGATTCACAGATATCAGAGAAATGCAATTGAAGGTAAAATAGCTAAGGCTTTGAATTCTCAACTGGTTAAGTAAATGCTTTGCTTTGGTCCAAGTTAATATTCAACTTAGAGAACAAAGGTAATTTTCTTAGATATGGCTTATCCTAAACATGAGAGACTTTGATATATTACAACTCATTTATCAAACACAATTTAGGCATAAATTCAGGCCAATAAACAAAAGAAGGATATACTAAATTACTCGCATGACTAGTTCAAAACCATACTAAGTTTTTAAGATGGCATAGGAGTGAGGCTCTTTTTATACTGTGTGGATTAAGGCTGCTCTACACAACCAGTGCCCCCAGAAGCGGAAGCTATGGGATCAGGCTCCTGGGGGATCGTGCAATATGTGAAACAGGCCTGTCAGCCAATGGTCTACCAGTAAACAGACCTCCAGAGGGTCCTTCATCTCTATGGAATGGGAAAAACAGTTCTACATTTCAACAATAATACCAAATTTTAATCACATCTCACCTTAGTTAGCAGCATGAAAATCATATCACTGTTGTCCTCACTTAGAAACTTCACCACCTTCTCATAGAGCTGTATGAACTCTGCAGGTGACGCATTGGGAGTGAAGAAAGGAGACAAGAGAGAGCAGAGTCTTCTATTCTTCAAAATGGTCTGAAGTAATTTTTTACATTCTGACTTAGTGCCACTGATAAACACCTTGAAAGCATTAAAAAAGGGAAAATGTCATCAAATTCTCCCCTCCCCAATCCTCACTCAAGCAACCAGGTTTTAAAGGGTGGTATATAAGGCAGTATATAGACTTAAGGTAGTATACAGATTTTTTCTATATGAAACTATCAAAAGTAATCAAAAACATAAATCAGTCACTTCCAATATAGCTGATGTTAAAAATTCTGGATAATCCATTAATTTGATTTGGACAAGTCATATATAGAAAATTCTGAGTTAACTATACTAAAAAAATCTTTAAAAGATTTAAATATTGGGATAATTTGAATCCAGAAATTTGCACTATGTTATATGATCACTAAGTGTCTAAAGTGAGTCTGCATTCTGTCATTAATTATGAAACTATTAAATACAGCAGGAAAAGTATCAAATACTAAGGAAATTAAGTATGTAATAAATAAGTACTCATTCAATTGAATGTGGGTAAGAATACATGGTTTATTAGTGTTTATATATTTTCTAACAAATCACTTTTCTTTCTTTTATGACATATTTCATCAATCTGCCTGGATACATTGTTCTTGCCTTTGTTAAATATCTGTATAGTTAACAGTAAGTCAAATAAATAAATAAAAAATGGTAACTGAAAAAAAAAAAAAAAAAAAAAAAAATGGTAACTGAGAATAGCAACTTGGAGGCAACAGTGGGGAGGTGAGTGAGCCCTGAAGGTTGAATCAGAGACCTGGGATCCAATCTCAGCACCAAAACTCACCGGCTGTATTCTTTAGGCAAGTGACCTTTTAGAGGTCAGTTTTCTTATCTTTAAGAGAGGAATGATATCAATGACACAGGTATCACAATAAAGTTAATCAGAAAGCATTTTGTAAGCCATAAAAACTTTGGCAATGTTACTGTTAAAACCAACAGCATGTGATAAAAGCTGATGTCTCCCCAGGGACTTTCAAATCAGAATAATTTAGTGTCTCTTGTATAAGAAGGAAAATTCTAGGCCAACAGTTCTTTTTACATCTTGAGAAGATAACAATTCAAAGGTGCTTCTGACTTAGGTGAGATTCTAAGCCTACAATAAAAGAATGAAGTTAATCCTGACTATACCTAATGGAAACATTATAGGGACTCATTATATGCTGGAAAAGGTTAAAGACACAGAATAACCTTACCTGTCCCAAGATCTCAATGCATGAAGTAAAGAATTGCCTTGTGGGAGGATGACGCTGAGTCTCATCACTGACATAATCCACCACAGTAAAGAAGAGGCTAATGCCAACCTTCTGAACCCCAGGGGTAGGCTGCAACTTGTAGGCATTCACTAAGGCCCTGTGGGAAAATATAAGATAACTTATCTACAGCAAGAGGCCAGACTCACAAGTGTTTCTTTGAAACTCTACATCTTTTAGGCAATATTCTTAAGAGTCCTCAGAGCCCCACACAAATACCACTCTAGAAAGATCTCATGGGGTAAATATCTTCCAACTTGACCCAACAAGTTATATTTCCAATATACAGAAATGATTTATTGCTAACAAAGGGGAAAGTTAGCTGAGCATTAAGTGTCTTCTCCAAGGCTAACATTCTTACCCTTATTAAAATTTTTCATATTTTGGGCCTCCCTGGTGACACAAGTGGTTAAGACGCAACCTATGAAGCTCTCCGCAGCCTCTGCAGCACGAGTTCGATCCCCTGGCTGGCCAGGGAGCAACCCACATGGCGCAGCAGACCTCTCCTGTCTCACCCACTGTTCCCCTCTGCAGTGTACTTCGGCCAATCTACCTGTTCTGTTCCCCACTCTGTCTCTGGTGAATCCTCTCACCCCGCAAACCTCAGCCTGTACCCCAGCTCTTGTATGTGTAAATAAATAAATCTTTAAAAAAAAAAGTTTCATATTTTGCATGTAATTCATAATTTACTATTTAACTTTGTATAGTCCTTATATAATACACATTTTCAAAAACAAGGACCATGATTTCTCTAAATTTTAAAATCCAGAACACTGGGATGCCAACTCCAGGCTGTGCTGGCATGTGGGCAGACCAGGCAACAGTCAGGTAAGCCTGGCCACCACTGCTGCTGACTGTAGCCTTGGCAGTAGATCATGATAATCCCATGGATCATCCCAACCGGCTGCTGGAGTCCCTAGGAGTACAGTAAAATACTCAAGGCTCTCCAGCACAGAGGATGACCTTCAGTTAAGAAAAGCCTTCCTACAAGTCGATGTAATGCCACTGCACTTATTACAGTGCTGTTTTTGATTGGTGCCTTCTCACTGTCATAGGCTCATATTGCAGGCATCAGAGGGCTATGGTGAGGCGGAGGAGGGATGACTGGCCTTTTCTGTCCTACCTGGCACCATGGTGCTCCTACACACTACCTACTATGCACCCAGAGGCCACCAGGTTGTCCAATGATGACGTTCCAGACTTGGATGACTAGCACCCACCTCAACCCTAAGGAGGAGTGCCACAGATGGGACTGAGCCCAACTTGAACACACTGAGTAGAAACTATGGCTAAGGGCAAATGATTTTAGCATTTTATAGATGTTTACACAATGGGCAGCTTTTATGAGTCCATCCTAAAGATATTAACTGAGCTTATAATTAGCTAATTCAGGACATGCTCTGTTTTTCATCTCCTGCTCTTGGCAAAAGCTCCCCACTAGTTTTTCCACGTGAGTATGTATCATGGAGAGTAGCAGTGCTAATTAACTGCATGGGGAAGCGGGAGGGTGATCTGCAGTGCAAAGTGTTGCTGCTACCAGCAGCTTTTTAAAATAGTCCTCATTGTCAATTTGCTACTATGGCAAATGGAAGAACACACTATGTCAAATTTCTTACTACTCAGTAATTTGGAAAAATCTGGCCAGATAGTAACTATTTTAGACCATATGGACTCTAAGTTGTCACAGCAAATCAATTCTGTCATTGCAGCATAAAGGTCATAGACATGCTGTAGACCTATGTGGACATGACTTGTGTTCCAGTAAAGCAAAAATAAGTGGCAGGCCAGATTTTGCCCAAAGTCTAATTTAACTAGTGGGTATGGGAGGGGTGTAGAGGGCATGGATGTACTATTAATAAAAACGAAAGAATATTTTAAATTACAATGCCCTCAAAACTTACGTAATCAAGTTTTCTGAATGCACAGCGGCTTCAACAACATTAAGTGATGGTGGCTTGGCAGCTTCTGCTTGCAACTGCTTCACTTCTTTTCTCAAAACATGAAGTTGTTGGCTTATAGCTTCATTCTTATGCATACCTTCAAACTAACAAAAATTCAAGTGGTCAACAGATTTTTTTGTCCCACCCCTTTCTAGAGCAGATATTGTACTACAAATACCTGATTTTGGCTGAACCTCAAAATGACAGGAAAAAACTATAAACTATTCAAGAATCTCAGCTTTTTCACGAAGAATCAAACTAGATTAGTTCATCACCAGTTCAAAGTCTTTTGTAGGATATGTTCTACGTTATTTATGTTTCAATGTCCCCATCCTCCTCAAAAATAGACTCAATGTCGGCCACCTATAAGGCCTTTCTTGAAGGATATCAAGACCCTCCTCTTCCCTTATCAGCCCTCCCTAAAGCCATAGCCCCCGAGTTCACCCAACCCAGAAACACATATGATTCCACCAGAAACACTTGGCCACAAGGCTCATGTGTGGCGACATAAAAAAATAGGACGACACAGATGCTGGGAATAAAACATGTCATTTGAAAGTCAGAAAAGATACATTTTTATAGAACAATAAAGTAAGAAAATATGGGAAGTGCCCAGATCAGCTGCATGCCTAGGAAAGAGCAATTCACTAATTTGGTGGTTTAAGAATATTTGTATTGGGCCTCCCTGGTGGCGCAGCGGTTGAGCGCTGGGTTGCGAAGCTGCCCGCGGCCTCTGCAGCACTGGTTTGATCCCTGGCTGCTCCCCGGCCACCGGAGGAGGGTCCCACATGGCGCGCAGACCTCTCCTGCCGCCCACTACTCCCCTCAGCAGTGTACTTCGGTCCTTCTGCCTGCTCTGCTCCCCGCTCTGGCTCTGGTGAATTCTCTCACCCTCCCGCGCTTCTGACTGTACCCAGTGCTTGTATAAATAAATAAACAAACAAACAAACAAATAAATAAATCATAAATAAAAAATACATGCCTCTTTAAAAAAAAAGAATATTTGTATTAGTTCTCAGTAAAGATGTGAACAATAAGAAGAAATTATTGAGCTTAAAAAGAAAACAACTAAATTTATTTCAAGTTAAAAGACTAATCTTTTTTTGTAAGATTATGTCTTTCTTAATTGAGGGGGTTGTTAACATCCCTTCCTCTAATTAATTGAGGGGGACCTAGATGATAACTGCTTCCTTCATTTTTAATATTCTTTCTGGGGTGTGGTTAGCTGGGCTCAAGCTGTGACACAAAGACAGGACCCCCATGGCAGCTGTGAAGGATGTCAGGACGCAGGGACAAGGGGAAACCCAGCCAGACTGATGTGGGGTTGGGCTGAAAAGGGCAGTGCAATCAGACTGGGGAGTAGTCTGATTTGGAGAGGACTTCATAGCAGGCTATACAATCTGGAGTTATCTTACAGACATGACAGAGAATGTTAAAGAGACAAGAACATTTAGAAGGCAGGGGTTTTAAATCCTAGTTTCTCCTCAAATGGCCTTCCGCAAGCACAGTAGTGAGTAACAGGGTCTACATGTTCCTATATATGCACCTGCCCAGAGACAGTCTTCAGTCACCACTGCCATGATTACAGGCATCCTTTGTAAATAACACAAACACTTAAGTCACAAACTTACTTAACTGAGGGGCTAGTGCCTTGGTCAGGGTGATTATCATAAATTCCAGATCAAAAGCTCCTGAAGAGCAGTGGTCCTGGGCCTCCCCAGTGGCGCAGTGGTTGAGTACTGGGTTGCGAAGCTGCCCGCAGCCTCTGCAACGCCGGTTCAATCCCTGGCTGCTCAATGTGGGAGGAGGGTCCCACATTGCTGCTGCCGCCTGCTGCTCCCCTCAGCAGTGTATTTCAGTCCTTCTGCCTGCTCTGTTCCCTACTCTGGCTCTGGTGAATTCTCTCACCCTCCCGCACTTCTGACTGTACCCAGTGCTTGTATAAATAAATAAATAAAAATAAATCTTAAAAAAAAAAAGAGCAGTGGTCCTGTCTGTCCATTTTCCCCAGCACAGCAGCACAACCCTGGGTGTACATGGAGCACCTGCCTTTTATGCTCATGACAACTTTCTTCCAGAAAACTCACCAATGTCATGTTAAAAATCGTCACAAAACCTCTTATTTAAAAGGAAAAATGAGCTGTCAGTATGAACCAAAAGGCGTGAAAGTGGATATCCAAAAACATGTTAACAATTACTTTCATTTTTACTATTGGAGAAATTAAAGATGAAAAAAGTAATTTACTTCCATTAAACCACACAATGAACCAATACAAATATTAAATTTCAAATCCGCCAAACACCAAACCAAGGCTTAATAGCCCAAAATGTGGTAAGGAACATGTCTAGTCATCTTGCCCAATATACTACAAAACAGAAAGCAGCCAAACAGAGAGCAATCTGAGAGGACAGAAGACAGTGCAAATGAAGAGGAAATGGGAAGACACAGGATAAGAGAAAAAAAGCAGAGGTACAGCTGCCTGGGAGGTGCAGAGGCAGAGACTGAACATACCGTGTAACTGGAACTTAAAATTGCCTCCCTGTGTCATAAAACTACTAACACTGAAGAACAAAAGAAACTCAACCAAACACCCCCAAATTATCATTAATTTCTACTCTACTTATTTTTGTTCAGTGTTCTCACCACTGTTGAAAAATTTTCTTTTCTTACAAGGATGGGGGTGAGAGAGATTGAATGACTACCCACCAGCTCATAATCACAAGAAGTTGCAGACAATAGAACAAAGCAGCTTGGTGGAAGCCCCTCCACTTGAGTCAATTTAAGTAGACAAAGAAATTTAAAAGTTGGACAAAACACGTCCTTCAGTAAGTTTTTACAGTAATGGGAGGCCCTGGGTGGGTCTTTTCCATCTTTCATTTGGAGAAATGGACAAATTTTTCACATGATAATAAATCAATCCTGGGCCCAGAAAACAACCTCTATAATACTGAAGTACAACAAAAGGAACCCTATTATAAATTAGTTCATTTCCTCAGGGAATATCACTGAATTATTAGAGGCTTCTGTTAGGAGAGGTGACCACAGATGAAGCACGTCTCACTTCCCATAAAATATATTTGACTTTTGTATACCCCCCAAACATGCAGATGGCTGGAAATTTCCAGGGCTTTCCCTCCCAGAAAAATTTTACTAAGCGCTGTTTATGATATAATTTGAAGCCTTTCTAAGTGAGCCCTTTAAAATTTGTATTTAAAATATAAAATCACTTCTCACAGTCAGAAAAGTTGATCCAATCCATGAATTTTCTAATTACTGAAAAAGAGAGCAATCCTAATCACAACAACTCACAGAGAAAGTGGTACACTTGTTGACTTAAATGGGACTTAACTGGCATTGATCAGCTTACTCAGAATCACACTGCCAGTCTTCAGGAATTGCAGTTGTAGCCACTAATGTGGAAAACATGGGTCTCAAGTTTATATGGATGCAGGCCAGAATTCTGACTGAGCCACTTACTAGCTTTGTGACTTTAGCAAGTCTCTGTACTTCTCTGAACTCATTTCCTCATCCTTAATTCTGTGAAGATTGAGTGAGAGAATAGTACAGGACACTACCTGGGATATGAGAGGGCCCAGGTAAGTGGGCAGGAACAGGGCAGGAATTCTGAATAGGAGGGAAAGAAGTGGGGTACTGGAGTAGAACCACCCTCACTTGCTTTCCAAGATTGAATGCCTAGGAGACATTTGTATTAGAGTAAAAAGGTATGTGGAGCAGCGTATGGTATTTAAATTAAGACTTTCTATGGAAAACATTAAGGTGTTTAAGTTGGTCAAAGGTAAGCAGAAGAGTGAATGCTAATTTCTATGAGGAAAAGGGGTTCCAACTCCATGATGTCTTCCAGTCAAATGATATCTGCAAAGTTCCTAAAGGTGGTTAATATCAGAAGGCTAACTTGTATAAACTATAGTTGCTCATTCCATCAACGTGTCTTTCTGTGAGGCACTGATGACCTGAACATGAATAAGACAAGGTCCTGGCCTTCCTGTAACTCAAAATCTAGTAACAATGACAGAACTCATCAAAATACACAGTTGTAACACATCCTAATGGGTGATGTGCTGGCGGCTTTCACTGATTCATTCAAGGAGACATCAAAGGGTACATCTTACATGCTGAGCCATGCTGGGTAGTGCAGGGACACAGATGAATGAGAATGGGATCTCTATTCACAGGGAGTTGGGTCTGGCAGGAAAAACAGCAAATGACTACAACAGCACTGACGCATACCTGTGAGGAGAGGGGACATCTCGAGCTGACTAGAAGGGTCAAGGAAGATCTCGAGAGAAGATGCTACCATGAGCTAAGAATTGAAGGATGAGAGATGTTCAGAAGTGAGTGGGTAAAAATAAATAATGGCAGGTATCTAAGAGCAAAGGTATGAATGTCTGGTGTCTGGAGAACAGACAAAGTCTAAGTGGGTAGTGGCTAGAAAACAGAACGGGGAATGGGAGAAAGGACAAATTACGCTGCCTGGGGAATCAATGTGGGTTTTTAGCCTGGAAATGTGATCAGACTCCTGTTGCCAAAGGTGAAGGGTGACAGAATGGTAACTGAACTGTCTAGCAATGCATACGGGTAGGAAACCTAATGAACAGGCTGGGGAAGAAGTGCTATGGGCCTCCAAGGCAATGACCGTGAAAACAAAGAGAAAGAATAAATCAAAAACCATTTCGAAGGCTGAGCCAGTATGTCTCCCTTCGATCAAAATAACTCTGAAGTATTTTAGACAAGGTGTAACCTTTTATAACAGAATTAAAGCAGAAGATTACAGAATTCAGGGTTCAGACAAATTCACTGCAGACTTAGAGCTAAAGCTTTTAGGTCTGTTAGGTATTTTCCATCACAAGATCCTGACAGTTAACAGGAGGTCAGAAGAGACCTGTTCTTTGACTGGGACAATAAACATTTACAGCTATTCACAAAGCAAGAACTGGGAAAACATTTCTTTGAACTAATCTCACTCGTCACTTACAACAATACATTTAGGAGAACTCCCTTCCCTATACAGAATTAACAGGTTGGCAAAGATGTATAATTTCAAAAATGGAAAAATACTGTATTTGTTAGACACCAGTTGATAATAAGCATCTTTTTTTATTATAACCAAACACATTTTTAGCTTATTTAGCCTCCAACTCAAATTCTACCCTCAGTTGGCAAACTTTACTTTCAGTTTTACTATTTTAGTAAGTGATTCTTCTTAAATACCTCTTTATCTTATCCTTACTAAAGCACTAGCAACAGGGGGGGAAAAAAAGCACACCAAAAGAAAATTAACTTTACATAGTGTCTGGCCAAAGACATTATCTCAATGTTATGAGTCTTACAATCCAGAACAAATTTTTTAACTTTAGGTGAGTATGTTATCAGAAATAAATTTTGAAGGTAATGTAAAATATAAGTATAAAAAAGGTTATTTTAGAAAAGACATTTTAGACAAAACAGTTTTCTAAGGAGATTGATGAAGTGTTCAAGTGTGGATGAGCACAAAAAGAAGAAAATTTTCTGAAGGACAACCAATAGTCTATTCCAAAAAACTAACAAAAAAAGAACTATTTTTATGCTTCTGTAGTCAGTAGGTAATGCCAAGCTCAAAGCATTTCTTGCTCAGTTGAGGTAAAACTGAGTTCACTTTTTAAAAAAAAGTTAATCACAGTGATAATGGGCACATGCCTGCAGACAGAATGCAGGTTCTGTGGCACCTTGAGTGTGTAACTGTGGCACCTTGAGTGTGTAACTTACCTTCTCCATGCCTCTTTCCTCATCTGGAAGATAAGGATAATAAAAATACACATCTCATAGGGATGGTAGTGAGGACAAAATAAGTGCTGCAAAGTGTTTAAACAGTACCTGTATTAAGTGCTATGACATGTAGCTACAGCTAAGCTTCCACTCTGATAGCCTGTCGGTATGATGTCACAGACCCAGCTACTCTTTTTGCCAACTCAAGAAGGTGACTCTACAGGCAGCTGAATTTTTAATCATATTCTTGCACAGATCTTCTTTTGCCTGTTGGTAAGCTCACCCCAAGTGATCTGCTTTCCATTATGTTCTGCCCAAATCTATCACCAGAGGCTCCCTACTGTCCATGGCAAACAGCCCAAGCTCTGAAATGACAGTCCTTTCCAAAGAATTCCTACTACCACTCCCAAAACAACCTAAAATAGACTGATCTGGCCCCTGACCCCTAGATGGCATTTTGTGACCCCATTCCCGTGTTCCTTCTAACTGATACATTTGTTAGTTTAAGACAAAACTCAAGGAAGATCTATACTAGCAACTCAAAGTGAAATGTTAGTTTAAGCCCTTCTTGCTAAGGATTTTCTCATTGATTCTGCTTTTCTTTGAATTTATATCAATCTGTCTTATAAGACTCATCAGCACTTTTGGAAATATGCGATTAGCGGTGTTTTGCTTCAGTCTCTCCAAAAGTATTAAATGCTTAGGGACATGGATGATGTGCTATATACTTCTTTCAGTCTTTCTCAATGTTATGCCAAGATTAGGGACTCAACTGAAATTCTCAGAATGATGAAGAAATGTAAGCAATCTTACCTGAATTGTTACAATTGCTGCTCCCTGGCATTTCTTTCCACTACTGCCTCTACACTCCAAATGTAGTGTGATCTGTTCTTCACGATTAACATACTGTTTGGGCATTGTGTCCAACAGCTCACTGTCTAAGGCAACCTGCTGAGATTCCCGAAGAGCTGCAGTTCTGGAAAACATGAGGAGGTAAAAGGAAGTCTTAGGAAAGGTTCATGATGAGAGATAAAGGCCTCCAGCTACCCCCAGCCTGCACTGGAGCAAAGCAAGACACAAGTATTTCATAGTAACAAAAGAACAAAGGTGTGTGTGCCAACACTTACCCAAATCCTTTCCCTGGCAATCAGGCTAACCAGAAAGTTAAGAAAGAGAGGAAAAGTGGGGCAACTTTTTAGCCAGAAACAAAACTCTGTTTAGAATCTGTGTTGTATCAACAATGGTTTTTAAGTGGACCCTGAAATACACAAGAACTAATGAGAATTCCATCTTAATTTAATCATCCTAAAGGGATATCTTATTTGTAAGTACTAGGAATTTCTTAGGTACAGACAGTCCCTGACTTCTGATTTCTTAACTTTTCAATGATGAGTCGTTCTGAGCACATTTAAGGTAGGCTGGGCTAAGTTATGGTATGTGGTAGGTTAGGTGGATTAAATGCCTTTTCAATTTATAACATTTTCAATTTATGACAGGTTTACAGAGCTGTAATCCCATCAAAAGTCAAGGAAGATCTATGCTGGCAACTCAAAATGAAATGCAAAGACAAAAAAAAAAAAAAACTAATAGCTTACATAGGTGTCAATATTGTTCTAGATGATTCACTGTGTTCAGGCATGTGACCATAAAGGCCTGGCTCAAAAAGAGCTAAGGGAACAATGGTCAATAAGAGATTGATTCCCATGGGCTTTGCAAAGATTCTCCTACTTTATAAACAGATTTATTCCACACACACTCCTTCTCGTAAGGTCACAAACTAGAATCAAAACCTTAAAAAGTTGATCATTTCAATTCTACCATGAACTTGGAAAATTAGATGACTTCCTGGCATTTGAATCTAGTACCTACTATATCAATTTTTAAAGGAATATGGAGAGATAGAGAGCAAAGCAGTGATAAAATAAAGTAAACCTCATTAGCACCGCTAACACTATCTTTCCAATATCAGAAAGTGACCTTAGGAAAAGCATAAGAAAAATTTAGCTGGCAGTGCTGACACACAAAATGCCACTGCAGGAAACAAGTCAAATTTAGTCGATGGAAGTGGCATACTATTTCACCATAAAATAAAAAAAGACTTGTCACAACCTGGTTAAATAAGGTAGTCATCTGGGCCAGTCTGGTCAAATTACCCTCCTGGTGAGAGTGCTGATGAGAAGTCCTCCTGTGTACTAAATCAGCCTGGCTGTCAAAGCAGCAAGCAAGAAGGGTGATATTGGAGGATTTGTGGTCTTACCTGGCCTGCTGTTGCAACAGATTTAGGTCTGTGCGTACCAGCTGAGTGGCATCCTTCTGACTCAGAAGCACAGCTGAGGAAATAACTGGCACAGGAGGTCTCACGGGCTGCAGGACAAGGGGAGGCTGGGGAGCATCGTGCTTCCGCAAGTTACTTAAAACCCTTTCTTTAGCTGAAAGAAAATTAAGTCAGATTTACCAAGTAATGGCTACTACTGGATGATAATACCCTAAATGGGTACAAAGGCCTGGCCTGTTACCTTCAAAAAGGATGTTGGAGATCTGCAGAAGAGTTACTCAAATTACCAGAGGCGCAAATGAATAAAATCATTATCTTCTGTTACTTGTAAATTTTGAGGGACCATGCACAGGCTTAATAACATTCTATGAAGAGCTGGGAGCTCAGGAGCATGTAGCATGATTAAATCAAATTCCTATCCTCAAAAAGTTTTGATGATAATTCGGAAGGTAAATAAAGTTCACATCTATTTCCATAGCAGCCTTATGTGATATGTTAAGTCGTTTAGAGTTGATACTGGTTTAAAAGGGGTCTAGTAAATGCCATGAAATTCTGCACTAGATTGCATAGTTTCATACTGATTGAATCAATTCAAATGTTTATATTTTTACACCTAGTACAGAGCTGAACACACAATAGGTGTCCAATAAATTCCAGCTTGTCCTTCTCTCTCTTCCTTATACTAGGTACACACCAAGCAGCAGGTAGAGACTGAAGAACATGAAGAAAAATGCTGACTTTCCAATGCTAAGATAGCAAAGGACAGGAGAGATCGAAGGAATTTCAAATCACTAAAGTCAAGTAAACAAGTACTTAAGGGATGACTATGAATCTCCGATTTCATTCTAGATATAGTATTCAATTTTCTATTCTATTCTTGTTAAGAAAATTAAAGACAACTTTATAGTCATGACTTTACTTGGCATAGAAGGGCTTGTATTGTTTGTAACCCAAAAACAGATCGACTTTAACATTCCAAACAGGTCAAGAAAAAGATGGCCCCTTGGAGCTGGGATTTTTCCACTAGAACTGCCACTCTCCAGAGAGTGTAACAAAGGTGGCTGCTCATCTCTAGCTAAGACTCTTGACTATGTGCAAGTCTCCTTCAAGAAATATTTTCTTTGAAAATTTTTGATTCTAAGGAAAAACTGGAGGCTCTTTTTCAAGTCATATATAACTTACCATGAAAGAAAAATTAAGGTAATATTTTAAATACAAAAGAAAAGGGAACAAATTTAAATCAGAGTATCTGTAGTCACCACTCAAAATTGCAACTGGCAAAAATTAAGAAGCAAACAAAACAAATTGAATTAAGAAAAAGAGGTTGCATCATTTGGTATAATCATCATCTAACCTGCTATCGTCTGAGAAAAACCTGAAACTTGTTATTTCAAGATCTAACCTTAATTTCATTTAGCAATGCAACCTGTGCTGATTGCCAGCACAGGAGTAAGGACAAAGAAGGGCAGAGCAGGGTCTCTGGAGCCAGATGACTCTGCCACTTACCAGCTTTGTGACTTGGGTGAGTCACCTAATCACCTTATCCTGAGGTTCCTTATCTGTTCAACAGGGATAAACTTCCTAGAGTTGGTGGGAGGACTAAGGTATTGCATACGAAGTACAGGTTTACCCTGCTTTCCAAAAACAGAACTTTCCTATTTGGTGTAATTTGGTAATTTATTTTTTGGATCTGTAAACACTATTACCAAAAATCTGTAAAGACAAAAAAAAAGTTGAGCTTTTCCAGACCCAAAAAATAATGTGTGTGTGGGTGGGGGGGTTTTGGGGGGAGGGGTGAACAGGGAAGGTGGAGAGGCAAGAGGGAGGGAGGGAGAGAACCTGTACTGGGATAGTGCCTGGAACAAAAACTAAGGCTTAATAAATTACTAGCTTAATTTCAGAGAAAACAAGCAGTCTTTTAGGGCAGTGTTAAGAAAGCATTGAAAGCACCACAGACAGAACTCACAAAAGCATTCAGAACTTCTAGCTTTAGCTCCCTGCTGGTCGAGTGCCTAGGATTTGGTAGTCACTCTCTCTCAAAACTTCTAGCTTTTATAAACATATTACTTATTCTCATTTAACAAACTTTCAGGAATCAGGAATAGAAAATGAGAATTAATAAGGTTGGGTTGAGTGCAACTTTTATACCTTCCCTTATATACCTTTCTATATTGTTTATTTTTTTTTTAATGAGCACCTATAACTTTTATAATCAGAACAAAATCCTATTATTATTTCAGGGGTAAAAGCAAGGAGAAAGATCTTGAAGGGGAGAATTTTAGAGCCTTAGACAAGACAGTTCAGCACCTTCCTTTTACCAATCAGTGAAATAAAGCCAAAGAAGGTTCTCCTTTTTCTCTGCACGGCTAACTAGTTGGGTAGTGGCAGAATAAGAAAGATATTTTTGCCTTTCACTGAATCACTTCAGTATCCATTATAATATTTTGTTTAACAATTTTATTTATAATTCCATGCCCTACACTTAAGATATATATTCAGTGATTAAAATAAATGACTCCAATATTGTTTTCTATTATATATTGTTGTAAAGAATGTCATCATCTTTGCTAGTTAAATGAGCTTTCATGGTCTTGAATAGAAAATGAGTGATAATTTATAAAGTGGTTTCTCTAGAAAAATACAGTGATAAAACAACCAACTTAGAAACTTTGGGACTATGATCACTTGAGAGTTCCAGATATAGAACAAAAGAATTCCAGATATAGAACAAAAGGGTTTATTAAAAAAAAAAGTTTAAATTTTAAACCTGTAAATCCAAAATAAATGAATGTAAAATTGCACTTTACACAGTTTTGTACATCAACTGAAATATCTTTAAAGCATCATAGAGAAAATGAAACAGATAATTTGTCACTTGCCAGCCTCTTTTTCAGCTAGAGTCACATGTCTCAGTCAGGACAATGAGATGTAATTGGAAAGTCTTGTGAGCAGCTTCTTGAAAGTGTCCTTAAAAGAGGGACACGCCTTCCTGCTAAATGGAATGCTTAAGCTTGAGCAGCCATTTTGGACCATAGGTGGATTTACATATGAGATTACTGGGGTACCTGAAGAGGAGGAGCAGGGGGCCCTGGAGGTTTATAGGTCATAAAGCTACTGCCCTGAACTGCCTGCCTCCAAACTCCATTACTGTTTTGGCGTTTTCTGTTACTCATGGCCTAACTTAATTCTAAAAGGCAGAGAATTAACACTGAACTCCTAAAAAATAGTAATTCTTACTGGAGAGATACATTGTGCAAACCTTAACGCTCCATAGCTCTGAATCAATAAATCACATTCATTCGTTCATTCATCCATCTCTCCAAAGATGCTAATGGTTAATTGACTCACCTAGTAAGGGATCGGTGAAGTCCAGCTGCACTGACAAACTGCAGAGCGTGGAATGGGACTCAAGCTTGGCCTGCATCCACAGACCAACACTTTCTTGAAATTCATGATGTATGCGCTCCATGTTCAAATACTCCATCCACAGATCCTAGAAGCACAAGACTTTGCCTGTCATAGGTGAGTCATATATTCACATAAAACTATATACTTAAACTATAAAGTGAATCATTGACACAAATTCTCCAGCAACAGGATGAATTACATTTAAAATGGGCACTCTTGAAATCTTAGCAGGAACCTTAAAACTTTTTGTGTGACAGGATCAGAAAAATAATTTTATAGTCTTTCCCAATCATCATGCACAAGGCATTCCAGACTCCAAGGTCAGCCTGATCACAAGCCTGAATCTAAGACACACCAAAATGTTCCAGGTGCTATATCAGACCCACCTACTGTGTATATATGTCTCCTTTAAGTGGGGTCACAATGCAAAATAACTATTGATAGAGATTAATGATTAGAGAAGAATACAGAAATTAAGCAATGGGTAGATGACTCAGAACCTACAAAAAGGAAAGAACAACTCAGAACTTGAATTTCTGATCAAAAATAGGAGCTATCAAATCAAATGGCAAAGACATTTTTAAAAAAACAGTTAATTCTGTAGATACTGTGAAACCAAGATCAGTATCAGAGAACCAAGAAAGGTATGATTAATGTTTTAAAGTACTGGCCAAGTACCTACTACACACAAATCCCTAGATAAAACACAGTGGGGTAGAGCATAAAGAGGAGATGGGTAAGGAATTGCACTCAGAGGTTTTCAGGACACCATGGCTTAAATAGTAACTTTTTTCCTATTTTCTCTGAACATAGATTCTTAGCCTTATTTCTCTGTTGTTATATCCCAAGGTTCCACCTTCAGTCTTCTTAATCTAAATATCTATTACCACTATATCCACATTTACTATACTTTTCCGCTCCTGAATTTTAGACTTGTACATCCCCTAAGCCTTGACAAGAGCTCTCCTTGAAGCCCCTCAGGCACTTCCTCTCCCAGTTTCCCTAATTTTGCAAACAGCATCTCTAGCTGCTAAAGCTACAAATTTGGGAGTCCTTGTATATCGAATCAATCCTGCTACTGTGTCAATCCTACTTATGTATTTAATCTAAAACTCTGGCTGATCCTACTAATTTTTCCTCAACAAAATTTTACTTCATCTATTCAATTAACCATCTCTACTGTTTCAATAGCTCTCCAAACAAAGGCTTCAGAATAAACAAGTTTGTTAGAAATTTGAGCCCTATTCACCTTTCTGAACACATCATTCTATCTCACCTGCCATGGCTCTGCACATACCGGTCTTTCTTCTGGTGACATCTGCCACTGTTCCATCACCGGGCCTTTCCTTTCAGTTTGACCAACTCCCATTTATGCTTTAGGGCTTAGTTCAAAAGTCACACCCCATCCCGTCTGAGCCAGGTATCGCTCCTCTATATCCCACAGCACCCTGTGCATTGCACGCCACAGACTAGCACCAGGTGAATAATTGCTGACCCTATTTAACAGTAAGCCCCTTGAAGGGAGGGTCTGTGTCAGGTTTCTTTTTGTATCTTTGTCATTAGCTACATGGCACCTTAAAGGTACAAAACCAAAAATCATGGAAGGAAGGAAGATGGAGAGGGAGAAAAAGAAAACAGAAGAAAGTCTGAGATACTAGAGATGAAATACTATGTATAATGTGGAAGTGGATTGGTTTAAAGATCCAAGTTAAAGTGTCTCAACCCTTAGGGCTCCCTAAGTATAGGGTCAAAGCCCAGCAAAGTTCAGTCCCTAGAGCAAAGGATCTAGTATTGTAGAGATATTCACAAACACACACACACACACACACACACACACACACACACGATGGCTACTGAAGTGAACAGAAAACTTGGAAAAACTTAGTTTTTGGCTTTAAAAAGGACCATAGGTATCTTTGGGTACAAAAGAACAGCTTAGAATATGTTAAGACTAAAATTGAGAGTCTCCAGAATAGCAACCAAACACTATGATACCTAATAGTCATTTCCAAAATAGACAAAAATGAGCTCTTCTCTCCATGCAATTAACTTGCTATATAGCATTTGACCACTAATGAGTCTGAAGGCTTAAAAGCGTTCAGCTAGCTGACAACTTAAAATAAGCAAGAATGGAGCTAGAAGAAGACTGTTTATGAGGCAGGAGAAGCTGTAGACCAAGCCTCTGCTCTTCTAGTGAATATACGCGGGGGCCAAGATTCAAAAGGGACTATCCCTTCAACACCACCACTTATAAACTTCCAAAACCCACAAACACAATGACCATTCAGGCGGCCCCATTTTCATATTAGTAAGTGGTTTTACCATTAGATTATAAATATGATGAATTCAAATTACAGTCAAATACAACAAAAGAAACACTGAGTTTCACCTGCTGATTCTGCATCACTTTTGCTAGCCTGTGAGTATCATAATGCTTTGGTAGAGAAGGGATATAGGTGTCTCCTTTTTGAAAAGTCTCATCTTCTAGCCATAACATATATACATTGAAGAGCCTGAAAAGAAAAAAATATATATAATTACATAAACTATAAAAAAGATGTGTAGATACATTAAGTTTCTTACATCTTTGGGGACACTGGCACCACCCCACAGGAGAAAAGCACATAATGAACAGAAGATGTTTCCAGCAACCACCACATTCTCAAGAAGCTCATGTTCTAGGCGGGGAGAAACACGTGTCTCAGATCATTAAAATAGGATATATCTGCTGAAATAAAACAAAACTGTGAAGAAAGGACTCTGAACCCCATAATAACAGTAGGGTTCAGAACAGTATACAGAACAAGTAGGGAAGGTGATTTTAAGACAGATCTGAATGTGGAGCTTTTCTCTCCAGGGAAATCCAGTCACAGTGAGCCTCAGTGCTTGGAAAAGTTTAAATAACATTCAAATAACACATTTACTGTCTTTCGGAGAAGACATTAAAAGCCTAATTTAACTTATGCATAAAGAGAACTCGCCAGCTTCAGATTCTGATGATCTCCTGCCTCAGGGGATCATAAAGCTCACAGCATGTGTATACCCAATTCCCATTAAGCAGGACTAGAACAAAGCCGGGAGAAAAAGGTGGGGGTAAATCTCAATTTTCCAGTAAAAACTTTTTTAAAACAATTGATGTTTCATTTGTTTTTACAAGGAACACACAGTTCAGGTAGCTAAGATCCCATGCATTTTAAGCAGTTGTTTGCAGCAACAGATACTAGTGGAGTCTGCAGCACACTAACTCCTCTGTAGGGGACCTGGAGGTGGCATGACTTGGCTTAGCCCAAGAAAGTGGAAAATCACTTCCTCTACCTCAATGACAGTCTGTGTAGGAAAAGAGCAAGGAACCAGGCAAAGCTGGCACTGAGCACTGTTCCAGCTTCTGATCCAGTCGCTTAATGTCAGCTACGTTACCCACACACCAAGGGAAGGGGGCTTGAGAGGCACAAAGGAATGCCAGGGACTTTCTTGTCTGATCTAAATGCTCAAGGATAAATCCTTCCCACTGGTTAAGGCTGGTTGAAAATAACTTTTACTGGGCCTCCCCGGTGGCGCAGTCGTTGAGCGCTGGGTTGCGAAGCTGCCCGCAGCCTCTGCGGCGCCGGTTCGATCCCCGGCTGCTCCCCGGCCACCAGAGGAGGGTCCCACATGGCGCGCAGACCTCTCCTGCCGCCCGCTGCTCCCGTCAGCAGTGTACTTCGGTCCTTCTGCCTGCTCTGCTCCCCGCTCTGGCTCTGGTGAATTCTCTCGCCCTCCCGCGCTTCTGACTGTACCCAGTGCATATATAAACAAAACAAACAAACAAATAAATAAATAAAATAAAAAAAAATGCCTCTAAAAAAAAAAAAAAAAAAAAAAGAAAATAACTTTTACTTTAAGCAAACAAGATAAGGGTTCCGAGAAATCAAAAAATCATTCTGGAGGCTGAGAGATTAGCCCTCGGGGCTTTGAGGTCTCCACTGAGATCCCTCAGTGCTGGATCAAAATACTGGGTTTCTTTACCATCCTTGTATTCAGGATTAATTGAGAAGAGCTATTTTGATGAAGTCTTATTTAAAAGACTGATATCTAACATAGCAAGTTTATTAAATCAAGGGGGAACAGTGTGAAAGGGAGCCCAAACTTCAGCATTCTAATTTTGGGGGATGCCAATTTGTACCCAATTTTAGAAGCAGTTCTGGGAGATTACTACAATCCCCTAGGAGGCCTATGACCTTTACTAAAAAAAATCCTGCCGTGGTTACTTAATTTCTTTTAGAAAACTATCCTAGCAGACTCTACTTGTTGTTTACCAGCTTTGAGCAATTTTTTGGTTTCTTTTTCTATTTTTATATAAAGAAACAGAAGAGGACATTAGTCCTCTGGTGAAGATCTTTTACTCAGACTCCAAGTACTCGACAGGGCCACATCCAGACTGCTGATTCACATCTCATGGGAAGCAGAAAAGGGAAACATTACAACATGCAAGCCTGCCGTCAAAGGCACCTTCCACATTCAATCTGACAGGTTAAGAGAATAACGTCCAGCAGTCTGCAACACAAAAATAGCTCTAGCACAGTACCTGTGATGTAAACAACAACATAAATGGCTAAATAACCCTGTGTCACCTCACGAGCTCCGTGTGCAGTTCTGGAGAAGTCAGGTAACCAGGTGTGCCAGCCTGGCTCGCCGAAGGCCCTTCACTGCCCTCTGCTGGAACTCGGAGGGCCTTGCTGGCAGCATGGTGGAAGTCAGCCACCTCTGTCAGGCGCCTCTTCATTTCTTTCAACAAGTTGACATGAGCAGGGCTTTGAAAAAACCTTCTTCCAATACAACCATCTATGGGTAACCTTGAAAAGCACAAGCACAGATGACAAGATCCACACGAGATGCTATCTTGACAGAAAATGGCATTCAATCGACAAGTCAATTTGCTATGGCTGTATATATGCCATGCTAAATTAACACTGATTATTTCTACCCAACAGTTACTATGAGGCTCTAACAAGGTGGTGTATGTGGAAGCAATTTTTAAAAGAATGAAATGCAAAGCAAATTCAAGGTGTTATCACAAGTTAGAGGTACATAATAGATTAAAGGTGGTCCCTGTTCTTGAAGAAAATGCAATCTATAGGAAACAGAAGTGACAATCTATGTGTAGCGAAGAAATGAGTGTTAAAGGAATGAGAGGGAGCTAAGGAGCTGGAGCTACAGAGTAATGGTAACAGTGGGCAGTTCTAGCTGGCCAGAGTCCCTGTCTGCCAGTGGAAATGCTGGACACCCTCAAGCAAGTCCAGGGCCACCAGTCACAGCTCTGCTTTGGTCCACACCTACACTACCCACAGCCCCCTGGATGCGCCCTGCGACAGTCACACCAGCAGCCTCAGTCCAGCAGTTTCTCTCCTTTTATGTCTCCAAAGGACCTAGGTTAATCCTGACCTAGTTCCAAAGCACTGTCTTTACAACACTGGACATGGCAGGTGGTAAGAGGTTTGCATGAGATCCTGAACCCCAATAGGTTTAGTCTAATAAATGTGTCTCAGGGAGGGAGGGAGACTCCTGGTCAGAGAATGATTCTAACTCATGGCAGAGGGTAAGAATAGAGCAGCAGAGCAGTGCGGAGGGAGGAAGGAATCACAGAAACTGCTACCACTCTGGGTACGTACCCATATTGCGGTCCTGGGCGGTGAAGATACAGGAGGAAGAACTTCTGCCAAATGAGAGGCAGCAGGGGGTGATCAGAAGGCGTGACGAGGGCCTGGTGGGCCCAGCGATAAATCAGCAGTCTCTGGAGGGACGGGACGATGGGCAGTTTCAGCTGGCCTTGGGCTTTCTACAAAAGAGGGGGGGCTTTGAGCAACCACGGACTGAACACAAATGCAAAGACCTCCTCTTCCTAAGTGATCCAAGTGCAACGCCGAATATTTTGTTATAATTCAGTACTACAAAAAAAGAGTCATATGAAACTTATTTTTCTAACCCACCAGCCTACATTTTAACCTCCTTAGTAGCATGGGGTGCAGCTTTTTCTTCTGTCAGAAAATTTCAGACTCCAGAAATGAAATGCATTTCATATCATCTAACTTCCATTTCTTTAGATGCCTTTATAGTCCTTTGCATGTAAAGTGCTATAGCACAAGGGTAAAATGCCATTCCAAAAGCAAGTAGAATGGTGAAAACTGAAAGTACGTTTCACGGTCAAACTTTATCAATCTTTTAAAAATTTAGATTTTAAAAGGACTTTCTAGAATGATAAATTCCTTACATGTTCTGGAAGCCAAAAGCAAACTTTATACCAGAAACTCTAAGAATGTTCTTGAATTCTGCAGCTTTATTCTAGTCTCACACTCCAGTGAGTCTAAAGATCAACTAGGGAGTTTTTTAAAATAAATTACTGGGCGTCCCTGGTGGTGCGGCAGTTGAGCACTGGGCTGCGAAGCTGCCCGCAGCCTCTGCAGCGCCAGTTCAATCCCCGGCCGCCGGGCGAGGGTCCCACATGGCGCGCAGACCTCTCCTGCCGCCCGCTGCTCCCCTCAGCAGTGTGCTTCATCAGTCTGCCTGTTCTGTTCTCCGCTCTGGCTCTGGTGAATTCTCTCACCCTCCCGTGCTTCTGACTGTACCCAGTGCTTGTATAAATAAATAAATAAATCTTTGCTTTAAAAAAATGAATGAATGAATGAATGAATGAATGAATAAATAAATAAATAAATAAATTGCTGGTCACACGCCAAACTCAGAAACTCATAATCTCAGAAGCTGGGACCCAGGAATCTGATTTTAACAACTCTCCAGGGGATTCCAATGCATGTGGAGCAAACTGGAAATGCTTTCAAACAGTGGCCACCCCTCTCCCCATGCAATGAGCATGGCTTTCAACTCTTAGGTTATGACATTCAGGGTTAAATGATCCTGGAACAGGCAGTACACATTCCAATTACAGTTCCAGTTTGATTTGGTTATTGCACTTTCCAAACATTCACAACAAAAGAAAACACAGAGGTTCCAAAGCTACAAGTGAGCCCCTCAGCATCCAAGTAGAAACCACCTCTATCACTCAAGTACAGATCGCTATTTTTACCTTCAGAGCTTGGTCGGGGGTAAAAGCAGAATTTATAACCAGCTCCCCTTCAACAACTCTTCGGAGCTGGGAGTCTTCTTCAAAGATGGATTCCATGTTCAGCACTGTCCACGCAAACCAAACCTGTGGGGGCACCAGGCAAAAGCAAGGGGAGTGAGCAGCTGGCTCGGACACAGCCTGTGTCCTGATGATTTCTACAAGTTCACATTTTTGCTGCCATAGGTCTCGTTTAGCAAATATTTACAGGCATATATTCTAAAGTTAACCTCTCTTCTCATCACAGATACAAAGTTAGATAAAACGGAGGAGTGAAAAATGTCTAACTCTGCTGAAAGATTACTACAGTAAGAGAGAATGTTCATGCCACAACAGCAGTTGGTAAGCAAGCTGCCCATGGCACAGCTCTAGAGACTGAACACTGGTGGTCTGGCTCTGATGCCCACTCTTAACTACTGCCATGCCACTGGCAGGCACCACAGTCAGGCAGGCACACGAGTTGGATGATGAGCTGCCTGATCCTGAGCCAGTCACTTAACTCCATGCTCCCTCGGTCACCTCCTCTGTGGAACAGGAACCACAACAGCCCAACCTCAGCAGAGGGCTATTGTGAGGATTAAATATAAAATTATTCTTATATACTGTAAACACTAAATAAATTTGAGTTATTTTAGACTACTTATAATGTATCAGTAAGGATGGTAACAGTAATAAAGATGAAAGTGGCCCTCAGTGGAAGGACCACCCCTACCTGAGTGGGCGCTGCCAAGCCTTCCACGAAGGAAGGGGTGATGTTGCCTGCCACAATCCAGCTCACCAACGAAGACAGGAGACTCCGGTCAGAGTGGTACCCCAAAGCATTCTATACCAGAGAGAAGATGTAGAACAGAGAGAGGAGGCTTTTAAAAAATATTTATCAATGAAGTTTTTAAAAATATGCACAATTCTCTTACTATAGTGGAAGAGTCTGAAAAGACCTGATTTCAATAATAAGTCCATCTGCAGCAACAGTCCCAGGCAAAGTATTACAGTCAAATGCAATAAGCAGGGTGCTGCCTGGGAGGTCCTTATTTTGGCTTGACAAGGACCTGCACTCATGGATTATGACTACTGAATCAGACATGTTAAAGCAAAGCTTTAAGAAAGGCAGTGGCAACAGAGTAGCACTGAGATCAATGCACTTGAGGGGAAGTTTTTACAAGGTAGAAGACAAGATAAATGCCCTAGTAGGTGTACCTTATGCTGCTGGTAGAGTAATTTCTGCACACAGTCTTCCTGCATCAGCTGAAAGGCTGTTTTACACAAGTGGTCCATGAGGAAGAGGATGGGTTGTTCTCGGTACCAAAGATGCTGGCTTATCAGAGCCTGAACCCAGAACTCCAACACGGCAACAGGGCCCACTTCATTGGGCTGGGTGCTTACAGATATGTGAGCCTGTGGAGAAACAGCTCAGGTGATGGGAAAGCTCCTAACCAACCTCTCATTTTTAAAACACCACCAACAATATAATACCTACCTCCACTATAAAGTCTGCATCTGTTGATGTCTTTGGCTAAAAGCACTTTGAAAAGTGCTTTGAAATGACCAAATACATGTGCCAACACTAGGGGCATCTGGCTGGAAGGTGGGAAAGGGCGTACCTAGGGGCTTACTAGTGTCCTGACCTGGATCATGCTGTTGAGAAGCTTCACGTTGTCCCCATGGCTGGCTCCAGTCAGGTGCTGCGCCACCTTGTGGGTGACTTGCTGAGTGACACCCTGAGGGATGCCGCTGTCCAGGTGCAGGAACAGGAGGAGGTGTGACAGAAACCTGCCAAGCACACAGGACAACACAATTTACCTTCCAGTCACGGGTCAACAGAATTTCCAATTACATATGAGGAAATAGAAAACTACTGGTCCCATTTTTAACCAAAACTCTGTTTGGTTTAAGAGGAATTCCATCAACCTGCAGAAGTGCAACCAATGGGTCCAAGCCACACACACACATACAAGTTAAAAAAAAGTTAAAGGAAAAATACCCCAAAGTGCCCTCTTTATCCTGTCCACACTCCCTATTCCCAAAACAAAAACAGATGTTGACAAACCATTCTGCTATACCTTGTACTGGGTGTGAACTTGATACGAGGTGGCATATGGGGGAGGGGGTGCCACCATAATTAGTCACGGACGTGATCTCAGTCCTGGGGTGCACCAGGCTCCTTCCTCGCCCAGGGCCTTTGCTTCTGCTGGATGTGCTGCCTGAAACACCCCCCCCACAGCTAACCAGCAAACTCTCCCTCCCCCCTATCTCATCTGCACTGTTCCTTCCTCAGAGAACATGTCCTGACCTCTCCCTGCCACCTAGAATACTCCAAACCCATTAACCTTGCTCACAGCACCACTGTTTTCCTTCATGGCCCTTAAATTTGGCAACTGAGGATGTGGTAATTTCGGTGACTGAGGGTAATGTCCTGACTGCTTTGCTCCTCACTGCACAGATGTGGCAGGACACAGTGGGATATAAAACTCAGTTGCTACTGTGAATAAAGGTGCTTCCTGTCACAGGAGACACAGTACAGGCCCCAAAGCCTACTCCCACATGAAGGAGAAGTTATGATGGAAAATCATCAATAAAACGCTAGAAAGAGGGGCCTCCCCGGTGGCGCAGCGGTTGAGCGCTCGGTTGCGAAGCTGCCTGCAGCCTCTGCAGAGCCAGTTCGACCCCTGGCCGCTCCCCGGCCACCGGAGGAGGGTCCCACATGGTGCGCAGACCTCTCCTGCTGCCTGCTGCTCCCCTCAGCAGTGTATTCAGTCCTTCTGCCTGCTCTGCTCCCCGCTCTGGCTCTGGTTAATTCTCTCACCCTCCCGCGCTTTTGACTGTACCCAGTGCTTGTATAAATAAATAAATAAATGTTTTAAAAAATAAATAAATGTTACTCTATATTAAAAAAAAAAAAAACACTAGAAAGAGTTAGGAGCTAGTACAGACCTGCAAGCAGTGGGGAAGATACAGAGGAGGAAGCATTTGAAGAGCCTAGAAAGATTCATCATGATGCAACATTTAATAGAGGGAAAAAATATAAGCCATTTGGTCTAATTTTAAAATATCTTTTAAAAACCACAAATGTCTATACACATTCATAAATGTTCAGGAATTTTACTTTGTGTGTGTGTGTATGTGTGTGTAAATATAAATCCTCACACCCACCTTTATGAGGAGAGGTATTACCCCATTACACAAATAAAAACAAAGGCTCTGAAAAGTTAAGGAAGCCCCCTATGCTCACACATTAGTGAGGGAGTGAGGACGCAAACCCACCCTGACCACCCTGGAAGTCCCAATCTAACCAGAAGACAAGTGTCCCAGACTTGCTTGGTGCCTGAGTGCCAATTTTTAAGAAAAGGTCCCTGAGCCCTAGCCCATTCCTACCAAGTAGACTCTCTAGGGAGGGGCTGGGCATCTGGAGTTAAGAAGCTCTCCCAGGGGGGGCCTCCCCGGTGGCGCAGCGGTTTAGCGCTGGATTGCGAAGCTGCCCGCAGCCTCTGCGGTGCCGGTTCGATCCCCAGCTGCTCCCCGGCCACCGGAGGAGGGTCCCACATGGCGCGCAGACCTCTCCTGCCGCCCTTCTGCCTGCTCTGCTCCCCGCTCTGGCTCTGGTGAATTCTCTCACCCTCCCGCGCTTCTTACTGTACCCGGTGCTTGTATGTATGTATGTATGTATGTATGTATGTATGTATGTATGTATGTATGCATAAATAAATAAATAAAAATAAATCTTTAAAAAAAAAAAAGAAAAAGAAACTCTCCCAGGGACTGTCATCACCAGACCTTCTTGAGATGACACACATGGGAAAAACCAAGTGCCCTGAAGGAATGCATGTCCCCCACATCAGGCCTCACTGTCCCCTAACTCTTCCTCACAAGGCCCTTGCCAGATCTCTTGCCCCAGCTCCTCAGACAGGTAGTTCCCATACTACCTCTACACCTTTGTCCCCCTCAGACCCTCCTCTCACCAAAGCTAAGCATGTCTCACATGAGGAGCAGCTCCTAGGTCTCGTGTTTGTAATACTGCGTTGGGACCCTGCCAACAAGGAAAAGCGCCGTGTTTTTTGCTATTGGTATAATTCAAATCCACTTGCTGCTCAGTATCAGAAGCACCGTTCCCTGGGTTTCATGAAAACAGTAGTTATTTGGAAGTTAAAGGAATGTAGAAGTAAATGAGAAGAGAAAATATCTTTCCTGAGAATAATACTGGCACTACTAGTAGAATCACCATTCATCAAACTGCATTCTGAACTGGGCAGGAAGCCTGTGCCTCATAAAAAATACACTGTTGAAAAATCATTCCAATATTTCACTTCAGAAACCAGAAGACAAAGTCATTTGCACTTGCTGGGCTGTTCTCTACTTACTGCTCATTTTTCAGAAGATAATACTGGCAAGGGTAGAACAAAGGCAGGATCTTATCCAGGACATGGACCACTGTTCTCAAATGCCTCATCTGGACCAGAATTCCCAGCAGTGGGATGCCTTCTGCACAGAACTTCTCAATGCTATGGAAAAAGAAAAGGCAATGAGCATACCAGTAGCCGGTTCATTAAATGATGTTCCTCCCCTGAGCTATCAGCCTCCACGCTACCCGACATTGAGGCCTGCAACACATTTTTGCATACCAGTCTTCACATCAAAATATCAGAACTGGAACTCTGAAAGTATGCAAAGGAACTTAAAGTTTATCTATATTTTATTTTTAAAGTTAAGAAAAGTGAAGTATCATGCCCAAATTCAAATAGCGTACGGTCAAAATGAGAACCCATGATTGCAAATTTTTAGTCCAGAGTGTTTGCCATAATACTGTTTTATTTCTCAAACAGTACTTCCTCTACGAGCCCTGGGGCTCTCACTGACTGCATGTTCCACAAGTATTATACAAACAGAAGGCTCAAACTGAGCTCAGTCCATCAGTATTAAACTGGCAAAATTCTCTGGGGTAAAAATTTAATTATTCTTGACTCACTTTTTGACTATCTCTCCTTAAAAAATAATCTGAAATATGGGGAAAAAATATGGCAGATGACCGATGTAATGATGTACCTTTTAGGATTATTTATAATTATAACTCAATGGCAGAAATGAGTTACAGACATTTTCGAAAAAATATTCAAAGGAAGTATTACAGCATCATTTAAAAATAATGGATATGGGGCCCCCCCCCCGGTGGCGCAGCGATTGAGCGCTGGGTTGCGAAGCTGCCCGCAGCCTCTGCAACGCCAGTTCAATCCCCAGCTGCCGGGCAAGGATCCCACATGGCGTGCAGACCTCTCCTGCCGCACGCTGCTCCCCTCAGCAGTGTACTTCGTCAGTCTGCCTGTTCTGCTCCCTACTCTGGCTCTGGTGAATTCTCTCACCCTCCCGCACTTCTGACTGTACCCAGTGCTTGTATAAATAAATAAATAAATCTTTAAAAATAATAATAATAATGGTTATGACAACCAAGGTGGCATGCAACAATACTCCTGCCATTGTGATACTAGGGGGGGAAGACCATAAAATTTCATACTTCTGATTATGACCGCTGGTAAAGGAGAATGACAAAAAGGGAAAAACACAGGGGTGATGTCACACCAAAATACTCATTGTTCTGGAGTGGCAGAAGTGAGTAGTTTTTCTTCCATTTTCCTAATTCTACAATTTGGTTATGCTGTTTTTACTGTAGGAGGATAAATCACTTCAGAAAATAAAACTAACAGTACAAAGAATATGCCACAATGGAAGTGTTTATAATTTAAGAAGTGAAAAAGGACATATAAAAGTATATATATAGTTCTAAAAAAGACAAAAGGGAAAAAATTGTGGATTAAAAATAAGCAGAAAAAAATAGAAGCAGTGTTTTATTAGAGTGAGAGATTCTGGGTGATTTTTTTGACTACAGTACTCTGTACCATCTACGACGCCATATTCATGCACAGTTTATGTCCCTCGGGGTGCCCCAGTCCCAAGCCCAATCACAAGATGGTTTTAAGTAGGTTGTAGTACAGATACATCCAAAATGACCATGGTGGAGCTTCACACTAGAGTTCAGTCCTGAAGAAAAACAGTTATCTGCACCTTTACTTCCATTTAACATTCGGTAAACAGCACTAAACAAACATTTAAGTTTAAAGAAGACTGAAGCAGCATCAGTGAATAGTTACAGTCCCAGATTGGATACAAGAAATTAGTGAAATGAAGTGATTAAATTTGCAGACACTACACTCAAGGAACCCACAGGCCAGACACTGTTCTAAGCATGTTGATGTCTTGTGACTTGCTTAAGCCTCATGAAGTACATCAAAGCTATTATTATTTCCATTTTAGAGATGAGGAAACTGAGGTCCAGGAAAGTGATGAATGACATTAGTCATGAGACATTACTAGAAACAAAGTAAAGAGTGTGTTCCAAAGGGCCTAATAACATCACTCCCCTTCCCAGCAGTAATTCTATCCTCTGTTTACCTTGTTTTCAAAGGCTGAACTGCCTGATCATCCCTGTTCGCCAGCATGAATCTCAGGCTTCAAGCAGGACTGTTTCTCCCTAACCCCCTCAGACCTGGTACTCTTCACATTCATTAGATCAAATACTAAGTAAGTACAAGTTCTGGCAATACAAAGATGACAAGACAATATTCTTACATTTGAGGAGCGTGCAGTCCACGAGGGAAGAGAGAAACCTCCACACTATTCTACAGCAAGTGTGCTGCAGGGTGCGAGTGGGTGGCCCTTGGGCTGAAGCTCCACTACAGTGGCCATGATCACCTGGACAAGGTAAGCATCACCACTCTGCTCCTTAGCATAGGACCAGTGCATCTGATACCTCTCCAAAGCTTCGCTCCTCTGTGAAGGTATCCTGCTCTGATGATCTCTCCCTCCTTTCCATTCCTTCCATTCAGATTCTGAGTGGTTCCTACGCTAAGCTCTAAATTCACGAAATCTAGAGAATGGAACCCAGACCAATTAGATCAGGATTCTCACACTCTTCCCTGCATGGGGATTTGTAGAATCTACTACAGAAGCAAGTCTAAACAGTGGCCAAGGTTGAGAAGCACTGCTTCATCCATATCATCCAGCCCATGATTATAATGTTTAGTTCTACAGTTGTTCTATGTCTACCTGCCCACTAAACTATCAAGACCCTGTGACCAGCTGGCCAACAGTTGTGTATCTCTCCTACCTCCCACCAAGAGGCTGAGCCTGAACAGCAGACAGGACACTGGCATCCCCATGAAAATATATTTAATGTGAAACAAGATGTCGAAATCAGGAAGCTAAAAAGGTAGTAAAGTGAGTTTAAAACTCAAGAATCAAAAATCATAGGTCAAAGAGGTTTCAGAAAAATGGGTAGGTTAGATAAAATTGATTTATCACACAAAAGGGATCGTTAAAGATTTTTAACCAATGGAGAATCCATTCATACATTCAGTTATTTACTGCACCAGATACAGTCTTCTTCACAAAAGATGAAATGGTAACACAAGACAAACATTTATGAGTCCTAATCTAACAGGTGATCCTTGATAAGATTAATCAGACAACTATAATATAGTGTGATAAATATTCTAGTGGAAGAAATACAGACACTGTGTGTTTACACCAGGGAAGCAGGAGAAACGGTCAGCAGCTTTCTCCCCTGCACAAGTGAAGCCTTTTAGTCGAGAAGCTGCATTGCACAGCCATCACTTTAAGCAAAATTCAATATAGTTGACTAATTTTTTCATTTGATCATTATTACGAGGAAAAGAACATATCCACGGCTGACATAAACATTCCACTGGTGACATATGTAACTCCTCATAAAGGAGTTTTTCTCCTTTATGATTTTCTCATACAAATCTGTCTTGTATGAATTTTCTCTTGATAAGCTATTAATCAAGGCTCATAATTTAACCCTAGTTAGGTTTATTGGAGGTCTCAGAACTTAAGGTCTGCAACCTGAGATTCTAGAAGCACAGACTACAAAGTTTAGCAACCCCAGAGTAAGTTTAGCCCAAACACAGTACCTGTGGCCCACAGTCGTCATAGCTAAGGCCAGATAACAGCCAATGGGCATGCCCGCCTTAACAGCCTTCAAGAGAGGATGAAATGTGGGTGACTCTGTCATGTCAGGCACAGTGCTGGAGAAGGGAACAGTTGGACAATTCTGCTGTAGTCCATAATCGTTTTTGTGCAGTTTTAACCTCAAGATCAAGTTCCAGGCCCACTGATTAAAGGAGGTCTCAGGTGTCTCTCCATATCGAACAATAGTAGCCAAATACGAAACCTAAAACAATATATTTTAAGCCACATTAGACACATACATTAAATCAGTAAGCTCACCCATCTGTCTCCTTCGGTGATCAACAATGGCCTCAAAAAAGAGGAACATACTATTCACTAGTCCTCATTGTCTACAGCACTAAATTAATTTCTCATTCACAACTGCTTCTGCTTACTTGCCAGTTACCTCCTGAACCTGATCTGGGTTAGCTCAAACAAAAGAAAAGTAATAGAAAAGTTGGTACTCAATGAATAGTGTGTTGATAAATAAAGTTTAACAACCAGTTGAAGCAGAAGAGTTCATTTCTAGCCCTTGCCAGTTTGGTAGTAGAAAAACTCCCATAACAGTCAACTTCAAGCTACCAACAATTAAGTGACCTGATCTGCAAAGTTCCTGAAAATTTAAAAATCAGTTCCCAGGAGCCAGTACAAGCCAGCTCCAACATACCAGTGGTGCTCAACTCAAATTCTACAATATTAAAATGGTCAAATGTAGGTTATTTCTTGAGGAAAAATCTTTACTCAATCATAGAGTGCAATTTCAGTATCTTAAACTGCCAGAAATGTTCTTAGGAAACTTAAGAATCAACACTATATCTTTCCTCACTTTGATGATTGATAAAGATTTTTGTTCTCACTACATGAAAGAAGGAAATACCTGTTTCATACTCTCAGAAAGAAGCCCAGCATATGGCTTCTGTGCGAGGTACTTCTGGTATGCTTCAAGAATCACCAGGGCCACATCAGTATGGACTGCCTGATCCAGGTGCAGGGTATCCTTTAAAGAGAAATACAATCACAAATATGTTATTGTGATTTTATTTCAATACCTTTGAATCAAAGATTAGGCAGAAAAGTGAAAAAGGATACAGAAGCTAAATTTTCCAAACTCACATTTCCTAACAGTGAAAATAGAAAATGACAATAAAAAAAAAACTGAAATATTTAAAGAACACTTAAACATACTGTACCTAAATAGGTTTGAAGCTGAGTATCCCTGACCTCAGCCACAGAGGTAACTTTGACTGTAATCCCCCCCGTACCGTAAAATCACTACAAAGACTTTTATAATTATGTTCAAGGTATTGTCACAAGCCAGAAAGATGCTTAATTATGATTAATTAAAGAGAAAAAATTAATATCTACATTCCCTTTTCTTGTTCTATCATCACTGAAAATAAATAAGATGTTTGACAACATGGGTAAAACATTCCTTTAGGAGCTTCAAGTTGCCTATCGATTTTCCCACACAATCTTCCTTTACAGAAATGGCTTCCCTGACTCCAAAAAAGGGGCAAAGAGATCCTCTAAGGGAAGTCTTCCTGAAGTTCTCTGGGACCAAAGGCATGTGGGCAAGAGATATGAAGGTGGAGAATAGCCCCCAATACTCTCTCCCACCAGCACAAGAAATAGAAGACCCAGATTAATCCATGAGCAGTTGCAGGTGGGTGAGGACACCTGGGAGAAAAGCTCCCTGCCTTCAGTTTCCTCCTCTGTACAACTCTGGACATGATCATACCAGTCTCATAAGATGGATACAAGGACCAATCAACACTCAGACCAAAAAATGAGCGACAGATGGACAAGGCTCTCTCCCATTTTCCCTTTCATGTGTTCAAGTATTCCGATCAAGGACCTAAATAATAAGGCCTAGGGTGAAGAGGTAGGAAAGTTTACCAGTCATGACCACTTGACATGGCATCCTTGAGAGATATAAAAGGTAGCAAATTCAAGTAATCATAAACTTATTAATAAAGATTACCACCATTGAGTACTTAATGTTTGCCAAGAACTGCCCTAAATGTATTACTTGTCCTAATTTGTTGAATACTATCCTAACTTATTTTACATGTCCTAACAACCTATGGAGTATTAATATTAATACTTACAGATGAGCAACTGAGTTCTAGAGAACAGAAGAAGCTTGCTCAAGATCACACAACTTGGAAATGGAAGAGTTGGGATGAGAACATAGTAGGGTGACTCAGAGTTTAGGCTTTTAACCAACACAGTGGTTAGCAAGACATTATGCAGGAGAAAGAGGGTCCAGAAGCAGGAGAGGCAATTAGGAGAAAATGCAGTAAGTAGTCAGAGACAGCAACAGACACAAATGGTCTAAGGAAAAGGGAAAGAATTTTCAAAGTGGAGCAATTTATCTTCATTTAGTAGCTGTTCACCCTGCAAAACAGAATTAAAGATCCTAAACTCTGACACAGCTAAAAGAATTTGCAGACCTTCCAAATGATACTTGAAAATGTTACTAATTTGAGAAAATATTTCTTTGAAACTGGTCTATGTAGAACCTCTATTCTCTGGGGAATGACTTTAACACATACCTGCTCACCAAATCCCCAGTTCAGTCCTTCTAGAATAACACAGGCCAATTTATTCTTCACAGTTGTCAGGTTGTAATTCAATAACCAATCCCGAATCACAGCTATCTCGGAGGCAGAAGGGCGCCAAAGATACAAAGGTAGTTCTTTAAACAAGTATAACGAAACCTTATTTAAAAGAAAAGATAATAATTAGAATTAAAACTTAAGGACAATTCTATGTAACTACAATGCTACATTATTAAGCTGCTTGCAAAAATTTTTCTTCAAAAGGAAGTGAGATTTTGTTTCATTTTTAGATAAGTGAGATGGACTTCATGAACAACAAATGAAATAAATATTAAAGCTAAAGATACAGCAAAAGCACATTTTGCTATTCTTTGTAAAGGTCAATGTTTTACTATATGTAAACTTGCATTTACCCATAATATGAAAACCACCATACCAGGAATGAACTGGATAAACAAAGTGTGGTATGCAGATTTTACATATAACAGGATATTGTTCAGACTTAAAAAGAAAAGAAATTCTGGCACTTATTACAATGTGGATGAATCTTGAAGACATTATGCTAAGTGAAATAAGCCAGTAACAAAAGGATACACTTATATGAGATGCCTAGGTCCGTCAAACCTATGACGACATAAAATGAAATGTTGGTTGTCAGAGTTGAAGGGTATAGGAGAGTGGGAATGAGGAGTTATTGTTCAGTAATACAGTTTCAGTTCTGTAAGATGACCTAGTGCCGTGGATGAATGGCGGTGATGGTGGGAAGCAAAATAATGTAAATGCACTTAATGCTACTGGACTATGAAAAAAAAAATGGTTAAAATGGCATATTATGTAGTGTATAATGTGCCACAATTTAAAAAATCTTAAACATATACTATTCCAAGGAAAATGTAATGTATCATTTATTCTTCATTTAGGAAAAATATGTTTCATACGCCAATCTTTCAATGGAATTTTGATCTACTTATGAATATGATAAAGTGTTAAAAGTGATCGAACAACCATCCTACAGAGATGATAAAGTGACTGTAAGGAAGGAGCCTTTGCAAATACAAGCCTGAAGAAAAATACTATCATTTAAATATTTTCTTAAGGGTATGATACCTGATTATTTGCCATCAGAAAAATTCACACAAGATAACCTTATTACAGGTGAAGAAAGATCGTCATTTAGTTTATGTGTTTTTAATTTTACATCCATACAATGGAGTATTAGTTAGCCATAAAAAAGGAATAAAGTATTGACACCTGCTACAACATGGATGAACCTAGAAAACACTGTGCCAAGTGAAGGAAGCCAGTCACAAAAGACCATATATTGTACGATTTCATTTAAATGAAATGTCCAGAATAGTCAAACTGCAGAGACAAATTATATCAGTGGTTGCTTAAGACCAGAGGGAAGGAAGAACAGCTAAAAAGTCCAGGGTTTCTTTTTGAAATGATGAAAATGTTCTAAAATTCACCACTGTGAGGGTTGTACATGTCTAAGACAGTGAAAACTACTGTTTGTACACTTTAAATAGATGAGCTGTTTAGTATGCAAACTACATCAATAAAAGCTACTTTTAAAAACTTCATAAAGATTACAAAAAGGGATTGTGACAAATAATAAAAATAAACCCTATGTGTTTTGTCCAAATAATAACCATCTTAATTCTGCTTCTGAGTGATTTAAATAGGATCTTTCTTAACCAGAGTCTTCTAAGTATAAAACATAAAGATTATGAAAGTGAAATAAAATTATGAACTAAAAACTGTGAAGTAACGAGTGACTATAATTAAAAACGTGTTATTGAAGGAGGTGGGAAAGTTACTTTGAGGAGATTAAGAGAAACAATGAGGGCTTTTTATCAAACAGCAGCAAAATCCCAAGTAGGCATAGTGAATGGCACCGAGCCTGGGAAACTGCTCATGACAACCAGCCCCAAAAACCTGACTACTTTTCCCATTGCTCCGTTACTCTGGGATAAAAGGGGGGAAGCAAAACAAACAAAATCAGCACTCTTACCATTCCAACCTGCTCGATGGTATCTTGAACTCTATCCAAAAGGATAGAAATAATCTCAGGGTGAACAGCTGTGATGGTCCCTAAAAGCTCTCGACCAACCTTTGAAAAAGTCTCTCTGGTGGACAGATTGACATAAGACACCTAAAAGTGGGAGTGGGTAGAGATGGCACTTTAAATACCAATTATCAGTCAAAATACATTTCCATAATTAATTGCAGATACTTTCAAGTAAAGCAGAAAGAATCTCCCATTGAGCCTTGGTTCACTCCATATTCAAAAAGATGTCAGAGCTTCAGAAAGCAAACTACCTGAGGATGGGAGGTGGAAGGACAGGAAAGAGGAGACGTAACTGTGCAACAGTGACTTGGACGCTAGATTCTGAAAGTATATTCTAAAGTGGCAAGCAAACAGCCCCTTTGGGGCTAAAACATTTCTAAATTTAAGGAAAACAGTAAAATGCTGAAAATCAGAATGCCTTTTATGGAAATTTCTATTCCCTCCCACAAAATAAGAGAGCCAAATACAAGGGCTTCTTAAAAAAAAAAAAAATCAATGTTCACCAACTCCTCATGAACAATGTCTTTCAAACTACAGGCTCTCTATGTTGATTGGTGCCACTGGCCAGCATTGAAAAAAATGGAGTGGAAAAGATAAAAAAAATAGAATAAAATAGAAAAATGTGAGTGCACAATAGTAAGATTAAGTATTATTTCAATTCTATACACACAATGGCAAATGTAACAAAAAATTCAACTTTTACTGTGAGTGCTGGTGAAAACACTGGAAACATTCAAGAGCATAAACATCACTTTAGCAACAGATCTTGAGACTGCCATTCAATAAATGTGGAAATATACATCTCCCCCCAATGTTTTCAGACCTCAAATTATGTCTGGCATTTCATCCACTTAGGCCTTACCATCATGCAAAGTATAAGTTTAGGAACAACTTAATATAGTATCTGATCCTGGGAAGAGAACCTTAGATCACCCAGTTCTGTCATTCCCAAACTGGAGTTGTTGGGGAGAGGATAATGAACTCAAAAAAAGCTTCTGCAAACATAATTTCACTTAAGTCTACTTGAATAATGTGGAGGAAATTTTTTCAATTGTATTATTTTTTTATTGAGGTAACTGATTTTTCAACACTGTATATGATTTAGGGATACAGGTTCACACCTCTTGAGAGGTATGTTACTACGCTATGCCTACCACCAAAGCATCCATAGATGGAGGATATATTTTTCAAAAAAGTAAAGATAAATGACAGCCTCGATTTAAGATGTTCATTTTTTTTTTTTTTAAAATACACAAAACCCAATGAAAGCACTGTTAGCCACTTCGAGTTTTGTTCCAAAACACTCAGAGATGCAAAGATCACTCTCCTCCACCATTAGGGATGGCTCAGTGAGGTGAAAAAAGCAAGGATCTACCCCTGCCTATCATTTTATAGAGAAGGAAACTGAAGCTCAGTTCAGTTATCTTTTCTGATGTGAAAGGGGCAGTTAGCAGCAGACTTAAAACAAATTCTAAGTTCAGGATTCTTCCCAGGCTCTCATTTAAACTGGTGTGGAAGTCAAGTTTCCAAGTTAGAATGGAGTGGAGACTAAGGGCAGGCTGGGAGTGCGGAGATCACAGGCAGTATAAAAACTCTAAGTGTCCGGCCAAGCCAGATTGTCTATTCCTTACCAAAACTAATGCATCAAATGTCAAGAGGTAGGAGGAGGAGACGGAATAGGTATGACTTTTTTTTAGTACTCTTTGAAGCAAAATGATGTTCTTTGGATTGTCTATATCCTTACGTGAGTGCAAACAGTACAAGGTAGTCACACTTTTAAAAGGGCAATCCCAAAAGAATTGATGGATGGACAATCCAAAAGAAAACATTTTCAGCTGTTTTCTAAAACTTAATATTCTAACCTCATATATCTCCAGAATAATAATTTTTATGAAGTCTTCATCCACATTGGTTCTTCTGGCCTGAGCCATCTGAGCAAAAGTAGTCAGAAGACAAATCTCTTCCGAGCTATTCATGGAAGAAAGACACTTCTCAAAGTTCACAAAATGTTCTGGGTCTGCAAGTTCATATCAAAAAAATTAAAATGGGAAAAGAAGAAATATATATCACTTGAGTTAATCTTCCAGAAAGACTATATAAAATTAAGACACTCAGAAATATTTAAAAACACAAAAAAGTCCTTCCAGAATTTCCACAGTCATCAAGAAAAAAGATGGCTCAGATGAAAGTCTTACACTAAATATAATGTTGCTTCAGAGGTGACATTTAACATCTCCAAGCCTGTTTCCTCATGCCTCAAGTAGCAATTCACTGAAATAGTACTCTGTCCACTGTAAAAGACTATTGCTGTTACCAGGTGAGATATTATCAAAGGCACATATGAAGCTCTTGGTAATTGTCAGCCAAATGAATAACAATGAGAACTGCTAAGACTAGCAGAATACTCAGCAAAAACGTATCAATCCAAACAAGAGAGACTGCTTATAAAGGATAATTTTGGACAAGAAGTTATAACCATGACTGAAATAATGATGAATGTAACAAACAGTATATATTTTGCCTATTTCTCAAGGGAAGATATATTAAAAATATTACATTTTAACACTAGGGGGTAGTATTGACAAATGGCTTTGCAATACAGGACAAAAACTATAACCGCTGCAAAGGCAAAGTTGCACAGAGAAAAACCAAAAAGAGTCTGTTTTATAAATATACTTCCTGAAGAACTTTTCATAGAAATATGGCAACAAGCCAACAATTCTTTTCATGTTTACACATTTTAGAAATCAAATGGAGTTCATCAAATTTCCTGAATATATGAAAGCAATTTTCGTCTCCCATCCCTCAAATGGGCTTATAATAGAAATTACTATGCAGAGGATCTCTAGAAATAATGACAATTGGAATTATCATTCTAATAAGACAAAACCACAAAGCAATCTCTCGGACTTCAAAATTATTACAGATAAACACTTCTTCTTTTTTTTTTTTTTTTTTTTTTTTTTTAAGATTTATTTATTTATTTATTTATTTATACAAGCACTGGGTACAGTCAGAAGCGCGGGAGGGTGAGAGAATTCACCAGAGCCAGAGCGGGAAGCAGAGCAGGCAGAAGGACCGAAGTACACTGCTGAGGGGAGCAGCGGGCGGCAGGAGAGGTCTGCACGCCATGTGGGACCCTCCTCCGGTGGCCGGGGAGCAGCCGGGGATCAAGCTGGTGCTGCAGAGGCTGCAGGCAGCTTCGCAACCCAGTGCTCAACCGCTGCGCCACCGGGGAGGCCCCAGATAAACACATCTTAATCCTCAAAGTCTCCTAAAATGGGAGAGGAACACACAAGGTAGGAAGGTCAGCGCTACACAGTCTGGTGGGGCTGTACCTTGCAGCTGCTTCTTGCACTCAGCAGGCTGAAGAGTGGCACAGAGCTTCTCCAGGTTCCCGCTCTCCACCTGGTGCATGAGGTAAAAGAGCTTCCACAGCATCTGGACCGACAGTGTCCCGAAGGGCATTTCCGACATGAACAGCCAAATGCCAAGTCTGCACATTTTAAAAAGAGTAGGAATAATTTTATATATCAGCCAACCTCACCACATTGAGAAAATAGATAAAGCTTTAGCATCGACAGAACAGAAAGTCTTAAATCACACTACAGCAATTTGCTAACAAGCTTTGGTCATAAACACCTGGAGGATTGCTAATACTAACAGGAAATGCTCACCACGCATGTACTCTGTGCCAGTCACTGTTCTAATCACCGTGTCACATTTATCTTATCTCATTCTATCCTCACCGAGACAAAGCCAGTACTAATACTCATATCCTCCCCAGTGTACATGGGGTTACCAAAGCACAGAAAAGACAAGAACAGGCAGAGCTGGGTTTTGAAACAAAGATCCTTTTAAGATCTGTGTGACAGGCCACTTAAATGCAGAGGTGTGTGTCTGAATGTGCACACAAGTACATGCGTGCACACACAAACACAAAGTGGGGGGGAGGACCGAAAACCCTACAATTCTTCAATCACTACCAAAGTTGGTCCAAATTCCTCAGCCCCAAATTCAAAGGCTTTCACGATTTCACAATTTTCATAACGAGGCTTCTCTGTGTTCAGGGTATTGATCTGTTCCTAGACAAGGCTGGAAAGACCCCTACCTCCACTCCACTGTCCCTCCATTTGTGAAGCTGTCCTCTCCTTCCTTGGCACATTACAAAATCCCAGTCACACCTGACTTGGGCATTCTTATACCTTCTATCTGGGGTTCTCAACACTGGAATGGGCAAAAAAAATCACTGGAGACTTTGTGGAAAATGCAGTTTCCCAGGCCTGCCTGCAAGAATCCTGATTTTGTAGGTGATAGCAAGGGCCCAAGAATTTGTGCAGTTATCTAAGTGACTCAGACCCCAGTGTCCCCTAAAACCCCAGAATGAGGAAACCCCAAGTGACCATGATTTATGGGTACCATTTGAAAGCAGAAGTCAGGTCTGTTCATCTTCTATAAACCAGTACATAATCTAGAGTTTTAAATTCTAATTATCCAGTACTTAAACCAGTATCTCAAACACAATTAACACTCAAAACGTGCCTACTAAAATTGATGTAAATTTTATCTCGATTGTCTAAAATCTAAAAAAAAAAATAGAGTGGCCTTAAAGTAGCTGCTATGTTTTGGGCAAAACTACAAATTGACCAAGTACAAATACACAAAGTTTACCAAGAGAGAAAGGAAAAGAAGTTGAATAGTGCATGCTTAACCTAAGTCTACGGGCCATGGCCTAAATATAACCTTGATTTGACCCAGAATCTGGAAAGCAACCAGCTAGACTCCTGAGCAAGAGTTGCAGAAACTTCTGTAAGTTGAGGTGGACCAAGTTTCCATTTCACTGAATAATTTTACCAACATTTCACATGGGAACTGATGCTGTCATGTAATGGAGTCTAAAACAATGAAAGGAAATTGTTAAGGACTTTAAAATATCACAAGATAGTAAAGTGCAGGCTGGCTATTCCCTACATGGCAGCCATGCAGTAGGTCTGCCTTAGGCTTCTGTTGTTTGTCCTTTGGTTTGGATTTTAATTTTTTCTTTGTGTAGTTTGGGGGATAGCTATTATCAGAAATTTCCATTCAAGTGTTAAATGAATAGAAATTTCATAAATATCTTGTTCTCGGGCTATCCACCTCGGACTCCTCTCTGCCTAAAGAGCTTCCCTGTTCTTTTTTCCTTATCAAACAATAAATCTCTTACTTTTCTGCCTAAAATATATCTTGTTCTTATAATTTACCTCCTAAAATAAATTATATGCATGTAATATTGTGGCTGACAATAATATGTATATATTCAGCTTTGTCCCCAGCAGAGCTCCTAAACCCACTGGAATTTTCTAATTCATGAGAATAGTGGTAAAGCTGTTTTTTATGTTAATGATATGACTTTTTGAAATAAAATTCTAAAGATGAGGGCCAGTTGTGGGGCCTCCCTGGTGGCACATGGGGTTAAGCACCACACTATGAAGCAATCCACAGCCTCTGCAGCACAAGTTCGATCCCTGGCTGGCCAGGGAGCAACCCACATGGCGCAACAGACCTCTCCTGTCTCGCCCACTGCTTCCCTCAGCAGTGTATTTCAGTCAGTCTGCCTGTTCCGTTCCCTGCTCTGTCCCTGGTGAATCCTCTCACCCCTCACCAACCCCCAGCATCTCTGGCCTGTACCCCAGCTTTTGTATGCATAAATAAATAAATCTTAAAAAAAAAAAAAAAAAACAACAGATGAGGGCCAGTTGTCAGGTGAACCAACCCAGGGTTTGGAGGGTTGGCGCTGTCAGTCCTACCCCGAATTCCAGAAATGGGAGAGTGGTTGTGAGTCTATCAATCACCAATGACCAATGATTTAATAAATTGTGCTTCTGTAGGCCTCCCCGGTGGCGCAGCGGTTGAGCGCTGGGTTGCGAAGCTGCCCGCGGCCTCTGCGGCACCGGTTCGATCCCCAGCTGCTCCCCAGCCACCGGAGGAGGGTCCCACATGGCGCGCAGACCTCTCCTGCCGCCCGCTGCTCCCCTCAGCAGTGTACTTCGGTCCTTCTGCCTGCTCTGCTCCCCGCTCTGGCTCTGGTGAATTCTCTCACCCTCCCGCGCTTCTGACTGTACCCAGTGCTTGTATAAACAAAACAAACAAACAAACAAATAAATAAAACATGCCTCTATAAAAATAAAATAAAATAAATTTAAAAAAAAAAAAAAAATTGTGCTTCTGTAATTAGTCCCCCATAAAAACCCAAAAGGATGGGTTTTGGAGACCTTGGAAGTTGATGAACATGTGAATTTCTTGAGAGAGTAGCATACATGCTTAGATGGGCATGGAAGCTCTGCCCTCCCCATGTCTTGTCCTAGGCATCTCTTCTGTCTGGCTGGTGCTCTGTATCCTTTATAACATCTTTCTTTAATAATATCAGGTAGTATCAGAATTGAGTTAAACTGTAGGGTATTAAGCCAGTGTCACAGAATTGGTGGTGTGGGAAAAAAAACATACATTATAATTCAAGAATCATAGTACTCAACAATTTAAAATTCAAAATGGTTATCATTTTTGTCAGTTACATACATATGTTACAGAAGGGTTCACAACACAGGAGCTAGTAAGTAACCATGGTGAGCACTTTCCCTCGCAGTTAAGCAGGCAGGAAAACCAGTGATACACCAGGCCAGTTTCTGTGGACAGGTGCTGGTGCTCTGACCCCTGGCCGGGGTCTGCAAGGAACTGGTGTACCTCACAAAACCACCAACTTCAGGCACAATACAGAATGTGTACAAATTAATCTAAAGATGTATTTCAAAGCCCAAGTGCCTTTATCTTAGACCCGTGCCTTCTGTGTGTCTACAAGTGGTTAAGACAGGCAAGGAGTCCTTATCTTTCTCTAAGTGAGCAGTTATTCTGCTCTTTAGCAGAAACCACACAAGAATCACCACCACTTACATTTGAAAAGTCCTTTATGGCTTAAAAAGTATTTCCACATATTAGTGCCTTTCATAACATATTCATGGCATCAATGGCAGAAATAGTATATGATCATCAACTCCTCTTTATAAATGAATAAAATGAGACCACAAATAGTAAGTGGCTTGCCCAAGGCAACACTACACAGCAGACCAAAACTCAAACCCACACAACACCCAGTAAATGAAGGGCTGAGGAGAAGACGCCCAGAGCAAGGGCAGTGTAGACAGCTCAGAATAAGGAAGTGGGGGAGAGCCAGCAGTTTACGAGGGGAGCTGCGTGGGCTTGGAGCCAGCCCAAGACTCCCACAGAGGACACATGCTTCAAGCCGCTCCTGCACTTGGCCAGGAACTCAGGGCAGACAGTGTAGGATGCGCTGCTGTGCCCCTTCCTATGCCTCCCACACTGCCTCCTCAGCTGCAAGGTCAGGTCAGACAACTTGATCAACAAAGTTAGTAAATGTGATTTGTGCCATTTACCAAATGAGACACTGTCCTGCCTCCCCAAAGGCACTAGAGTTAACAGTGAAGAAGCATCCATCCCCTGCTCAGGGGGTGGCAAAAGTTAGAATAGGGTTAAGACTGAGAAACCGGGGAGAGGGGTCATTTCAGTCAACGCTACAGAGAAGGAAAGTAAAGTCCAAGAAGGTGCCCAAAGTAAGAACCATGAAAGACAGAGACGTAACCGTAAGGGATGTACCTCAGCCATGACCTCCACCCCAATCTTTTTCACCAGCCAGCGACTTGTAGACTCTGGGCACCATACTTACCTTTTGGCTTTCAGCACATGCAGGACAGCTCTCAAAAAGAGCTCATCAAATTCAAGCTGAAGTTTCTGTAAAGAGTAGGTGTGCGTGGCCAATCCCAAGCCTTGGTTGTAGCTCACATACTGTGCCCAGTGGTCACTCACATAACCAAGGGTCATCCTGAGCATAAGGAGAAGCAACAGACCATTTTCAGTATCACACTCAATACTAACCCTTTAAATCACATTTGAAACATTCACGGATTCAGCCTATTTACTGAGCATGTATTACCTTCCAGATTCTGAAGGCAATTCAATGGTGGGGCAGCTCCTCATGGAGCTTACATTTAGTGGAAGGCAAAGAGACAATAAACAAAATTAATTAAAATAGCCCATCACAGGGTTACAAGTGACACTGAGAAAAATAAAGCACCTCCTCTGGGGAGGTGGTGGAGGGTGGTGTAAGGAGCTCAGTTAGGAGTGGCAGAGACCTTGCTGAAGAGGCACGTGAGTGAAGACTAGACGTGACAGAATAGCTCATGGACGAGCATCCAGGTACAAGAAACAAGGGGCTGGAAGACTTTGAGGTATGTTCAATATCTATGAGGAACACTGCGTGCTAAAGCAGTATTAGTGAGGAGACTGGCTGGAGAGGAAATCAGAGAAGTTAATAGGAAACCAGATGACTAAGGGCCCCGCAGACTGCCATGAGGACTTTGGCTTTTATTCAGAGTGCCAGGGAGCTGCGGGGTCTTGAGCTGAGGAGTCACATGAGCTGACTCTAGATTAGAGGGAACATGGACTATTTCAAGAATATTCTGGGGGGCGGGGGTTGGGAGGTGGGGGAGCAAGAGGAAAAGCAAGAAGACAAGTCGGGAAGCTATTGTGAAAAGTGCTAAGGATAAATGCTTTCCCAGATCAAATACAGCAAGTAGCCGCTGATGAAGTAAGTCTTCGCGATTTTCTAAAATAGTATTTAATAGAAACTTGAGTAAGACGAAAAAGGGAGGAAACAGGAAACAATGATGCAAAAAAAAAGCTATTGTCAGTTTTTTATAGCTATGTGACAATTTCCAGGCAAAAGGCAGGACAAACGAGAAAAAGAGGGCAGAAGAAGGGGAAAGCCCCCCTGTTTCTCAACCCTTTCTCTCTGGCCATGTTCAACCCAGCAGCTGCTATGAGGATCTTAACCCCCAAAAACAATTATCTAGCAAACCAATTAAGTTTGAGATAATTTTTTTTAATATATTTTTTACATCATTGTTCATTTTTAAACAATGTTTGCCGCAGCCACCTCCGGTGTAGTCCCCATAGATTTTCCTTAACCAATGCACCCGTGCACCATCACCTCAGTCCCCTGTGCTCCTCCCTCCCTCTCTTTGATCCTCTCCCTCCTCCTCCCCTGCAGGATGTCAGTTTGAGATAATTAACCAACATTCTGACTGGAAGCATCTGGTAGATGTGAAAAATAAGACTTGAAACATACATAAAATCCATCATCCCAATTATGCAGTATCTGTGCTGAGCAAGGTAAAAACAGAGGGATGTACCAATGACAGTATTACCTGATCATAAAACCAATTCGCTTCACAAACTGCCGGTAGCGGGCTCTATTAAAGGTTTCTAACCCCACAGCCAGAAGTTCCACCAGTGAGTTAGCAAAGGCAAAAATTTTCATCATTTCTTGAGGTCTTGTTGTTTCAGGTAAATAATCACCTGGAAGTTAATCAAAGAAAGGAAAAACATAGATATTACTATCATGAAGAAACACAGGGATACAGGTATAAATGCTTCCATGAGGAAACAAAGCCAAGACTGGCGAAGAATTAACAATCCCCATTACTCTGGTTCCTATGACAACTTGAATGGGAAACTTGAGAGGAGGTGCAAAATTAAGAACAATGTATTAAAGATAGGCGATGGGCAAGCCAGTCGGCCATTTTACAGTTAAGCATGAGGTAGGAAACTACAATCTTGAGAAAGGAACGAAGGTTCATTGGGGTGCAATCGCCCCTGTGTGTGTCATCAGACATGGGGGACCTGAATCCAGGGTCTGGAGTTCCCATGTTCAAGCTTGGCCACACGACCCATTTCACATGACATGAGAAATTAGTTTACCTTCTGCTTTAAACCCAAGAAGATGTTGAAAGAGTTCATGAAATGGAAACTGTGATAAAAGGATAATCAAGTCATCTTCATTAAGAAGAATCCAGCTGGTCTCAGGGTCTTCATCCTAAGAGAAAAGGTTCAAAATCACCTTTGGTGATTTGGTCAGCACACACTATGATCTAGTTACTAGAGCAAAATTATCACTCTCACTGGTACATGGACTTCAAGGCTTTCTCCAGGACACAGACTGAGAGTCTCAGTTCCACAGATGGGCTGTCAAGTCCCTAACATTGCAAGTACAATTTTATGTGTGTGAGTCATGCCCGTCCTTCAGTGGCTGAAACGGCTCTCAGTAAAGTTCATCCCAAAGAAGATAAAAAAAATTCCTCTACCATGGGAGTCTTACTATAAAGCTCAGTGCTCTGACATCATCAATAAAAGAACCATGTTTTAGAGTCCAAGTTATTTTAGCTGCAAGCATCTTGCTTCTAAATCAAAGTCTGCTGAGTACTCAGCTGCTTGTCAGGAAGCAATCAGCATTTGCTGTGGATAACTGATGATCTGCTGCTAATTAGTGCTGCTGAAAACAGGATCAAAACAACACGGATTATACAGGAGAAATCTTAGGGCTTTCCTGTTTGATACAGAGCATTAAGTCACCTTAGACACCAAACTGACTTGTGTCCTAAGAGATGCTACATTCAAAAGCACATCCTGTCAAAAGATCCAGAGATCCTTGAGAATATATTGTCACAATTTCAGCAAGGAGCTAATGTAATTCATAATTTCATCACAACATTCATTTTTACCCTTTTATGTGCCTAAATAGCTAATAAACAAAAGCTCAGAAGGTCTACTTAAAGCAGTACTTCTCACACTGGCTATATTACAATCACTAAAGAGGCTTTTAATTTTTTTTAAAGATTTATTCATGCATACAAGAATGGGGTACAGGCCAGATGTGCAGGAGGGTGAGAGGATTCACCAGAGACAGAGCGGGGAACAGAACAGGCAGATTGATTGAAATACACTGCTGAGGGAAGCAGCGGGTGAGACAGGAGAGGTCTGCAGTGCCATGTGGGTATCTAGGCGGCTGGCTGGGATCGAACCCGCACTGCAGAGGCGTAGACAGCTTCACAGCACTGCACTCGACCCGCTGCACCACCAGGGAGGCCCTGAAGAGGCTTTTAAATATCTGGATGTTTGGGTGTGGGCTGGGAAATGTTTTTAAGTTGCCCAAGTGGTTCTCGATTAGAGACTCACCTGGAGTCAAGAAACCAGTGCTGTGGAAAATGCAGAGGGCCTCCCTCCCCCTAATCCTTTTCTGAGTCAACAGCACCACCAATATTTTCTTCTACTCCCCAAGTTCTTGAACTCACCATTTAGTGAGTGCTAGCCAGGTGCCAGGCACCACTGCAAGGTCCCTAATCATTATCTGTCTCTGGAATTAAATGCAGAATATCTACCAGAAAAAAAAGACTTCTCTCTCAGGAGAGATCACCCTTGGGGAAGAAAAAAATAAACCTGTTCCACAATCTTTAAAGCCTATTTTGCACCATCTCCTGAGAAGCTCCCTTCAGGATGACTATTCAGTGTCTAGCAAAGAGGACTGTATGCCAACACCACATGCCAGCTTCTTGCTGGCTTCTACAAGTCTCAGGAAGAATAAAATGAGTTGAAGGGGCTCCCCATTTCTGAATGACCACTTGGTTATGATCCCCACAGCTGCCATGCAGTCTGAGAATTGTCCACAGTACACTATCAACTGCTTTAAAGGGAAGGAGTTTTAATAAGTCTGGTCCCTGGTCTTCCTGCACAAGCACAACAAATCAGGATTTGGATCATAAAAAGCATGAGAGCTGAGAATTATAGCTGGAGGAAACATTCCTTACAGATACTCTAATCATATACAAGAGAAGAAAAATCAAAGAGTGTTATCTCAAGGAATTGGATTTTGATCATTAAAAAATTCTCACCAAAATAGAAAACTACTTTCCACCTTTCAAACAAGAAGTCCTGGAGAAGAAATTTGTGAGAGGGCCTCCCTGGTGGCACAGAGGTTAAAGTCTCAGTGCTATCAAGCCATCACCAGCCACTGTGGTGATTTTTGATCCCCCTTCAGGGAGCTGACCCACATGGCCAGCGGACCCCTTCAATCTTGCCCGCTGCTCCCCTCATCAATGTATTTCAGTAGATCCACTTGTTCTGCTCCCTACTCTGTCTCTGGTGAATCCTCTCATCCCCTGCACTTCTGGCCTATATATACCCCAGTTCTTCTATGCATAAATAAATCTTTTTTTTTTTTTAAGATTTATTTAATTTATTTATTTATTTATTTATTTTAAATAGAGGCATGTTTTTTATTTATTTATTTGTTTATTTGTTTGTTTGTTTATACGAGCACTGGGTACAGTCAGAAGCGCGGGAGGGTGAGAGAATTCACCAGAGCCAGAGCCGGGAGCAGAGCAGGCAGAAGGACGGAAGTACACTGCTGAGGGGAGCAGCGGGCGGCAGGAGAGGTCTGCGAGCCATGTGGGACCCTCCTCCAGTGGCCGGGGAGCAGCCGGGGATCGAACCTGCGCCACAGAGGCTGCGGGCAGCTTCGCAACCCAGCACTCAACTGCTGCGCCACCGGGGAGGCCCTATTTATTTATTTATATAAGCACTAGGTACAATCAGAAGCGCAGGAGGGTGAGAGAATTCACCAGAGCCAGAGCAGGGAGAAGAACAGGCAGAAGGACTGAAGTACACTGCTGAGGGGAGCAGCGGGCGGCAGGAGAGGCCTGCGCACCATGTGGGACCCTCACCCGGAGGCCGGGGATCGAACCAGCGCTGCAGAGGCTGCGGGCAGCTTCGCAACCCAGTGCTCAACCACTACGCCACCAGGGAGGCCCAATGTGTAAATAAATCTTAAAAAAAAAAATTTTGTGAGTGAAGGTAGAACCTAGATAAGCTCCAGCTCTTTAATATACAGACTCCAAAAATCTACTGGTAAGATCTCAAATCTAGAAACTTGTTACTACATAATAGAAAGTCCTAATGTGAAGATCCCAGGAGATGGAAATATATCCAGATTCTAAATTCTCCCAGGTGAGCAAGGTAATATTCTAGAGAGAGCTGGCAGCATGGCACACTGGCTCAGAGGACAGGCCTAAAGGTCCTGTCATGTAATCACTATAATATTTGGAACAAACTGCTTTACCCTGCTGCACCTCAGTTTCTCTATCTGTAAAAAAGGGATCATAACAGTACTTACATCATGGGGTAGTTGGGAGAAATAAATAAGATATTATGTGAGAAAGGCTAACAATAATACTTGGTACATACAAAGAACTCAAAAACAATTAATCAAAACAATACAGACATGACAAGTTACCTCTTCTCCTCCCTCATCTACCAGTGTCCACGTCCCAGATGCAGGTCCTGAGGAGGATGGCTTCCGCTCACTGGGCTTCATATGGCACAGGAAGTCGGCTCGATTCCTGAAGGAAAAGGGAAATCATTCCCATCACACCACCAGAGAAAGCTCTGATGAATCTAGTAGGGATCATCTACTCACCCTGAAGAAAAGTCAGACATTGACTCAATCTTCAAAGGGCTTAAATTAGTAAATAAGAAATAAGAACTGGGGCCTCCCTGGTGGCGCAGCGGTTGAGCTCTGGGTTACAAGGCTGGCTGCAGCCTCTGCAGCACCGGTTCGATCCCCAGCTGCTCCCCGGCCACTGGAGGAGGGTCCCGCATGGTGCGCAGACCTCTCCTGCCGCCCGCTGCTCCCCTCAGCAGTGTACTTCGGTCCTTCTGCCTGTTCTGTTCCCCGCTCTGGCTCTGGTTAATTCTCTCACCCTCCTGCACTTCTGACTGTACCCAGTGCTTGTATAAATAAATAAATAAATCTTTAAAAAAAAAAAAGAAAGAAAGAAAGAAGAACTGGCTAAAAATCAAGGAGACCAAAATCTCACTAATTTTGGTACAGAGACCATGATCATTCTGAACTAGCAGTGATGAGTCATTGGAGAAAATCGATTCCACTAACACAACTCCACAAGCAGTGGGGCCACAATGCATGGGTGTCACTGTAGAACCTTAACTCTAACCTGGCTGCCAGTTTTGCCAAGTAGAAAACTTCAGCAAACCTGTGTTGTTGAACAGAACTGGACAACCCTCAGGTAATGCATAAGTTTGTGTAAGGCAAAACAAGCACATCTGAATGCAAAAACATTTTGAAGTCAAATCATGTATACCATGTGAAAAAGCAGCCCTCTGTATGCTGGCAGTGAGGGAGGGAATTCCTGCTAGGCAGGCTTTCACATGGTGCTGGATTGTTTTGAAGAGCAAGTAACCAGAGAAGTTTCTTCTCTGATATCACAACCCAGTTCTCAGCCCTCGTTGCACCTCTCTGGCCTGACCCTGAAAGGCCTCCATCTCTTCGTTCAACCAGGAGCTCTCCCATCATTTCCAGCTCTGTGCCTCCAGTGCTGCCCTTTCAACCCCAGAAGCTCCCATCAAGAAGGTTCAAATGTCCACTGGTATCTGTCGCTTGTACATGTCCACAAGTATGCCACAGTGACTTCAAATTTTTCTCCTTACAAAACAGATCTACTTTGTCTTTGCAGCCTGTGAGGGCACCCAGCACCCCTCAGTCACTTGTACTTGGAAGAAGCTATTGAGATGTGTCTACACCACTCCTTTCCCACACTTTATTACTAGTCAGCTACTTACTCCTTTCTCAGGAAGATAACCTTTAGGTGCCACTCTTTCTCTTTCCCACTCCCGCGGCCCCACATCGGACTCAGAGGCACACAGGCTTTCCAGGACTGAGGGCAGTGGGTAGTAACACTGTTCTCAGACACATGGATACAGACTCTGCTTCTCCCTCAGTTAAGGAGGTGCGTTCTTGATGCTGGCTGCAGTTACATTGCCAGATATCTATAAATCTAATTCAATTAGGCAGATGATGTCTCCAGTTCATCCTAACTTTTCTTTTTTTTTTTTTTTTTTTTTTAAATAGAGGCATGTTTTATTTATTTATTTATTTGTTTGTTTGTTTGGTTTATACATGCACTGGGTACAGTCAGAAGCGCGGGAGGGTGAGAGAATTCACCAGAGCCAGAGCGGGGAGCAGAGCAGGCAGAAGGACCGAAGTACACTGCTGAGGGGAGCAGCGGGCGGCAGGAGAGGTCTGCGCGCCATGTGGGACCTTCCTCCGATGGCCGGGGAGCAGCCGGGGATCGAACCGGCGCCGCAGAGGCCGCGGGCAGCTTCGCAACCCAGCGCTCAACCGCTGCGCCACCGGGGAGGCCCTCATCCTAACTTTTCTTAAATACAGGTTTTACCCTTGTTCTAAAACCTTCAGTTGCTACAAAGGCTCGACAGTATCAAGTTTAGAGTCCTGTCTTAACGTCAAGGCTTCTATAATCAATCTCACCCTAGATATTCATTTTTATTACCATCCCCCACACACCACTTCATTCCAGTCAAGCTGATCTCTGCACATTTATCCTTACCTGTGCTTTCTGGTCCACTGCTCACAGTCCTTGCCTCCTACAGTACCTTCCCTACTCCTTGTCTCCTACTGAAATTCATTCCATTCTTCAAACCCAGCTCATCTACTTGGAACTCCCTCAGATTATTCTACTCTACCACTCTCTTTATTCTCATTAATCTATTGTATCAATCATGCTTCACAATGCAGCACTTAAATCTGTGGAGTTTTTTCCTCTGCTACTAAATCTCCTCCTCTAAGGAACAGACAATCTTTGTCTTCCCACAGCAACTTTCACAATGACATATATGACAGATGAGGCAACTCCACTAAAAGGGGGGTCCAAAAAAGGCTAATCATTTATACATAAGCAGTTAATAGGGTCATTTTGGAACAAAGCGTATCTATCAAACCCAGGAAAAATCTGCAATGTTAAACTTAGGAATGGTTGACCCTTCCCTTAGCAGTTCTTTGGATCTGAGTAATTTAGGAAGACAATTATTTGCTAGAAAGAAAGCATTTTAATTTCTACTTCACAAATGTCTTCCACACTTACTTGACAGGAGACATTAGCAGGGCAAGGGACTGCATAAAATGAAAGACCCCTGAAGGGTTATTCAACACTTTGATCTGAAATCAGAAAAAGAAAAATCATACTATAGAAACCAACAACCCAAGCATCCATAATCTTAGGTGACTGCATTCTGACAAAGGGAACTGTTAAGTAAACAAAGATGGAACTGACACCTCATCCACAAGAGTGAGGGGCCACAGCTGAAATCAAAATTAGAGGTGGCTGAGCAGGTTACATCAATTGCCAGTAACAATACAGGACAAAGGAGGATACTGCTATTTTAAGCCAAAGGTTAACAAAACAAAAACAAAAAGATTCTACCTAAAAAGATTCAATCTTCCTTCTACCTAAAAAGATTCAATCTGCTGCTCACTGAAAAGGATAATGCGGAGAAGATGAACTTGGCATATATGTGGATCCTGCCCATCTGAATGGCTGCTATGAGTAACCAACACAGCCCAAAGCAAGCAGCAAAAAGAAGGTACAAGCCACATCATCAGCAGCTGATTATAGGAGAATTGGTAACACAACCTGGATCTCTGCAAGCATTAAAGAACTTGAGATACCGGTGGTTTGTTTTACCTATACTACTTAAATTGTGAAATAGATTAATTTAGGAAGCTGTGTTGAACATTACAGAAAGTACCTTAGTGAGCCTTTGTGCACATTAAGTAGTTCTGAACTTACCAAGCCAGAACTTACCAAGTACTTGAACTTGTACAATTCTACCTTAATATCATCAACCCTAGATGGCCCAAGAAGTTCCATCATAAAAATTCCTAAGAATATATATGGGATATATTTGAAGAATTTTATTGTAAACATCAACGTTTTAAGATGACTTTTTAAAAGGTATTTCTTGAGGAAAACAGTTAACAAAATCTCTCCCCCCAGACCCTCTCAAAATTAGGCCATTCATCATACCTGAATGAAAGGAACAGCCCATTTACTAACACCAGCCGGGCATCGAAGAATATGATTTAGAAGAAAGAGGTGGTCTCCAGGACAGCCAACTCTTTGTAACACTGATACCTGAACAGCAAAGGATACACACTTTCATTGTTTAGAAAGGAAAACATATCTAAGGTTCCAGTAGAGTCACTTAATCTGGTGTTTAAATACATGTAATCTTTGAAGAGTAACCAGACAATTTATAAGATGATGGACTGAGTTTCTACCACACAGGCATACAGAAGTCTAAGACTCTCTAAGCACTATGATGAAAATATCCTAAGTAGCTTCTCTGTAAACCCAGCTTTTATTGTCTGGCAAGTTATATATCACTAATGTGCCTGAACATATTTGAGTAGCTATAAGTCAATTGGTTCAATCTGTCAGTTTGCATGTTTCTTAAATCCAAATAAATGTGCTTAGAAGCTCAACCCATATTTAAGAACTCTAGTGTAAACCTTAAAAACCCACCCCTGGCAGCACCATTAAGAAACACAACCAACAAATACTGTCCCCTGCCTTATATCTTTCCTAAGTTTCCCAAATCCTGACTCCTCTCTTTTCTCCCTTAAAATTTGTTACCGTATGACTAAGAAGAAAATTAAATATAAAGTGTAAAAATGGTACCAAAAACTGATATGGAAAAATTCTAGATCAAGATACCTATCTCCTGAATGTGTATCTGGTCTTAAATTCAGCATGTTTCCCACATTTGCATTTCTTCCTAAGTTGAAGGCCCGGTATCATTTGGCTTAAAGTTTATCAGAAAGGCGCTGTGTGTTTAATAGTGAACTGAACAAGCATACCTTAATGTCATATGTCACGATCAAAGAAAAAGTCACTAATGAGCCCACTAAATAAATTAGCTAAAGAAGCTGTGGAAGAAAATACTACAATGAAGTAAAAGATAATTCTTAAATTATGAGGGAAATAAAAGAAAGACCACCTTGTCTATTTCTGTTCCCTTACCAATTTCTGCAGCCAGAGAAGAATATCGTCATGGAACTGAGTATCTTCATTAACTCTCCTGGTGAACATGAATAAGACACTAATGCACTCCTTTAGTTGACACAGATCAGAGGGAATGCTTTCTGTCTGCTTAGAAGCTATAAATTAAAGAGAGGATTAAATGAGTCCTCCATAAATAGTGTTTTGAGAATGTTTAGTGTCTCTAATGTAAAAAAGCAAAACACATACCAGAAAAACCTCTTTCAAATACTTAGTTCAGATTAAAAATCCAAGGAGAAAAGTTACATCCAAATACTTGAATTTCTACTAAATACATAAACCAAAGGGGATGGGGGGGGTGTGGAGAGGACAAAGGAGGTTTACTTTAAATGATCCCAATATCTCTTCCAGAAATAAAAACTGCATATTTAATTCACACAATTAATATTTAATATATATACAGTAGGGGCTAATTTCTAAAACCCAAAGATGAAAAATTCAAGACATTATAGATCCTATGGTGAAAATTAAAGAAAACATCCAACAAACTGGACAAGTACAAGAGACAGAGGATAAAAAAAAGTATTCTGATTATCAGTTTTAGAATAAAAAACTGTATTTGGATTCAACTTGATAACAAACATAAAAATTAGGGCAGTAAGGAGTATTAATGATAGTGAGTTTTTGATTCCCTAAAGAAGCAGAGCATGACAGGTATGGGGAAGGGCGACATCTTCCCATCCTCTTAAATGTTAGCAGCACAGATCTCAATCTTGTATTGGGGGAGGCAAGGTAAAACAGCAAGCACACATGCAACTTTGTAATACCTACTAGCACACAATCAATCAACCAGACTGAACCCTCAATTCTTTTTTCATTTCAGATGACAAGAGTGAGACTTTCATTATTTACACACCTCGGCCTTGCTGATGAATTGCTAAGGATCTGAGAACAGCTGAACTATTGAGTAACGCATAGAGGTAAGACTCCACTTGCAACCTTGAGAGCACAGAGGTGTAAGAATGCAGAGCCAGGGTCTGGTGGAGGTGCTCAGATTTGGCATCAAATAGCTTCTTTAGCTCTCCCAGTGCATTTTCATTCATCTCTACTCTTTGGTAGCGATGATAGCCTGAAACTTTCACTTGATCTGCACAGATGCCCTAGCAGTGGAAAAAAGGGTAAAACATGCAAGCAGTTATTCTTTGAACTTGAAATAATCAGGCAGCACATATTAGATGCACAAGCTTCAGTACCACCTTGAAATACCTTATAAATCAGCGAGGAAATAATATCGTGTAGAGAATATAAAGGTACAAGGAGTGTAAGGCCAATCATGATGTATCACAAGAGAAGAGATTTGCTAAGGAGTTGGGGAAAGATGCAAGAAAATAATATAGCTTGTCTATCAGACTCAAATTTCTACTTTACAGTGAGGTTAACATGATATGCCCATAACTTCAGCAGACTTTAAAATATCTATACCTACCATGATTCTTCTCAAAAGAAACTCCTCTCCTTTCCAATACTAACACCTCCAGCTGTGTTCTTAATTCTATTCTCTCTTTTGTAGCATTTGCAAATGTTTCCCTTTCCACAGACATTTTCCTATCTATAAGAAGAGATATACAGGCCTCCCAGTGACTGAGGGGTAGGAATGGGGGAAATCACATTTCTCCCCAATAGCTCCTCCAGCTTACTTCGCTGTCCAACTTGTGCTCTTTTCTTCCTTGCCATCTCTCCAGGCCACTGTGAAATGGTTTTCCTGATGGTCACCTTGGTCTCCACAGGGTCACATCTAATTGCCTCCCAGATTCCTCTCAACCTTCTTCCATGGCTCACCTACTTCTTGACACTCTCTACCCATTGGATGCCCCTGCTATAATAATGTCCAGGGTCACAAACTAAATGGTTCATGGGCTCAATCTGATCTAGAGACAGGACTTGCTTAGTCTCTACTCTGTGTTTGTACATATTTGTGACTATATGTAATTAATCGTCAGTATTTACAAATAAGGATCCCAAATATAAAAATTCAATTTCTAGCTTCTCTTGGAAAATCAAAAGATGTGTCAATACTTACTACACAACCTCACAGCATCAGGGAGAACTCAAAAGCAGCTGGCCCCTGCTAAGCCAGACAAAAGCTAACCCCATGACCACATCCCACTCAGGTATTTCACTTCTCCAGGTTACCTGTTTAGCCCCTGCAGGCATATGACTCTGTGACTCCTGCACTGAACTACTCTGGGCTAAGACAAGATTACTGTGAGTATAAGGAACAGACTCCAGACCTAGATAGCATCACAGCAACAGCAGCTCCACTACAAATCCCCCAGGCTCCTGAAAGCTTTACAGAACACTAGTCAAAATACCTGCACAGACAACTGTTCCTCCTTAAAGTGCCATAGTCGACTTTTAGCATTTTGGCAATCAGATGTCAAAGCAAGAAGCTCAGCTTCGGCTAGTAGCAGTTGCTTCCTACATCGAGAGTAGTTCAAAATCAATTCATAAAATTCATGTCTATCCTGGTGAGCCATGCTGTCAAATTCTTCTAAATATGATTCCACATTTTCTAGCCATGAACCAGGCTCAAAGATTTTTAGCTGTTCTTTAGTAAATGGTACTAGTTCTGGCTGAGATGGGAGCTCCGGGTACAGTCGCTCATTACGAAGCAAGGGTTTTACTGCCACCAGAGCTGGTACTTCAGCAACTTCAGCTGGCAACTGGGGATACAGTTTTTTCACTTTAGGTGGCTGGAAAAGGTCTGTGGCTTCACAAGAACTCTGCAAGCCAACATGTTGTAGCACCTCTGAAGAAAGATCCAGAACTTGGGTGTGTTCTTTCCTATTTGGAGTTTCTCTGACCTGTAAATTTTCCATTTCCTGCTGAGTAGAAGAAATAGTAGACTGCAGTGTGCTTTCAGAAGGTCCACATTGTACCACTTTATTTTTCTCTACTTCTGTAAAGTTTTTGGGGCTTTCTACTTTGGTTCCAACATAATCTCCGGGGCTGGCCTTCAACTTGAATGCATCGTCCCCAACACAGGCTCTGACCTCATTCTCTTCTTTCTGGGTCTCAGTGTTACATGTTGGGGACCCTTCCCTGCTTATAGTTAAGGAGGTGAGTGGTACATCAAACATTTCACTCTCATTTTGTACACTGGCAACATCCTGGAGCTGGGAATCAGTTAACACCTTCAGGTGGCCTTCTGTGAGCTCACAAGCTAGAGGAGTGATTTCCAACTCTCTGGAGGTTTTTGGCAGGGATACTTCATCAGACTCTTCCCTCTGAAGAGTTTCACATTTCTTCTTTTCCTAAAAAGATTGATAATGGAGAATAACATAATAATTGATGCTTTCAAAATGAAAAAATTTTAAATTGTATATAAAATCTAAAATTTACCATTTAAGAAGTGGACTCTAAATTCATTTCATAAGTATTGTATTTCACAATTCATATTATTCAGTTTGAATATTTTTAATTTGGAGATTCACTTGTCTAATTCCACAGTGCTAAGACAAGGACAAAACACAACAAACCATGGTTCAAGAATGGAGGAGGATAGTTAATTAGGTCATTCTCCTTTCTGCAGGAGGTTAGGTGAAACAGTACAGTTTATAGGTATCTTAGGCCTCAGTAGGTTTGTCTTCATTTTGACAAACATTCACTCAAAACTCAAGACAGAGAAAGCTGGAAAAAATTGAGCAATAAAATAAATACCTATAGCCAAGAGGTATAGCTCAGGGATAGAGCATTTGACTGCAAATAAATAAATAACCATAGTATTGGATTATAGCCCACAGAATAAAACAAATATCCATGTTTGGATATTGGCATAAATAACTATGGATGGATGGATGGATGGATGGATGGATGAATGGATGGATGGATGGATGGATGAATGGATGGACAGAGAGACAAATGGTGAGAAGCCACAACTCTTCCTATCAGAAGAATTCCAATTAATAAATACAGATGTAATGAGAAAAACAGAAAAATCACCACTAAAACACCATGATAATAACTGCCACAGGCAAGATCACCTGATGGATGCTAACATGAGTGAACATTTAAGCAGAATCAATATATTTTCATAATTTCAAGGTATCCCCTAAATATTTAGTAATTGTAATGGGAAAACAGTATGAGTCAGTAGAATAATAACTTAACCAAGTGACCAAGATTAACATCACTGGTAATGCCATATGATGTTCTGAGAAGGCCTATCACTTCTCCAGTATCCTTCCCAATAATGTATAATGTAAATACAGTCATGAGAAAATACCAGAAAAAAATCTGAAATTAAGGGACAGTCTACAAAATAACGTAAGTGTTATGGTCAGGATAGAAAGAAAAATACTGAGGAACTATCACAAGACTGATATTAAGAAACTACATAGAGGGCCTCCCCAATGGCGCAGCAGTTGAGCACTGGGTTGGGAAGCTGCCCGCAGCCTCTGCAGCGCCGGTTTGATCCCCGGCCACTGGGCAAGGGTCCCACATGGCGTGCAGTGGGACCTCTCCTGCCACCCGCTACTCCCCTCAGCAGTGTACTTTGTCGGTCTGCCTGTTCTGTTCTCCGCTCTGGCTCTGGTGAATTCTCTCACCCTCCTGCACTTCTGACTGTACTCAGTGCTTGTATAAATAAATAAATAAATCTTTATTAAAAAATTCTCCTTTAAAAAAAAAAAAAGAAAGAAACTACATAGACAGGATAACCATCTATAATGTAGGATCCTGGATTGGATCATGGGGCAGAAAAAGGGCATTAGTGGAAAAATTGTTAAAATTCAGTAAGTTCTATATTTTGGGTAAAAGTTTTGTACCAATGCTAAGTTTTTTGGTTGTAATGTTTTATGCCATAGAATGTAACATTATGTAAAATAATTTCCTAAGAGGATATTGCATGAAGAAGAGTATATGGAACTCTATATTTGCAACTTTTCATTAAGTCCAAAATTATTTCCAAAAACATTAAGACAAAAAAGTTAACTGCTAAAAAAAAGAAAATGAAATGTGTTTTTTAAAAAACTCTTAGGTATTAGCGCACAAACTATATAGGCTGGGTAAAGAAGGGAAAATTACTTAAAATTGCTAGTCAATCTCAAAAAATGAGGGCAGTCAAATACTTTTCACTATAAAATTTTAGGGAAGGCAAACATGATAGACAAGTTATTAATGATTTTGGATATGCCAACAAAAAATGTCGGCAAACAAACAGTCAAAGGAGGAAGGCGTTTATGTACCCACCATTAGGAAAAAATGATGAATGTTTTTAAAGTGGGATTTGGGGTCAGCTTGCTTGTAATGAGCATGGCCACAAGCATTTACAATGGCAATGACCCAAGAAGCAAGGCTCCTCTCCAAAATTACTTGAATCCATACTGCGAAGTGCAGATATCAGATTCAGAGATTAGCCGCACAATGAAGACAAACCAGTGTGTCAAGCTGCCTGAAATCACGCTTATCAGGAAAGCATGAGTATTTATAAGAAAATTTAAGATGGGCCTAATTTTACTGCAGCGATGTTTAGCATATTTGCTAACCAGCAGTTTTATCAGCTTGAGTGGTCAGAAAGAAAATCAGGAAGGAGATCAACGGTTATGAGAGAAATGCTGGTGTGTTGTCAAAGCAGAGGCCAAATGTTAGTGAGTTGAACTGTCAGAAAAATGAAACTAAGAAAATAATCTCACTCACAATAGCCCAAAAAGAACAATATATTTAGAAATACATTTAACAAAACAAGTGTAAACTTGTACTCTGAAAATTACAAATTACTTGCATATCCATTTCTAGCAGATCTATCTTCCACAGAATAATCATACCCATAATAAAAGCAATAGAAAGTGTGGTTAGTCAATTAAAGATTTTAAAAACCCTTCCTAGCGTCTCCAGCAAGAACACACAGCTCTTGTTTGGCCTTTTATTTCCCCTAGGTGCAGAACTCAGTGCTTCTCTGGGTTTCTAAAGTGGAAATAAAGAAAAAGTACTCCACCTGTGCTTGTTAGAGAGGTCAGGTCCAAAGAGGAATTAACCTGGAATTACCCCAGGGAAGGAGGTTAAGCAGGTGGGGATGAGGGGCAAGGAGAGAGAAGCTAGTGGTTTGATTCAAACAATGAGCTGGTCAGATCAGAGAAGGCATAAAACACAACTGTCCTACAAGGTGGCAAATGTCTGACCAAGCCCCCTCAAAGGGCATGGGGATAGGGGCAAGACCTCTGGGTGCAAATGCTATGGTCTATGGAGCAGTGGTGAGCTCCCAGTGGCTCACCTCCCGTGTGATCTCCAAACCTCCAGTGCCTGCCGCACCAAGTCATCCCAAAGACCATCATAAAAGACTGGTCTCCTGGTGCTCTGAACACCACCAACAGGCATGGCTCTCCAATGACTGCAAGAATGAATCTTAACTCTGGCATCCAGTGCCTCTGATGACTCAGTTACAATCCTGTCCCAATACAGAACCTTCAGTGACCACACCAACCCTTCTGGGCATGTACTAGTCTGAACGCCTGCAATTTGTATTTGTCACCTCTGCTGGTCATGTGCTACCACACATGGCTGGTTATTATCTGTATGTTCTGTCTCCCCCGCCTCCACACAACAGACCACAAGGATTGTGAGGCCAGGAACTGTATCATTTGCCTCTTTGGATCTGATCTACCTGATTCTCTGATTTTTGGCACTGGGTTCAATAAATGTTTCTGAAGACCACAGTGATGACCGACACTTTATAAGAATTTATCTGAATACTTATAAGATATTCATCTGATACTTTATAAGAACTTATCTGAGTACCAATGAGTCCCCGAGCAAGTTAGGGTTAATTAGGCAGCTTCGGGGACAGTGCAGGCAGGGACTTCGGGAGAGTTAAAGAGGCTTCTGAGATAAGAACAGTAAATCTAAGAGGTGCTAACCAAAACATACTCCAGAGATGAGGTCAGAAATTGCAGGAGGACTAAACAAAGACAGTAAAACTTGAGAGAAAAAGACCTTGGACAGGGGACACAAATCCTAAGAGCTGGGAAAATGGGCACATCTGCCCGGAGGAGTATAGCCACTGGGAGAAAGAGCCAATCACAAAATAGGGTGATGAGATTTTAGAACAGAGAAAAAAGGGTTTAAATATCCCTGGACATGGGCTCATAACAGCATCTTCTGCCCCTTCCTGACATTGCTGCCTTGGATTCTTTGCTTTTGTTCTTTTTCCTCTAAAAAACTTTTCTTTACTTTCTTGAACAAAGTGTGTTTCTCTCCGCTTATTTATCTAAAGAGTCTGCAAATTCCTTTTTACAGCTTTCTGGGCCAAGTATCCATGGTGGTCCAAGGGCTAAGCAGCGCACAGCAGCATCACCAAGTGTGCACTGAGCTCTATCCTGAGCACCGGAATTCTAAGATGACGATATTATTGAATTTTTCAACAAAATTTTCCTTACGATGTGATCTGGCACATTCAGAAATTTATTAGTATTGTGTCTCTCAGAAAGCAGAGGAAATATCCAACGCTTTCAGAGAAAACTGAATTTTTATGCCAAAGTCTGAATCTATTCTTATACTTAAAATATAAAATTTCACTTAAAAAAAAAGCCAGCCAGTTTCCAATTACTTTGCTACTTGAGTTAACTAGAGATAACAATATATGAGAACATATTGTATTTATAATAATCACTAAAGATCACACAATAGAGCTCAAACACAACTCCATGTATATCAAGTCATGTGTGTAAAAATCAGTGCTTACAGGATTTTATTTTATACAAAATACATTTCTTACAACTAAAAATAGCCAGATTATTAAGACTCTCCACAGAAAAAAAAAAATCAAGAAATTATAACAAATCATATATAGTATTGTAAGCCAATGTTACCTTGATAAAAAAAATTTTAAATTTTAAAAAGTTTGGGCCTCCCCTGGTGGCGCAGCGGTTGAGCACTGGGCTGCGAAGCTGCCCGCAGCCTCTGCAGCGCTGGTTCGATCCCCACCCGCCAGCGAGGGTCCCACATGGCGCGCAGATCTCTCCTGCCGCCCGCTGCTCCACTCTGCTCCCCTCAGCAGTGTACTTCGTCACTCTGCCTGTTCTACTCCCCGCTCTGGCTCTGGTGAATTCTCTCACCCTCCTGTGCTTCTGACTGAACCCAGTGCTTATATAAATAAATAAATAAATCTTTTTTAAAAATTTTAAAAAGTTTTAAATACCTTCAAAGAAAGAAATTATAATGAAATGGAAGGTTGTCAATAAATGAAAGAAAAACATACTTAACTACACATTACAATATATATGTCCTGGACTGTTGGTGTGTGCATGGGGGAAAAAAA